ATTGCAAGAAGATCCGTTTAGGTGGCAGCTCCTGGACACCGGCCGTCATACTTGCTGTGTAATCTAGGGCCGCGTGCGCTGCGCTTGGTAAAGTCGGGGGCGCTCGCTCACGAATTTGAAGACATTGCCAACATCGACGAACTCCTGCAGAGTCTTCAGCACAAGTCCATTTCAATCCTTGCGCTCCCGACAGCCGTGTCGGGAATTGAGCCTGCTCCGTCTACTGGATCCTCCACTGCCTTGCCTTTCCGGCACTGCCCTGCACGGCGCGTTGATGGCTTCTTCTTGTGCCCTTTGCTTTGGATGCAAGGCGGGGCAGAGAAGACCGCCACAGGCAGGTCCGGCTGAAAGACGATCTTCAGCACCTCGCACTCCGTCGCTTGGAAATTCACCCCGGTGAGCTCTGCAGCCTCCCCCGAATCCAACACCACCGAGTCGCCCACCTTCAACTGCCCCGCTGGGAGGTAGAGAATCTTGTCCAGCTCGCCTCTTGCATCTGGGACTTGGACGGGATGGTCCGGGGTCACGCGCAGCGTCGCGCCGCCTGCTTGCAAGTCCACCACTTCCGTGGCGAGACAGATCTCCGGGGGCACAGCCACTTCGAGAAGGGTCTCGCCATCCCCGGCCATCACCTGCGAACCCTTTCTCAGGCTTCTGCCCATGAGATAGTAGTCCGTGTCACCGCTGCATGTCTTGAAGATGGCATCGGACATGAAGCAGTGCTGCTTCACCGACCACTGGGAGGCTCCACTCTGGATCGATGCCACATCGTCGCCGACATCATCCACGAGGCTGTATCCCAGCCGCTCAGCAAGATCCGACTCCTGGCCACCGGATGCCGCTTCACACAAAGTCACCCCATGGCGAGCGAGGGTGGGGTGACCTGACGGGACACCAGCACATTGAGGGGCTTGCCCTGTCTTGACCTGAAACAGCTGGCGCTCCAGCTCACGGATGCGCTCCCTGTACGTGCCCTTCTCCTGCCACAGAACCTGCATCTCACCCAGCATCGCCGATCTCTCGGCCTCTGCTTTTGTCAGCTGCTGTCGGAGCTGCTCACAGCGCTCCTGGAGGACTGCCTTCTCGAGCTGCAGCTCCATCTTGCTCCCGGCCTCTTCTGCTGAAGCGGGCTGGGCCTCTGCATGCTGGCAGCGGCTGCGGCTACTCTCCTCGTTCAGCTGCTTCACTTTCACCTGCTTTTCGGAAGCATCGGACTCTTTCCCCGTTTTTGCATGCGCTCCTGCCCTTGCCTCCTCTAAACGATTCGCAAGCTCCTCGCAATGCTCCTGGCACTTGCCATGCTCCTCCTGCAACTGCCCGAGCTCCTTCCGCACGTCCAAAACGGCGGACTCCGCAGCTGCCGCACGGTGCGCGAGCTCTTGGCACTGCTCTTTGAGACCTGCACTCTCGCTCTGCGCTGCTTGGAGCTCCGCATCCTTGCAGGACACCTGCGCCTCCGCCGCAGCCAGGCGATTGCTGAGCTCTCGGCTCTGCTGCTGCGAGCTTTGCAGCGCCGCTTCGAGGCGTCGGCGCTCGGAGGTCTCCTCCTCGAGCTTCTGCCGCTTCCTGCGCGCCGTCTCCTGGCTCTCCGCCGCCACGAGCCGCTCCGCGAGCTCCAGGCAGCGAGCGCGGATGTGGGGCTGCCGCAGGTACCAAGCCGCCAAGTGGTCCCGCTCCGCTGCTGATGGGCGGAGCTCTCGAAGGAGCCCCGCCTCGGTGAAGAGCCAGTCGCCGCCCCAGTACTTCCCAAAATCGGCCGCCCCGTGCCGGAGCAGCGCCTCGCAGAGCCTCTCCTGCCTCGTCGCCTCGCCCGCCAGCTCCGTGGCGGGGCAGCGCTCCAGCCAGGCCTCGGCTTTTTCGGGCTGCGAGGCCCACAAATCTACCAGCCGCCGGCTCAGCGCCTCGCGAGCTCGCTCTGAAGGAGCATGACCTGCTTCAAAACGAGCCAACTCGCCAAGGGCATCGATGACGGTCGCCAGATCCCAGCCGGCAGGGACTTCGGTCAGCTGAAGGAGAGGCTTTGCTTCGGACTGCGGTGGCATGGCGGCAAGCGTCGCAGACTGGGGGAAGTGCAAACGGGGCCTCGGAGCCGACAGCGGTCGGGTGCTCCAAACGGCAACACCAAAGTGCCCTGGAGAGCAAGGAGCCCCTGCAAAGTCAAAGGAAGACCTTCCCGGCACAAGCGCGCTGCGACCGTCGAAGCAACCCCAAAAGTTCTGGATATAGGCCACGGCCCGGACCTGGAGCCGCGTCGCTGGCGTGAGGCGACAGCTGTGAGGCTCTTCCTGGGAAAAGGCTGAGGGCGAAGCTGGGGAGCTTAAGCCATGTTGGGGGCATCGCTGGCTGGAGTCCAGATGTCAGACCATACTTCTGCTCCTCCGCCCGTTGCCCTGAGGGCCTGGGCGTGAGGCTTGGTGAGTTGTATGTGAATGTCATGGAATCTCGTGCTGCAGGGATCATCGGGCTGGAAATTGGACTGACGGCTGTTCCTGTTCTACAGGCATGCCACCTCATGAAGTTTCTGGTCGTCAAGGTCTTAGTGCCTGGGGAACCTAGAGGTTTTCATAAGCTGATGGGGGCTCGAAGCCTCGATCCGCCAGCTCCGAACCCCGTAGCCCCGCAACCTACACCGCGCAGTAAAGATCTCAGACGACCTCTCTCTCAACTCTCCACGAAACCCTGGAGGCGTAGACCTTGCTCTGTGGGCTCCCATACGATGCCAGAGGTTAGGTGCCAGCTACGGGAATCATCCCACCGAAGCAAGCGCAGAGTCGATTCCGAGCCCCGACGCTGGTCTTGCACTCTGACCCCCAATCCTCTATCCTAAATCCTTACCAGATTCCGTCATAGTAGAATGACCCAGCATCGGCGAACAGTCTTCTTCGTTAAGCTCGCTGTTGAACCCGAAACTAGTACAGCCACAACGTCCCACGACAACAAGCTAGACAGCCTCGGGCCTTATATGGTCTTAGGGTTCAAGTGAGGCCTTAGGACGGCTTAGGACAGCTGCTCGTGAGCAACCGAGAGTCGGGCGGATGGCCGCATACAGGCAGCCGTCGAAGTGCAGTCGCACGAGGCCGCTGTGAGCCAGAGCATCGCCCAATGCGAAGGCTTCGGGGTCGAGGGTTGATTTGAGGAAGAGACCTGAGGCCCCCAACCCTTCGTCCAAGCGCTGCAACCCCGAAGCTCCCTCTGAGCCCCTGCCTCAAAACATCTCAAAACCCCTCTCACAACCAAGATCACCAGGCCCTCGATCTCCAGAAGCACATCTCCCAAGCTTCCCTGTCGCCCGGAAATAAAATACTAGGGGCCCTCTGAAGACCCAACTCCGGAGCCTTTCCCCCGGCGAAGAGCCCCTGTCCCGAAGAAACCAAAACCAAACTCTCAATCCCCCAAAAGAAAAGACAGAGCCTGGAACTTTTACGATGAGATGAACTTCGGCTCTTCTTTGGCTTTGGGATACCCGAAGATATACCCTCAAGGCCAACCATCCAAAAACCCGGACCCAAACCAAACGCCAGGCTGAAGAAACCCAGCGGATGCTGAACTAAACGCCCCTAAAGCTTGGACAAGGGCTTGGAGTCCCAGTATGCGCCATTACTGGTCTCGGTGCCCGGGAAGATGATCTTGTGCACTATTGAGAGATGAAACTGGCAAAACGCTCGATGCACGACGGGCGGGAACGCCCCTTTCTTAAAGCATATGATGCGACAAGACATGGGACGCCAGTCTAACCAAGCCCACGCCCTTTGAATCGCTCCCAGGGCCGAGCCGAGGGTCTCCCCGTGGGTGTTCTTTCGCTCTCCGTGCGCGGACGTCAGCGCAAGCTTCAGCTAGACGGGGCCGCACCAGGCTCAGAGGTGACGGCACTCAGGACCTTCTGGACTTCAGGGTGTGTTCGTGCTTCTTTACTGGGCTTCTGGCTGCCTGTTTCAGAAAACTCGCGCAACCCAGGAGAGTTCCTGATTTCAAATCTGGTTTCAGGGCTCATATTGTGGGGCAGGGAGCACAAGGCCTGGGGCGCCCAGGATCTGAGATGGAATTTGTGAAGGTGACGTCTTGCAGCTATAAGGTCAAGGACGCCAACTTCTCCGTGCCTCGACTTCTAACGCCCTTATGTCACATACATATATAAAGTGTTTATTTCTACGGGAGGTTCTTTTTGCCGCAGCAGGCTTGTAACTGTTAGCGACATTCCCCCGAAGAAAAGACGACCCACACCGCTTCTTATCGCGCAAAACTCCCCAAAGGAAAGGATCACGCCTCCCTCCTCCCAGGAACTCCCGAAGCCTCTGAAGCCCCCACCCTCCGAAGTTCCCTGAACTCTCCCCTCAGAGCCGGGCCCTCTTCGAGCCCTTGGGGCCTGCGGGCGGAGCGGACGGAGGCTTCGAGCCAGGCTTAGCGGAATTCAGGGCTTCTGAGGTGTGGGGTTTCGGATGGCTTTGGGTCCAGTGGGCTTGAGGGTCGGCTTGAGATGAGATCCGGAACCCGATGGTTTGAACAGTCTGCCTTCAAACAGCCTAAGAGCAGGGATATGACAAAGCATCTTCATGTGTCGCTCTTGCTGGAAGCGCTCTGACCTGTCAGCTTCTGTGCAGGGTTCTCAAAAACTGAGGCCGAGCTATGCCGGGCCTGGAAGAGATTTCTACCACGAGCTCTTCGGGCAGGCACTGCGCGCCCCACTCAACATCGCTTGCTTCAGCTTCAAAGCTCGTTCCAAGCAACCTCCCCACCCACAGACTACAGACCTAGCAAAAGCAGATGCAACTTGGCAAGGTTTAGTATACTGAAAGATGAGTTGGATCATGTAAAGTGGGGCCGCGTGCGCTGCACTCGAGCGACTCCGGCGGTAAGTCAAGAAGCACGAGGCACCAGCATGCACGCAGGCATCCGTGCGCTGCCCCCCTTGACCGAACATAGCTGGAGTCCATGAATTCGCAGAACTTCGATTAAATGGCTCCACCAACAGTCATGCAGGTTGCGGCTTCATCAGGCATAAGCTAGTCCATGTACTCGCCCGCCGTGATTGGGATGGAGGCCCTGCCATCCATGCTGTCATCCGAGGGACCCGGGCCTCCCTGGCTCCTTCCGCCGCGACGAATGGGCGGCTTCCGCTTGTGGCCCAAGCTGAGGATGCAGGTCGGACGGGAGAAGACCGCCACAGGGAGGTCCGGCTCGAAGACGATCTTCAGAACCTGGCAGGCCTCGCGCCGAAGGACGACGCTGCTGAGGGCCGCAACCTCGCCGGAGTCGAGCATCACCAGGTCACCCGCCTTCAGCTGGCCAGCTGCAAGGTAGAGGCTCTCCTCCGCCTCGCCCTTTGGGTCGGCAACCTGGACCAAGTGGTCCGGGGTCACCCGCAAGGTTGCAGCGCCCGCCTGCAGCTCCACCACCTCGCTGGCGTCGCAGATCTCCGGCATCTTGGCCACCTCCAGGATAGATGCATCGTCTCCGGCCACCACCTGCGACCCTTTCTTGAGGTCCCTGCCCATCAGGAAGAAGTCCGTGCCGTAGCTTCGCGTCTTGAAGATGGCGTCCACCAGGAAGCAGTTCTGTTGTTTTGCAGAGTCCGGCTTCACTGAGAACCAGGAGGAGCAGCTCAAGACCGAAGAGGATGTGCCATCGTCGTCCACGAAACTATACCCCAGCTGCTCGGCAAGATCGGGCTCCTGGCTGCTGGAGGCTTCGTCCACGGGAACTTCGCAATGCCGGGCGTGACACTGCTGATGGGACCCTGGGTCCTGAATCTTCGCTTCACAAAGCTGGTGTTCGAGCTGACGGAGGCGCTCCTTGTACATGCCCCTCTCTTCCCGCAGATGCAAAAGCTGCTTGAGCATCCCCGACCTCTCGGCCTCTGCCTTGGCCAGCTGCTGTCTGAGCTGCTCGCACCGCTCCTGGAGCACCGCCTTCTCCTCCTGTGCGTCGGCCTTCCTCGCGGCCTCTTCCGTGGAAACCGCCTGCGTTGGCCGCCTCTGCACCTGAACCTGGGCCTGCGTCAGAAGCTCCTTCGTCTGAACATGCTCAGAGGCTTCCGCCTCTAAACGATCCGCAAGCTCCTCGCAACGCTCCTGGCACTTGCCGTGCTCCTCCTGCAATTGCCGAAGCTCCTGCTGCATCTCCGCCCCGGCTGACTCCGCAGCTGCCGCACGGTGCGCGAACTCCTCGCACCGCTCTTTGAGACCTGCACTCTCGCTCTGCGCTGCTTGGAGCTCCGCGGCGTGGAACGATACCTGCGCCTCCGCCGCAGCCAGGTGACTGCGCAGCTCTCGGCCCTCCTCCTGCGACTTCTGAAACTCGGCTTCGAGGCGGCGGCGCTCGGAGGTCTCCTTCTCGAGCTTCTGCCGCTTCCGCGCCGTCTCCGAGCTCTCCGCCGCCACGAGCCGCTCCGCGAGCTCCCGGCAGCGATCAGGGGCAGGGGTCTCCTGCAGGTACCAAGCCGCCTCGCGCTCCCGCTCTGCTGCTGAGTGCTCCGGCTCTCCTCGAAGGAGCCCCGCCTCGCAGAAGCGCCAGCAGCGCGGATACTTCCCCCACTCGGCCGCCCCGTTGCGGAGCAGCGCCTCGCAGAGGCGCTCCTGCCTCGTCGCCGTGCCCTTCAGCTCTCCGAAGCGAATGGGCAAGGCCTCGGCCTCCTGCGGCTGCGAGGCCCAGAGCTCCAAGAGCCGCAGGCTCAGCGCCTCGCGAGCTTGCTTCGCAGCATCAGGGTAATCCGCCAAGTAGGCGAAGGCGTCGATGACGGTCGCCAGGGGCCAGCCGGCAGGGACTTCGGTCAGCTCTCTGAGAAGCGTTGCTTCGGTCTGCGGGAACATGGCGGCAAGCGTCGGAAGCTGGGGGAAGGGCAAACGGGGCCTCGGAGCCGACTGTACACTCGCACAGCTGCTCCGAACGACGAAAGAGGACAAAGTACTTCCACATCCACCAAGCCCTGCCCTGGAGAGCAAGGAGCTTGCAGTCTCACGGGAAAGTCAAAGGAAGAACATGTTCAGTGCTCGGAGCTCTTCTTCGGCCTGGTGGTGGCGCTGACGAACTTGGAGAAGCGCTCGGCTTCTCCGAGGACCTCGGAGTCGCTTCTCAGAGCCGTCCCCTCACCCGAAAGCCTCTCTGAAACTTCTGGAAGCCCCTTTTCTTCAGCAAGCAGTCGGAACTCTCATGCACATCCATACCCAGCCTAGGGAGTAAAGGGCGCAAGACGGCGGAAGAAATACGGTTTGCTTTTGCATGGTCTCCTGCCGTTTGCCGTTGAACCCTCTGCGTCAACGACCAGCAAAGTGATGTGCGAGCACTGTGGCATGCCTAAAGCCCCGTAAACCACGAAGCTGAACCGCTGGGGCCGCGGCGGGTGTCGTGGGCATGAGATGCCTTGGGAATTCGAGAGATTTTGATCCTTGAGATTGGTTTGCTAATCTCACTGCTGCGAGAGGTGGGGGGCTGTCCTTCTGTGCTATGCTCTTGATACTCCGTGCTTCCAGGACAAGAGCATACAGCGAAATTCTCACAAGCAGGGACACCAACTCAGAGCATATGCAGCCAGATTACCCTGGTGAACATCGGTTGCTTCTCTACAGCAGCAATTCGAGGTCTGTGTAGGAACTCACGGCCTGCATGGGTTACACCATGTATACGACTTTGGAGCTGCGGCTGAGGGGTTTCTAAAGGCATCGTGAAGAAATCACCCGTCAGGGCTCGCAGTCGTAGAGGTTCTCAACTTGGCTCGGGCTTGCGCAAGTCTGGGTCTGAAGCGAACGGCGAGCCCCAGGCAAGCTCTCAAAGCCTCAGCCCTGAACCCTTCGCCTTCTACCTCAATATTACAACTGAAAAACACTCGCAACTCTCAAGCGAAGGCCGACTAGAGGCACTTTGCGGGTCTCGGGATTATGACTAAGTGAACCCTCAAGCCTCGTCGAAGTCGAAAAATCCCGAAGCCCCCCGTGCATGACGCAGGCGAACGGAGTTTCCTTCCAATGAAATACGCGACTCAAGCCCGCCATCCTGAACCCTTGGAAGAACCTAGGGACCCTCGGCCTGAAGCGGGCGGAGCCTACGACTTAGAAGCACGGGAGTCTTTGCAGATGGATTGCTTGGAGGTTGCAGCCTCGGAGGTTTGCTTGTGTGTGCAACAGTCGAGCGGCGGCGAGTTATCACGACGGGCAGCTCGCCGCTGTCTAGTCGCGATAGCACAAGGCTGCTGCGAGCCGCGTGTTTTTGCCGAATGCGACGGCTTATGCGATTGACCTCAAACCCCAACTCCACATCGCAAGAACAAGCCACCAAACTGTCTAGGTCGGCGATCCAATTGAAACTCAAGCTAACTTCGGCTCCATCGAAGCAACTGCTACGACCAGGACCAGGAAGCCCAAAATCGACCCTGGCACGGCTCCAGTGGCCCTGAAGCCCCGAAGCTCCAAGGGTCCTCCGAGCCGAGGCTTCCGGCAACAACAACAGAAGCTCCTAGCCTTTCCCGCCCAAAGCAAAGCCACGACCCTCCGTTTGATTACCCTCAAAAAAACCAGAAAGGCAGTAGGCAGCAACCCGATGCCATCCGCACACGGCTGAGGCCAACAGCACTCGACTTTTTCTGCTCTGAGGTTTTGCTCGCAAGTGCTTTCACATCGAAAGAAACGAGAGCACCTGCAACCGTCTCCACACTGACAGGAAGGGATCGAAGCTTCAGCCTCGCAGAAAATGCTGGCCTGCCCCACCCCGCCTTGGGGGTGACATTCCGAAATGTTTGAGGCTCTCTTGGGGGCCAATTAAATTTCATTGCAAAAGCTCCGGAGCTGCATGAGCAGACAGATGGGAGCTATTCTCTGAGTTTCAGAAACATGACTCGATGCAGTGTGCAGTCGGCAGGCGGCAGACTCGTTGGGTGCTTACGTAAGTCTGAGGGGCTCCTTAGTTGATCGGGCTTCCTAGATAAACCCTACTGTACACCCGTCAAAGAAGTCCGGTGAAGCCTCGCTCGCCTCCCTCGGGCTTTGCCTTGAAATGCCTGGGAGTCTCTTTACCCAAAAGCCCTTACAGCCTGGCGCACTACAATCCTAGAACTCTTGAGGGCTTGGATCTGAATCGGGGGGGGGGGGCTCTGTGTCGATAACAAAGCACCGCAATGGACGACAGCAGGCTGCGAGTTCCGACAATAATAATATTCATAATTAATATATTACTGTTATTGTTATTGTTATTATTGCTCTTATTGCTATTATTGTAATTATTGCTATTATTGTTAGTATTGTTATTATTGTTATTATTGCTATTATTGTTATTATATAACTATCTTATGCAATCATAGCAGATGGGTCAACAATGGTCGACAGATTCCTCCGAGACACTCGGACTGATTGCAGAGCTCAGTACCACTCATTTGCTGCGGCGACTGCCACCTGCACATCAGCTCTGCGCAAAGCCACAGGGCTCGTCACGCCAGGAGAAAGGAAGACCTGTAGAAGCGAAAGAGGAGCACTAGCTTAGAGTAGGGTAAGAGCGTTTTGGGGGTTTCTTGAATTACCATCAATACATACGGACGAACAACGGAAGAAAAGCACTGGTCTTCGGCCCCCCGGACAGCGGTAAGGTAATGAAGAAAGTGCGCTTCGGGATGCTGGGGCATCGAAAACCCAAACGTCAGCTTCGTCGATCCGAGCTGCCGAAACCACATCTCCGAGACTTCTCCGGCCAGCTTCCATGCAAAGCAGAGTCTCAAGCTTCTTTTGGAAAAAAAGGCAAACCTGGACTTTGTTGCAAGTCCAAGGTTACCGAAGACCTTCTTCAATCCTTCTCACCTCTGAACACCGAACCGCGGCCCCGCACCTGGAGCTGCACCAACAAAGCGCCGGCCGCCGAAGCAAACGCCGCCGTAGTCCTCGGATCCGGCTCTGTCGATCTGTGACTCGGAGGTTAGCGGCAAAGGTGAAACCTAGTCCTATATGACTCCGTGAGCATTGTGAAGATTTTTACCTGGGTTTCACCGGTTATCCCGGGCTCAGGGTCTGTGCATACACTGTGTATACATATACATATACATATATACATATGCATACACATATGCATATACACATACATATACATATAAATAAATCCATGCATGCATGCATACATACATGTATGAATATACTTGTATTCTACATACATACATACATACATACACCCATATCATCAACAGAAGGCTTCGGCCTGGAGAACGTGCCGTGATCCGAGTTCAAGAGCGGAGCTTGCATGGGATGTGTTAGAGTAGAGTAGGGAGGCTGTGTCACATGGTTTGCTGGCTGAGACACTGGGGCCCGCGACAGTGGAGCCTCGATGCTGGCAGTTTCACTGTGTGTTGCATCCTTTTGGGGGGAGATGTTCTTCATATGATTCCTCTGTTTAGGCACGTAGGACCTTCCAGAAAACAGAGACACCTGACACAAAGATAGCGGCTGTCGAGTGTCATGGAGACCCATCGTCAAGGTCCCCATGCCCCCAATACAAGGGAGCCTGTAGCTGGGTGCCGAGAAGGATAGAGAAATAGATGGACGGATGGATAGATGCATGGATGGATCGATAGATACGTAAATTGAACAGTCACGGATGGTTCAAGGTTTGAACTTGAGAGTCTGCCACGACACCGTGCAACCTGGCTGAGACTATCCAGAATCTCTAGTTCTTGCAGTAGCCTGCAAGCCCACAACCTGGACGTTGAATTCGAAACCTCAATTTCCCCAAAACCAACCGGAGCCCAACTCCTTCAGATTCCTGGGCACCCGGGCCAGCGAAGAGCTTCGGCGCCTCGCGAGGGCGGAGGAGAAGTGCAAACTTGTACGCCTATAGGCCTCACCTTGCCGCCCCAAGAACCGAGGCGCGCTCCGAAGAACCGAAAAGCCTGACCGTCCTTTACTGGACCATCTCCCTTTTTTTGCTGACTGAACGAGACGATGCCTGCGAGGACAGAGACAAACAGCCCTCCCTGCATGCAGTGATCGCCTAGACACCGAAACCCTCAAACCTACTTTTCTGCCCCCGAAAAGCCCGATGCCGGGCTCGCCCTAAGGGCCCAAACTGAAGAGTTGGCCTTCCTAAAACCCATTAAAGCCCGCAACGCCAGGGAGGCCGAGCCGGAGGAGTCCGAAAGGGAAGCAACGGAACGCCCCGCCGAAGCACACTTTTGAATTAGGGGTTTAGATTCGCGGTTTAAGGTTACAGGCAGAGGGGTTGGGATTTGGGGTTCAGGTTTTAGGGCTCTGACACCTTGAACAACCGGATCGCCTGAGGATCCTAGCACCCAGATATTCAGATTCTCAGTAGCAACAACCATCTTTTGTTTTTTTTTACTCGCCCCCTTTCCTCTCGCCACAGTGTGTTAATCGGAATGTCCGTCGGACAGAGGCTTGGTTACTCCAGCCGGGCATGATGGGTTTTCCCACCACACCACTAAATGCTCCCCTCTCATCCCGAAGCAGCCCTTGCAACAACCATCTAGAACCCAGAGTAGTACTTATACAACTGTCTTCATGAAACCCAAAAGCTGAGGGCTTGAACCCTGATGGCCAAGTGAAACAAGGCGTTACTCGGGAGCCTCGTGCAACCTGGCCACAGTAGACCTTGAACACTCCTGAAGATACTCGAATCTCGCCCCGGAAGCACCTAGGGCCAGGGCCTAGGGCAGTCCTAGAAACGAACACACGGAAAAATCCTACACAAAAATCAAAGTCAAGACCGTCTCAGTCTCACAAGGGCCCCCGCACCTCCCTGGACGAGCGGCACTGAGAGGGGCCTTCAGCAGAGTTTCGGCTCTTTCGTGCCAGGTCTGAAACTTTCGCTTCTTGCTCCGGCATCTGCAAGCCTTGAGCTCCGAAAGGGATGACGTCGCTGGCTCCTTTGATTTGGGGTCCGCCGGTCTCGGCACTTTCACTCGTGCTAGATGGGAGAGTCCGGGGGTTTATTTGCGGGCCTGGCGTGCTGCAGAGAACCCCGCCTCGGCCCTCCAGTCCATCTCAGAGCCGTAGAGCTGGCCGCTGACCTGGCGCAGGAAGCTGGAAGACACCTGAAGAGCCACTGCTTCGGAGGAGGCGATGCTTCCTTCGCTTTGGGAGCGACAGCAGGCGGATGCAAGTTCTGTTTCGTCCGCCAGCAGGATCAGGCCGACGGGAGGATACGACATCCGCGCGTTGGAGGATGTCTTGACGGGAATGTCGGACCTAGAGAACAAAAACACTAGTAAAAAGTCTTAACACTGACTAACATGCGTGTAGTCGTGCAGCAGAACAAAATTCACAAACAAGGCCCACTCCATCCTCAATAGAAACCAAGTCTTCCCTGTCGTTTTATGCGCAGGGAAACCCAAAACTGCGAGCCCGACTCTAACTGGAAGATTCCACAAGCGCGGTGCAGGCACTGCGAAGCCAAGCTCACATCCCATCTGTGCTGAAGCAACTCAGCCAAGACTGCGTGAATGCCAAGCTGAAAGAGGTGGGATGAGATAATTAGGGCGATCTGCGATTCAACCCTACTCAGGACACACATCATCATGCCATACATCAGATGCGACCTCGGAGCGCGTGCGCTGCACTCAGCAAGCTCCGCATGGCCAAGCAGCTTTCCAGGCACTGGCCGAAAGGCCGCGCGCCGAGCTGCTCGTGGGCGAAGCGCAACTCTACGAATTCTGGGGCTCTCGAGCACAGCTCTCAGTATCGCGACTTGCTGGTTCGTCGGCTCAGTCCATGTACTCCCCGGCCGCCGTGTCCGGAATCGAAGCTCCCTCCGTGGGATCGGAAGCTCCGTCTGCGGGGTCGGCGGCCTCCTTGCCTCTCTGGCACATGCCACCACGGCGCCCGCCCCGGGTCTTCTTCTCGTGGCCCTTGCTGAGGATGCCAGCCGGGCCGGAGAAGACGGGCACAGGTAGGTCCGGCTTGAAGACGATCTTCAGCACCTTGCACTCCATGGGATGTGTCTCCGCACCCGTGAGGGCCACCGGCTTCCCGGGCGCAATCATCACCAAGTCGCCCTGCTTCAGCTTGCCGGCCTCCATGTAAACCCGGCGACCCTGCACCTCGCCGCTCTCATCCGGGACCTGCACGCGATGGTCCGGTGTCACCCGAAGCGTGTCGGTGCCGACGTGCAAGTCGACGACTTCCGTCGCTTGGACTTCCTTGATCTCGACCACCTCCAACACCGTCTTGCCATCTGCAGCCACGACCTGCGACCCTTTGCGGAGGTCCCTCCCCTCACGAATGACATCCAGGCGGACCTTGAACATGGAGTCCAGCATGAAGCAGTTCTGATTCACCGAGGACTGAGATGAGCCACTCAGGATCGAGGCTCTGTCCTCATCCGCAGCATCCACGAAGCTGTAGCCAAATAGCTCTGCAAGATTTGGCTCCTGTTCACTGGAAGCTGCCCTGCTGGCAGAGATGCTGTGGCGGACGTGTTGGGAATTGAATTGATGCGACGCCTGCTCTGGCTTCTTCGCCTCACGAAGCTGTTTCTCGAGCTGGCGGCAATGCTCCTTGTAAGTGGCCTTCCCTTCCCACAGAACCTGTATCTGACCGAGCATCGCCGATCTGTCGGCCTCTGCTTTTGTCAGCTGCTGCAGGAGCTGCTCACACCGCTCCTGAAGAACAGCCTCCATCTTGCTCTTGGCCACTTCTGCCGAAGCTGGCTGGGCCTCTGCATGCTGGCAGCGGCTGCTGCTGCGGCTCTCCTCGTTCGGCTGCTGCACTTCCACCTGCTTTTCGGAGGCATCGGACTTTTTCTCGTCGATTTTTGCGTGCGCTTCTGCCTCTGCCGCCTCCAAACGAGCCACGAGCTCCTCGCAACGCTGCTGGCACCTGCCATGCTCCTCCTGCAACTGCCCGAGCTCCTTCAGCATGTCCAACACGGCGGACTCCGCAGCGGCAGCACGAGCTGCGAACTCCTCGCACTGCTCTTTGAGACCTGCACTCTCGCTCTGCACAGCTTGGAACTCCGCCTCCTTGCTGGACACCTCTGCTTCTGCAGCAGCCAGGCGACTGCCGAGCTCTCGGCTTTCCTGCTGCGAGCTTTGCAGCTCCGCTTCGAGGCGCTGGCGCTCGGAGGTCTCCTCCTCGAGCTTCTGCCGCTTCCGCGCCGTCTCCGAGCTCTCCACCGCCACGAGCCGCTCCGCGAGCTCCCGGCAGTGATCGCGGACGGGGGAGCACCGCATGTACAAAGCCGCCAAGCGCTCCCGCGCCGCTGCTGGGCGGAGCTCTCGAAGCAGCCCCGCCTCGGTGAAGCGCCACCAGTCGTAGTATTTCCCACACTCGACCGCTCCGTGCTGGAGCAGCGCCTCGCAGAGGCGCTCCTGCCTCGTCGCCGTCTTCAGCTCTCCGAAGCGCTCCAGCCAGGCCTCGGCCTCCGCTGGCTGCGAGGCCCAGAGCTCCACAAGCCGCCGGCTCAGCGCTTTGCGAGCTCGCAGTGCGGGAACACAGGTTTGATAACCAGCCAAGTCGAGGAAGGCATCGATCACGGTCGCCAGGGACCAGCCGCCCGGGACTTCGGTGAGGTCATGGAGAAATTTTGCTTCGGACAGCTGGGGCATGGCGGCGTGTCACAAGCTGGGCAGAAAAAGCGGGCCTCGCAGTCGTCTCTGTGAGCAGTCAAACAGCTGAGCGCTCCAAATCCTTACTCACGAAAGGAGACGGAGTTGACACGCAAAGGCTATAGCCACGGGAGCACACTCGACGGCAAATGACAGGGCGAAGAACGGCCCTAGCTGTCACTGCCTGCCCTTGCAAGCTCTGGACTAGATGTATCATCTGGACCCTCACCGCTATACAAAACTGAAACAGTCGCTTCCACATGTCCGCCGAGAAAGCAAGTGATGCGGTGTCACGCGGTAGCCCCCAGGCCCCGCAAACCAGCGCCTCGGATTTGGAACCACGACATAGGTGCCGGCATAACAGCACCCCGAGACCTCAAACGCAAAGAGAGGGAGATGCGAAGAGCGTGGAAGCTTCTGAAGTTTTGCTTCGCCAAATCTCATGGTTTGGAGCCTGGGGGACAAGCGTTCAGTCGAGTCTTGGAGTAGCCGTCGTGAGGAATCAAGATGTGTGGGAATCTCTGTTCTTGGGGATCTTCGAAGCATGCAGCTCAAAAAGCAGGTCGAGCCTGATCATTTTGGGAATCCCCTTGCAAGGACATGCCCGAGTCTGACAGATTGGGCCATATAGTTACGAAGGCCCTCTCTGCCCGCACTTTTGGCACAGAGACTGGTCTAATACGCGGCATACTGTGTCAGGCTTCGGGGTCCACGAGGGGCCGACGGGTCTTACTGGCTGGGCTGGGTCCGGGCCTGGACTCTCCAATAAGCCTTCTGTTGAGTAGGGGTTTTGGTGCGTGGAGTTTAGGTCAGGAACCTCCAACTCTCAACCGAAAGCCGACCGAGGTCACTTCGGGGTCGAGGGGCCTACAAGGCGCGAAATCCACGCTATAATGGATTCCTGCAAGCGGGACGGCAAAAAAGGGTGCGACACATCCCGTTGCTTCAGCAACTCTACACAGACAAACTAAGGTCAGCAGGACTTTGGGGGCACGAGGCAAGTCATACATCCCGAAGGTCCGCAAAACCCATCGCCTGGAGCAGGGGGCCTCCCCCTTAGGAACCAATGCAACCAGGTCTGCAGAGGTAAGAATTTTAGAAAGACTCCGGGATGGATCCCCATGGGTCTAATCGAATCACATTTCACGAAGGCTCAACCTGCAGGAGCGAGAGAGGGGGAAGCCCTGAACTCTCAACTCAGGTCCGTCTAGAAAGAGCTGTACACCAACATTGACAAAGGCCAACCCTCCGAGCCCTACTGATTAAAGCTTCCGGAGGTGGCTTTTACACTTTCGGCATGCTGAGCTGTGGCTGTAGTGACGACCTGCTTTCTGGCGGGTCTGAAGTATTTGTGAGTTGCAGTTGGAGAGCTTCTCAGGGCCTCTTGGAGCACTCGGGATTCCAGGACCTGGGGGGCGATTCGCAGATTTCAAGAGAACCCTGCTTGGAACTTGGAATGTTCGAAGGCCCGTAGTGCTACCCAACAAGCTGCGACACGGCCTGAAGAGTTGCTATATGTAGTACGTGGCATCCAAAACGGAAACCCGCAGAAATACAACCATGATGACGACTAGTCAGATGAGGAGGATGAAGGGGAGGAGGATGACGATGGATGACGTCTCTCTGTATCTGCCGGGTGTTTCGAAGCTACAACATGCAAATTGATACCAGTCTGAGAGCCGGTCCTCGGGACATCTGCTGCTCCGGCCTCCGAGGCCGTGACTTGCGGTTCTTTGCGCAGCCCTTGTGAGCATGTCCATGGCTTACACAGAACCCGTCGAACCTCGAGAGTTCACTGTCGCCGGCGGTTCGCCCTACTGTCCTACTGCATCCATGCACCTTTTCCCTCATGCTTCCGATGGCGTTGGAACACACGCGTCGATCTCCGGGCCCCTCACTGACGTCGAACCCCTCTGCATGTAATAGACGTAGACGACTGATTGTCTCACTGATCTCAGCTCCCTCTCGAGTGTGCTTGCAGGACCCTGAGAAACGGCGGCGCGCCCCTTCGATCTTCAGCGGAAGGGACCGAGACAAAACTTGTGAGCCAAGAATAGGATTGAAAAAGCGGTGCCTGCACTGCGAGTCCAAGTTTACGACTGCGTCCCCAAGGAATCTGAAGAGAGTCCTATGGGGCCAAAACCATGTCGGTGCCTCGGCCCTTCTACCAACAATCTGGCTCCTTTCTTGGAAGTCCGGATGAGCGGACGTCTTTAAGTAATCTTAAACCGCGTGCACCACACAGCAAGAAAGACTCGGGATCAAATGAGGAGCTGATGGGAGAGCTGCGCTCCGAGATGCGGTGCTTGCTACTGTTAACTTACGGAAGGGGTGCGAGTACCGCGGAAGACTGAAAAGTTTAGGGGTTAGGGGGACTGAACCGAGAAACTGAGCAAGATGCCTCACAAACGACGAAAGTTTGCTTGCAGCACCCCATCTATATACTCCAATTCCAGCTGAGCCCATGGAAGACGAAACAGCGTCAGCGCACTGCGAGCCCAAAGTTACATCTTGCGCTCTGCCCCAGAGCGAGTGAAAACTGAAGTACACTGTATGGTTTGGGGCATAGAAAGGGCGGGAGAAATATATGAACCATGAGAAAACCGTTTAAGTGTAGGTGGCTCGTGCTGCAATCACAACATAACACCGCTTGATTGATGTGCTCTTTCAACCCTGTCCTGAAACCAAGGGCCGCGTGCGCTGAGCTTCACAAAGCTCTAGGCCATCTATCGCTCAAGAGGTGCAAGACGATGCCAACGTCGATGATCTTCCGGGGAAGATCATGACCCTTCAACACAAGTCCATCTTAATCCTTGCACTTCCGACGGCCGTGTCGGGGATGGAGACTGCCCCGTCTGCTGGTTCCGCCATTCCGTGGCCTTTCTTCCACTCGCCTGCGCGGCGCGTCGACAGCTTCTTGTTGTGGCCTTTGCTTTGGATGCAGGGCGGGCTGGAGAAGACGGCCACGGGCAGGTCCGGCTCAAAGACGATCTTGAGCACCTCGCACTCCGTCGCCTGGAGATTCACCCCGGTGAGTTCTGCAGCTTTTCCCGAGTCAAGCACCACCGAGTCGCCCACCTTCAACTGCCCCGCAGGAAGGTAGAGAATCTTGTCGAGCTCGCTTCTCGCATCTGGGACTCGCACCGGATGGTCCGGGGTCACGCGCAGCGTCGCGCCGCCTGCTGCCTGCAAGTCGACGAAGTGGGTGGCGGGGAAGATCTCCGGGGGCTCAGCCACTGTCAGGATGGTCTCCCCATCTGCGGCCACCACCTGCGAGCCTTTCTTCAGGTCCTTGCCAACCAGGTGGTAGTCCACGTCACAGCTTTGCGTCTTGAAGATGGCATCGGCCATGAAGCAGCCGAGCTGCTCCGCTTCATGATCAAACTCCTGGCCACCGGAGCCGGAGCCTTCTTCAGCCGAAGTCACGCCACGGCCAGCGAGCGTGGTGGTGGCCGAGTGCTGGGCTTCCCTCTGCTGGAGCTCCAGCTCACGAATGCGCTGCTTGTAAATGCCTTGAAGCTCTTCCCGCAAAAGCTGCATCTGAGCGAGCATCCCCGATTTCTCAGCAGCTGCTTTGGCCGACGCTTCCTGGAGCTGCTCTTGCAGCCGCTGCACCTCCACCTCTCTTTCCGCTGCATCGGATTCGGACTGCACGAGACGCTCCTTGGTCTTTGCATGCTCGGCAGCTTCCGCCTCCAACCGAGCCACGAGCTCCTCACAATGCTCCTGGCACTTGCCATGCTCCTCCTGCGACTGCCGGAGCTCCTTCCGCATCTCCACCACGGCTGACTCCGCAGCGGCAGCACGACGTGCGAGCTCTTCGCAATGCTCTTTGAGACCTGCACTCTCGCTCTGCGCGGCTCGGAGCTCCGCCTCCTTGCTGGACACCTGCGCCTCCGCCGCAGCCAAATGACTGCGCAGCAGTCGGCCCTCTTCCTGCGACTGCTGGAGCTCCGCTTCGAGGCGTCGGCGCTGGGAGCTCTCCTCCTCGAGCTTCTGCCGCTTCCGCGCCGTCTCCGTGCTCTCCGCCGCCACGAGGCGCTCAGCGAGCTCCCGGCAGCGATCGCGGGTGGGGGAGCCCTGCAGGTACGAAGCCGTCAAGCGCTCCCGCTCCGCTGCTGTATCCGGCTCTCCTCGAAGGAGCCCCGCCTCGGAGAAGCGCCAGATGCCGCCACCGTACTTCCCACACTCGGCCGCTCCGTGCTGGAGCAGCGCCTCGCAGAGGCGCTCCGCCCTCGTCGCCGTGTTCAGCTCTCCGAAGCGCTCCAGCCAGGCCTGGGCCTCCGCCGGCTGCGAGGCCCAGAGCTCCACCAGCCGCCGGCTCAGCGCCTCGCGAGCTCGGTTTTCAGCATGACCTGCACCATAACGAGCCAAGTCGAGGAAGGCGTCGATGACGGTCGCCAGGGACCAGCCGGCAGGGACTTCGGTGAGGTCATGGAGAAATTTTGCTCCGGACAGCTGGGGCATGGCGGCGTGTCACAAGCTGGGCAGAAAAAGCGGGCCTCGCAGTCGTCTCTGTGAGCAGTCAAACAGCTGAGCGCTCCAAATCCTTACTCACGAAAGAAGACGGAGTTGACACGCAAAGGCTATAGCCACGGGAGCACACTCGACGGCAAATGACAGGGCGAAGAACGGCCCTAGCTGTCACTGCCTGCCCTTGCAAGCTCTGGACTAGTTGTATCATCTGGCCTCGGATTTGGAACCACGACATAGGTGCCGGCATAACAGCACCCCGAGACCTCAAACGCAAAGAGAGGGAGATGCGAAGAGCGTGGAAGCTTCTGAAGTTTTGCTTCGCCAAATCTCATGGTTTGGAGCCTGGGGGACAAGCGTTCAGTCGAGTCTTGGAGTAGCCGTCGTGAGGAATCAAGATGTGTGGGAATCTCTGTTCTTGGGGATCTTCGAAGCATGCAGCTCAAAAAGGAGGTCGAGCCTGATCATTTTGGGAATCCCCTTGCAAGGACATGCCCGGGTCTGACAGATTGGGCCATATAGTTACGAAGGCCCTCTCTGCCCGCACTTTTGGCACAGAGACTGGTCTAATACGCGGCATACTGTGTCAGGCTTCGGGGTCCACGAGGGGCCGACGGGTCTTACTGGCTGGGCTGGGTCCGGGCTCGGGCTTTCCAATAAGCCTTCTGTTTTGTAGGGCTTCCGGTGTGTGGAGTTTAGGTCAGGAACCTCCAACTCTCAACCGAAAGCCGACCGAGGTCACTTCGGGGTCGAGGGGCCTACAAGGCGCGAGTTCACACTATAATGGCTTCCTGCAAGCGGGACGGCAAAAAAGGGTGCGACACATCCTGTTTCTTAAGCAACTCCACACAAAACAAGAAAAGGTCAGCAGGACTTTGGGGGGCACGAGGCAAGTCATACATCCCGAAGGTCCCGAAAACCCATCGCCTGGAGCAGGGGGCCTCCCCCTTAGGAACCAATGCAACCAGGTCTGCAGAGGTAAGAATTTTAGAAAGACTCCGGGATGGATCCCCATGGGTCTAATCGAATCACATTTCACGAAGGCTCAACCTGCAGGAGCGAGAGAGGGGGAAGCTCTGAACTCTCAACTCAGGTCCGTCTAGAAAGAGCTGTACACCAACATTGACAAAGGCCAACCCTCCGAGCCCTACTGATTAAAGCTTCCGGAGGTGGCTTTTACACTTTCGGCATGCTGAGCTGTGGCTGTAGTGACGACCTGCTTTCTGGCGGGTCTGAAGTATTTGTGAGTTGCAGTTGGAGAGCTTCTCAGGGCCTCTTGGAGCACTCGGGATTCCAGGACCTGGGGGGCGATTCGCAGATTTCAAGAGAACCCTGCTTGGAACTTGGAATGTTCGAAGGCCCGTAGTGCTACCCAACAAGCTGCGACACGGCCTGAAGAGTTGCTATATGTAGTACGTGGCATCCAAAACGGAAACCCGCAGAAATACAACCATGATGACGACTAGTCAGATGAGGAGGATGAAGGGGAGGAGGATGACGATGGATGACGTCTCTCTGTATCTGCCGGGTGTTTCGAAGCTACAACATGCAAATTGATACCAGTCTGAGAGCCGGTCCTCGGGACATCTGCTGCTCCGGCCTCCGAGGCCGTGACTTGCGGTTCTTTGCGCAGCCCTTGTGAGCATGTCCATGGCTTACACAGAACCCGTCGAACCTCGAGAGTTCACTGTCGCCGGCGGTTCGCCCTACTGTCCTACTGCATCCATGCACCTTTTCCCTCATGCTTCCGATGGCGTTGGAACACACGCGTCGATCTCCGGGCCCCTCACTGACGTCGAACCCCTCTGCATGTAATAGACGTAGACGACTGATTGTCTCACTGATCTCAGCTCCCTCTCGAGTGTGCTTGCAGGACCCTGAGAAACGGCGGCGCGCCCCTTCGATCTTCAGCGGAAGGGACCGAGACAAAACTTGTGAGCCAAGAATAGGATTGAAAAAGCGGTGCCTGCACTGCGAGTCCAAGTTTACGACTGCGTCCCCAAGGAATCTGAAGAGAGTCCTATGGGGCCAAAACCATGTCGGTGCCTCGGCCCTTCTACCAACAATCTGGCTCCTTTCTTGGAAGTCCGGATGAGCGGACGTCTTTAAGTAATCTTAAACCGCGTGCACCACACAGCAAGAAAGACTCGGGATCAAATGAGGAGCTGATGGGAGAGCTGCGCTCCGAGATGCGGTGCTTGCTACTGTTAACTTACGGAAGGGGTGCGAGTACCGCGGAAGACTGAAAAGTTTAGGGGTTAGGGGGACTGAACCGAGAAACTGAACAAGATGCCTCACAAACGACGAAAGTTTGCTTGCAGCACCCCATCTATATACTCCAATTCCAGCTGAGCCCATGGAAGACGAAACAGCGTCAGCGCACTGCGAGCCCAAAGTTACATCTTGCGCTCTGCCCCAGAGCGAGTGAAAACTGAAGTACACTGTATGGTTTGGGGCATAGAAAGGGCGGGAGAAATATATGAACCATGAGAAAACCGTTTAAGTGTAGGTGGCTCGTGCTGCAATCACAACATAACACCGCTTGATTGATGTGCTCTTTCAACCCTGTCCTGAAACCAAGGGCCGCGTGCGCTGAGCTTCACAAAGCTCTAGGCCATCTATCGCTCAAGAGGTGCAAGACGATGCCAACGTCGATGATCTTCCGGGGAAGATCATGACCCTTCACAAGTCCATCTTAATCCTTGCACTTCCGACGGCCGTGTCGGGGATGGAGACTGCCCCGTCTGCTGGTTCCGCCATTCCGTGGCCTTTCTTCCACTCGCCTGCGCGGCGCGTCGACAGCTTCTTGTTGTGGCCTTTGCTTTGGATGCAGGGCGGGCTGGAGAAGACGGCCACGGGCAGGTCCGGCTCAAAGACGATCTTGAGCACCTCGCACTCCGTCGCCTGGAGATTCACCCCGGTGAGTTCTGCAGCTTTTCCCGAGTCAAGCACCACCGAGTCGCCCACCTTCAACTGCCCCGCAGGAAGGTAGAGAATCTTGTCGAGCTCGCTTCTCGCATCTGGGACTCGCACCGGATGGTCCGGGGTCACGCGCAGCGTCGCGCCGCCTGCTGCCTGCAAGTCGACGAAGTGGGTGGCGGGGAAGATCTCCGGGGGCTCAGCCACTGTCAGGATGGTCTCCCCATCTGCGGCCACCACCTGCGAGCCTTTCTTCAGGTCCTTGCCAACCAGGTGGTAGTCCACGTCACAGCTTTGCGTCTTGAAGATGGCATCGGCCATGAAGCAGCCGAGCTGCTCCGCTTCATGATCAAACTCCTGGCCACCGGAGCCGGAGCCTTCTTCAGCCGAAGTCACGCCACGGCCAGCGAGCGTGGTGGTGGCCGAGTGCTGGGCTTCCCTCTGCTGGAGCTCCAGCTCACGAATGCGCTGCTTGTAAATGCCTTGAAGCTCTTCCCGCAAAAGCTGCATCTGAGCGAGCATCCCCGATTTCTCAGCAGCTGCTTTGGCCGACGCTTCCTGGAGCTGCTCTTGCAGCCGCTGCACCTCCACCTCTCTTTCCGCTGCATCGGATTCGGACTGCACGAGACGCTCCTTGGTCTTTGCATGCTCGGCAGCTTCCGCCTCCAACCGAGCCACGAGCTCCTCACAATGCTTCTTGCACTTGCCATGCTCCTTCTGCGACTGCCGGAGCTCCTTCCGCATCTCCGCCACGGCGGACTCCGCACTTGTCGCACGACGTGCAAGGTCTTCGCATTGCTCTTTGAGACCTGCACTCTCGCTCTGCGCGGCTCGGAGCTCCGCCTCCTTGCTGGACACCTGCGCCTCCGCCGCAGCCAAATGACTGCGCAGCAGTCGGCCCTCTTCCTGCGACTGCTGGAGCTCCGCTTCGAGGCGTCGGCGCTGGGAGCTCTCCTCCTCGAGCTTCTGCCGCTTCCGCGCCGTCTCCGTGCTCTCCGCCGCCACGAGGCGCTCAGCGAGCTCCCGGCAGCGATCGCGGGTGGGGGAGCACTGCAGGTACGAAGCCGTCAAGCGCTCCCGCTCCGCTGCTGTATCCGGCTCTCCTCGAAGGAGCCCCGCCTCGGAGAAGCGCCAGATGCCGCCACCGTACTTCCCACACTCGGCCGCTCCGTGCTGGAGCAGCGCCTCGCAGAGGCGCTCCGCCCTCGTCGCCGTGTTCAGCTCTCCGAAGCGCTCCAGCCAGGCCTGGGCCTCCGCCGGCTGCGAGGCCCAGAGCTCCACCAGCCGCCGGCTCAGCGCCTCGCGAGCTCGGTTTTCAGCATGACCTGCACCATAACGAGCCAAGTCGAGGAAGGCGTCGATGACGGTCGCCAGGGACCAGCCGGCAGGGACTTCGGTGAGGTCATGGAGAAATTTTGCTCCGGACAGCTGGGGCATGGCGGCGTGTCACAAGCTGGGCAGAAAAAGCGGGCCTCGCAGTCGTCTCTGTGAGCAGTCAAACAGCTGAGCGCTCCAAATCCTTACTCACGAAAGAAGACGGAGTTGACACGCAAAGGCTATAGCCACGGGAGCACACTCGACGGCAAATGACAGGGCGAAGAACGGCCCTAGCTGTCACTGCCTGCCCTTGCAAGCTCTGGACTAGTTGTATCATCTGGCCTCGGATTTGGAGCCACGACATAGGTGCCGGCATAACAGCACCCCGAGACCTCAAACGCAAAGAGAGGGAGATGCGAAGAGCGTGGAAGCTTCTGAAGTTTTGCTTCGCCAAATCTCATGGTTTGGAGGCTGGGGGACAAGCGTTCAGTCGAGTCTTGGAGTAGCCTTCGTGAGGAATCAAGATGTGTGGGAATCTCTGTTCTTGGGGATCTTCGAAGCATGCAGCTCAAAAAGGAGGTCGAGCCTGATCATTTTGGCAAGGACATGCCCGAGTCTGACAGATTGGGCCATATAGCTACGAAGGCCCTCTCTGCCCGCACCTTTGGCACAGAGACTGGTTTAATACGCGGCATACTGTGTCAGGCTTCGGGGTCCACGAGGGGCCGACGGGTCTTACTGGCTGGGCTGGGTCCGGGCTCGGGCTTTCCAATAAGCCTTCTGTTTTGTAGGGCTTCCGGTGCGTGGAGTTTAGGTCAGGAACCTCCAACTCTCAACCGAAAGCCGACCGAGGTCACTTCGGGGTCGAGGGGCCTACAAGGCGCGAGATTCCACGCTATAATGGCTTCCTGCAAGCGGGACGGCAAAAAAGGGTGCGACACATCCCCGCTGCTTCAGCAACTCTACGCAGACAAACTAAGGTCAGCAGCACCTTTGGGGGGGCACGAGGCAAGTCATACATCCCGAAGGTCCGGAAAGCCATCGCCTGGAGCAGGGGGCCCCCCCTAGGAGCCCCCGAGGAGCCCCTTTCTGCAATCAGACGCTAAACGAGCGCCGGGCGCTGGCGCAGCTCGGGACTGGACCTGGACTCAGGGATTGAGGGCAAAGAACTTTTTAGGGTTGAGGATTCTCTTATGGTTTGGGTTTTACGGGCGTAGGGCATTGAACTTTTAGGGGTGGGGATTCAAGGTCTAGGCTTTATGGGGTTGGGGGCTGCGGGTTTTAGATTGAGGGCCTTGGGTTCGGAATTTAGATTTAGGGTCGAGAGGCTTAGAGTTGAGGCGGTCGGGACGTGGGATTTTGCTTCTCGGCCTCTGGGTGCAGGAGACGACATTGTAGGTCCTGTATAGTGATTTTCAGAAGGACCTAATATTGTACCAGGAGAGAAAACGTGCAGGGAAGAGCGTCACAAAAGAAAGAGGCCGCAGAGAGTCGAAACCACCCTTTTGAGTGGAGGCTGATCAAAACTCAGAAGGCTCAGGGTTGCAGACGGTTCAGGATGCACGGGGCTTCGGACTGATAGGGTGTGGGACCGAAACAGTAAGAGGGCGTTGGATTTAGGCTCTCGGGTTTAGGATCTATCCTGTCACGTGACTCTCGATCCTGTGATCCAAGCCCTTGTCGTGTGGAGTGATTGGGACGTAGAGATCTTGCAGGTTAATGGACTTATTTAGTCATTGGGATGTTGAGGGTAGGAACCTTTACCTTATGGGAACCTGTCATAAGCTATGGCTACAACGATTACTTGCGGAGGAGGGACTGGGACGAAAGCTAGAAGCGTCAACAACCGAGGCTTTACCAGTGAAGGCAAGCATGCATACACGCCTACTGAACTCCAAATACAGAAACCCTAACTCTTGAACCCCTCGAATGAGCACCAATACCATCCCCCTCAATGTGGGTGACACCCACCGGGCCAAGCCATGCTCTGCTTGCGCTTCTTGTTCGTCGAGATGCAGCTGCTATTACATATGACTGTGTATTCGAGTACTAGTATAGTATGAAATTATGAAATGGTAGAAAAACAGTATATGGAAGAGGTTGGATCAGAGCTTCATGCACACACACACACATATATATATATATATGTACATATACAAAAACATACCATAACTTACTCCCCCAATAGCCACAGAAATAAAAGGTTAAACTTTCAAACTACTGCTAAACTATAAGAACCCCAAAAGTTTAAACGTTTTGTATTGGAGAACTAAGATAAATACATGTTATATATGCCTAGAAGCCAATGGCTTCAGGTCGGGCGCCCAACATAGAACAAGTACGCGACGCGTGAGCGGAGCCAGCAAGCCACATCGTGAACATCACTGGGGGCCTCTTGGATCCCAATCCGAGCCAACAAGCGCGGAAATGGTAAAAAACAGTATATGGAAGAGGTTGGATCAGAGCTTCATGCACACGTATATATATATATATATATATATATGTATATATATATATGTACATATACACAAACATACCATAAATACATGTGTATATCATGCCTAGAAGCCAATGGCTTCAGGTCGGGCGCCCAACATAGAACAGCGGAAATGGTAGAAACACAGTATATGGAAGAGGTTGGATCAGAGCTTCATGCACACGTATATTTATCTATATGTACATATACACAAACATACCATAAATACATGTGTATATCATGCTTAGAGGGTGCCCAACATAGAACAAGTAGGCGACGCGTGAGCATCATGAGCTGCAAGCATCATAAGCATCGGAGCCAGTAAGCGCACATCGCGAACATCATTGGAGCCCAATCCGAGCCACAAGCCCGCATCACGAGCATCATTGGGAGCTTCTTGGGGCCAACAAACGCGCATCATGAGCATCATCGGGGAGCCGTTTTTCCACTCGGAAGCGGTCCGAAGCACCACATTCAAACACCCCAAAACGGACCCGGCGGGGGAACGCCGAAAACCAGCACCAGGTGGGGGATAGCCCGAATACGCGCAAAAAATGCCCACCTGGCCGGGGGCCCTTCCCCACACCCCTAGATGCAACCTTTCGGTTGGTAAGGAACTCAGCTAGCCACGGAGGCTAGCTTTCGTGATATGGCTTTAGGCTTTCGTTTTAAGGCAAGAGCCTGAAAGAACCCTAAACCAGGCCCCGGGCGTCCTTCGCAATTTATGCGCGCAAGGGCCCGGCCTGTCTCTCCCACGGAAAAGCATGGTCCCTAAACCCTCAACCTTGGGGGCTGAGGTTTAGTGTTGAGTTGGGCTTGAGGTTTCGGGTTTAGGGTTTTGGGGGAGCAGGGCCGGCTTTGCAAAAACTTCTCAGAGCTGCCTCTGAGATTCCGACATCCGACATCCTGAGCCGAGCACTCCCAGCGGGTCGTCCTGGTCCTGGATGATGCCTCTCGTTTTGGGATTTTGGGAGTCAGAAAAAAGCTTCCTGCATGTGATTGCTGCTCTTTGCAAGCTCCCCTGGCACCCCTGCCCTGACAGCATCTCTCCTTTTTCGTGAGCTTCGCTCTCGGTTGTAAAGTGCGCGCGTGTGAAAATGCAAGCTCATTTTCAGGATCGGGAACACATCACGACCTAGGGTCGGTTGACGTTAATTTCAGGCAAGTCCTTGCGCTAACTGGGCTCTATGATATTACAGGCGAGGCATCGCAGGAAGACATTGGGAAGCGACTCGCTGCGGCATTGAGCCGGGGCGAGTCTATAAAAATCGGCCTTCAGGTCGATAGGGTCCGCAACGCGTCCTCCTGCGAGAATTACCGCCGGGATGGGATGGAGCCGACCGAATGCCATTGCATTCAGCCAAAGACCTAGTTCATGGTTGGGATAGGATTAAAAACTATATTTCTTATTCCTTGTTGGGTTTAAGTGCCCATTAAAATGTAGAATGTTACCCAACTATGACCGAGAGACAACTAGCGCAAGCCCTGCCATCAGCACAGGGGCCAACTGCGTCTGCATCGTGCTGTCCACCCAGCCACTTCCACCCAAGTCGCCGGTGACGGTGGTTGACTCGGTTGCACTGCTAGTGCTGGTGAGAGAGGTTGCCGTCAACGTGGATGTCATCGTCTTAGACGTTGCAGTCAAGGAAGCCGTCGAGGTGGTCGTCGTGGTTGTGGTCAGGTCTACGAGATCAATGACCACACCATCATCAAGGAAGTCATACGAGTAGTTGCTGCCAGCTGGAACGACCACGATCTTGTTATAGGTAAACTGAGGCAAGCTGATGGTGATCTCGTACATGTCCTGGGCCATTTGCAAGAGATGGATTAGCCGGGTTAGGGTAGAGTATCGTCTGACTGGCATAAACTCTACCAGAAAAATCAACTCTCTTCAACAACAAGGCCCCAGTGTCTTGTTCGCAACAGAAGGGGGGAGTACTGCTCTTTGCCACGTGGCCTAAGATGGCTTGATTTAGAGGGATGTGCCCGCAGTCGTCCATCGGGAGGACCACGTAGTAGTCTAACACTGTCTCGTCCACGACTCCGTTCACCATGTTGGGTCCGAAAACCACCTTGCCGGCAAAGTCACCCGTCTTCTCATCGGTATCGACAAAAGTGGCTTCACAGACTCGGCACTGGATGTAAGGGTCCAAAGCATGGAGCTCCACTCTCGATGTCTCTGAGCCCAAAGCGGGGCAGAACCACGTGTAGGTGCCAGCAGCAATGCACCCGGAGAGGTCGCTGCCGCTGCCGGCGTTGAAGGTCACCTCACACGTGGTCCCGACGGCAAGACCGTCACAAGCTGAGCTGCTTCCACGGTTCAACCCACCGAACTCCTCTCCGTCATCCACGAGAATGAACGTCGAAGCGCAACGGAAAGGGGTGGTAGAAGTACTTGTGGTGGCCGTTGTCGTGGTAGTGGCGGTTGCGGTCGCTGTGGTCGCGGTCGAGGTCGATGAGCTGGACGTCGAAGTCGTCCCCGTCGCACTCGACGATGTCGAGGTGGTCTCGGTGGCCGTTGCACTGCTGCTTGTCGAGGTCGTCATCGTCACAGTGGAACTTGATGTGATGGTGACTGTCGCCGATGAAGAAGTGGAAGTGGTGCCCGTAGCTGTCTCGGTCGTGGAAGAAGTCATTGTAGCAGTGGCTGAGGACGAGGTGCTTGTTGTCATTGTTGCCGTAGAGGATGTTGACGTGAGGGATGTTGCCGTTGAGGTTGTAGAGCTCGAGCTAGTTGCGGTAGCCGACGAAGAAGTCGAAGTGGTAGCCGAGACAGTCGATGTCGTACCCGTTGAGGACGTGACCGTAGAACTGGTAGTGGACGAGATCGACATGGTCGCCGACGAGCTGGTCGTGCTGCTGCCCGTCATCGTTGAAGACGTTGATGTCAAACTCGTCATCGTAGCAGTCGTGGTCGTCGTCGTAGTACAAATCACAGGATCCATAGAAGTAACCAGCATTCCCGGAGTGAAGGTCTGTCCGTCAAGATATCCCGACCAACACGCCTGAGAAGCTGCTAAATCAACCATTAACAGACACACAAGCATCAAGCATGCTTGCATGCCTTTCGCCGCTCGGTTCCACATGGTCATTATCACCTCCAGAGACTTGATTTCGAGCCACGGAGGCTGAGAGGACAAAAGACGTGCACCTCTTAGCAGACATGTTGCTATAGACGCTTGTACCAATGATCTTCTTCCTCAGGCGAGTACTGCTGCAAAGCGACGACCACCGGAGCTGCGGCAACAACAACATGACGGGAACAAACATGGAAATACTGATAAACATGGGCATCATGGTCATCACCGCCATCTGCATCATCGCCCTAATCCCAATCATCTTCATCCTGGTCCGAATCGCCACAACGATCGCAACGATACCTGTCACCGCCACCATCACCACCGCGAACTTCGTCATCATCATCATCCTCACCATTACCACCATCACAGCCACTACCTTAATCATCGTCATCTTCATCACCACGATCGCAACCATCACAAAAAAAGAGCAACCTTGGAGATCAGAACAACGTCAAGCGATTCCGTGCACGCTTGCAGCCTTTGGATTGGCTCCGTTGCAGCGTTGTGAAACCAAGCTCAGACAAGCAAGTTACTGAAAGGTAGACCGTCGTCATGTTCGACCGATAGCTCCCAGCTTTCTCACGCATGCTTCAGCCGTTTCGGGCCTACAACTCAAAACCATACATTAGGCCGCAGAGCTAAACACATCGCCCCTCAAAGCCCTAGCGTAAACCCTCAAGCCCAAAAAAACGCAAAGAATCTAAATATCCCTACAACCCCAAAATGCCCCTATAACCCCCATAACCCCTAAATACCCCACAAACCCGGTAAAATCCTGAACCCCAAGGGCAAAGCCACCCAGAAGCCTCGGCCACATCCTGGACCCCAGCACCGGTGGCTGGCACCCATGGCTCGGGAGCAGTACCGCTCGGCTAGTTTTGGGTTTAGGGTTTGGGGTTTCGGGCTTAGAGTCTTAGGCTTTGGGGTTTGGGGTTTAGGGTTTAGGGTTTAGGGTTTAGGGTTTTTAAACTAACACTGTCACCAATGCAAATGCGATGTCCAGTAGTGGGAATGATGCGAATGAGGCGAACGAAACGAATGTTTCTCTACGAATACTAACTAACACTACCAATGATACCAACAAGACCAATGAAACTAATGATACTACAAATGATGCTAGTTACACCAATAGTACTCATGATGCTAGGAATACCAATAATGCCAATAATACTGACAATACGAGTACGAATATGGACCATGGATACTGAGACTCAACCCCGCAAGCTGGTGCAGCCTCAATCTCTGCAATTGTGTTCCAATCACCGTCTGCGCGCACACACTTGGCGTCTTACAGGATGGTTAGTTGGGCTTATTGAATTAGCGCGAAGCCCAGGAAAACCCTGGAATTGTATGAGTCATACATACTGGAACCAGAGAATGAGTATTGGGCACCACGGCTTCACTGTATTCGTCTGCGATGTTGGGGTCCGGGTATATCTGCACTCATTGATTAGCCGCCACCCCACGCCAGCTAGTGCCGAACAAGCATTAAGGGCCCAAACTCCACGACCGGCAACGATGACGGAGCAGGGGTTGGTTCTGGCTTCAGATTGCAGCATGTCAGTGACTAGCTGATATCCCTTCCCCACCCAGTGATTTCTTTGCCGACAACCGCTTCGCACGGCGCTGCGCCTGTACGTCAAACACTCTTGACCCGCGAGCGCCGCTGCTGAACTCAGCCACCGGTACTGTAGAACTAGCATGATCTCGGCAGTTGGGCTCGGCCTTGCAACTGGCTTGAGGCTTACCGTTCGCAATAACCACCCTTTTTGTTTCGACTTGCACATCATTACCACTAGTAGCACGATGGCTGTCATGGTCTCTACTAGCACTCACACTACCATCACTACGATTAAACAGCCTACAAGGAGTGAAGAGTCCAAGGCTTAGTTCTTCGGGTTCCAGGCTTCCAGGAAGTCCTTTCGAAAGTGCAGGATTCGTCTTCTACCAAAGGCTGCGGTGCGGAACGACACAACTGCCTTGTCGGATGCTGGTCCAACAGTAGATTTGGATCTTAAAGTCCTGCGGGGCACTGGGAGCTCCCTCTTGAAGGCCTTCACATGCGGTTTAGGGTTTAAGGATCTAGAGTTTGGGGGCCCAGGCTTTGGAGGGATTAGTGGTTAAGGACTGGCTTACTAGGCTTACTTTAGTAATTGGGTTCAAGCAGGATTTTGCTTGGGAGAACCGCAACCTGGGTACGTACTATAGTAAACATCGCATAAGCTGATACTGAGGCGCTGGAAAACCGGGCCAGGGTTATAGTAACGTAATGGCCTGAACAATCAGTCATCAACCCTGTGTGATATCTACCTTACCAGACTACGCAATACACCGAAACCCTTTCTATTGACTGATATTGGCAACTTCTCAGGCCCCTACATGTTTTGAGGCCCTGCTTGTTGCGAGCTTCCAGTGGGGAGCTGCCAGCAGCCCGAGAAGTGCAGGAGAGCTAAGGCACTTCTTACCTCCCCAAATACCCAGGCTTGGAAATTTTCAATTCTAGGGTTTAGGGTTCACGGGCTTGGGCTTGGTGTCTGCGGCTTAGCGCTTAACGGCAAAAGTTCAAAATACTGTGTGGAGATAGTGGAGTTACGCATGGGGAGCTAAAGAGGCGTCACTTAATTACAGGGAGAGTCCATGAAATGGTTCATGGGCTTTCCCCCTCCGTGCTGCTAGTCAACGACGCTTTGGAACTGCGGATAGCGGCTGTTCGTCTTTCCCTCCGCATCCTTCACGTACCAGTCTTGGTTCTCCTTCGTCCAATCGTCGAGCCACTTCCTGGCCACGACGAAGCAGGGGGCCCAGCCAAAAGTCAGAAATAACTTCATAGGGCTTGCATAACTGCTGCGACCGAGAAGAAAAGGACCCACTCTGACTCGGAAGAAGACGCGTTCTTGCACTCACTGGAGACATGCACAACCAAGTCTGCCAAAGCGCTGGAGGCTCGGGGACTTTAACGTGAAGAACCTGGAAACAACACTATCAAGACGTCATTCCGGTTGGAAAGTATGCAAAGAAGACGCCAATCCACCGAAGCCCCAATAAAAACAGAGCAAAATGCTCTGGCTCCTCTGAGATCGAAGCCCTCCATACCCCGAAATGGAAAACAAGATCCCAAAGCCCAAAAAACAAATGAAGCCGCAGGCACCAGGCTTTCCCCCAGACGTCTTTATCTTCGTCCTTTGCCTTGTCTGGATGACACCTGCTTGGATGCAAGGTTTGGGGTCTCAGACTTACATATTGCATGTAGGGCGTGGGCTCATCGCTGCTACACATCATCAATCCCGACACCCTGGCCCTAGACTGCCCTAAACCCAGGCTGTCGCCGTGAGACCTGAACTGGAACCTGCCATCACCTGAAGCCTTCGACCCCACTCATCCCAGCCGAAAGGCGAAACCGCAACTGCCAAGGCGAATCACCATCACAACAACCCCACACCCGAATGATACAGCAGCACTTGAAGTAACAACCCCACACCTTTCGGATGTCAGCTGATCGGTACCTCAAGAACCCCTTTTTGCTGTGAGTCTGCTGCCTCAACTTCAAGGTTCTCAGCAGAAGAACCCTTCTGGCGTCAGCAGGCTTGCACTGGAACTTGGCAGCGCGCAGCCTCGGCCCCACGCAGTCTGTTGAAGGGTCGGATGTAAAAAGGAGCCTTAATACTCAGATTAATTAGGGTTTTGGGGCCGTTTGTTCTATCATTATACAAGGAACCCCCAAAATAGTATAGGTAGTTATTTAGGCACCTATAGTAGAAGCCAGACAGTTGGAACATCATTCTCCTCATGCCTTTAAGTTAATTCAAAAGGGATCCTAGCCTTCTAAAGCCATGTTCCAACTTTCTGGCTTCTACTATATAGTACTTCATCATTGGCTTTGCGGCTAGGAGAGAGGAGCGTTGCTTTTGGACGCCGTCGTCAAACGGCTTGGGATTTAGTTGCCGTTACAACACGTAGGTTCCCTTGCATCACAGCCTTGCCGCAGGGAGAAAAGATGAACAACAAGAAGTGATGCGGAAGATGATGAGGATGGTAGGGAAGAACACATAAAGGAGAAGGAAACAGAAGAAATGAAGAGGAGGAGGCGAAGCGAGGAGAAGAAGGAGGCTGCGGAGACATATTATGTATGTGGTGTAGAAGGTGATTATTACGATGATGGCGGTGATAGCGATGATGCTGATAATGCCGCTCATACCGACGATGGTGATGAAGGTGCTGGATGCAATGATGGTGGTGAAGGTGATGATGGTGATGATGGTGATGAGGCGAAAGAGTGTGATGATGGTGATGATGGTGATGACGATGACGATGATGACGAGGAGGAGGAGGGCGGTGATCATGGTGATCGCGATGTCGATGGTGGTGGCCGATCTATTGCACTGCACCGATCACGGGGGCCCGCAGCTGCGCCAGTAGCAGTTGTTGTAGTGTCGTTGTAGTTGCAGTGGTTGAGGTGGCTGTGGTCCTGTCTGTTGTGGTGGCGATGACGATGAAGATGACGGTCATTTGTGGGTCTCGTAACAGGCCTATGAGTCGCATCCAAGGTACTCAGCCTGGAAGCCGATACACATGCGACGAGCATCCGCGTCCTTCCCAGGATCACAACAGGTTTGCCACGTAAGGATGAGATTTAGAGAGTGGGGCTAGGAAACCAAACTTACAGCGTGTCCAGAAAAAGACGAGCAGAGAGGCAAATTCCAGGACCATGTCTGACCTATTCACACACCCAAGACTACGTGTGAGAAAGCACGGAGGGGCCTCTTGCTTCTCTAAGCCCCTACAGATCCAAAGCACCCACCGCTGATCACGCGAAACCCTCAAGCTTGTTTGGCAACCCTTCTAGTACCCTTGAAGGAACCCTCAAGGGCTCCTTTAAGGCTTTCTTTAAGGGGTCCTTCAAGGGATCCTTTGGGGGCTCCTTTGAGGGAACCCTTCCGCCACCGCCGAAGTGGGGTCCTCCGGCCAGGCCACGGCGCTTGTGGGCCAGAGCTCGTCTGTGGCAAACTCTCTGCTTGAAGCCTCTAGGCCTGTCCAGGGTTTTTTGTTTAGGGTTGGGCATCAAAAGGATGAAGCAGTGAAGCAAGTAGGGACAATTTCTAACTGGATATTGAACGCGGCTATACTACCGTTTAGGCTTTTAAGGTTTAAGGGCTCAGGAATTCGGGTTTAACTTAGGTTATTTACCATGATCAAGAAACCAGGCTCTTACAATATAGAGATCCTTACAGGGGTATTAAGCTGCTCTCGTATGGTACCTTAAACATCCTTAAACTGAATTTGCAAAACAAGAGCCCAGTTTAGGCTTCAGCAGCCCTGAATCCTGAACCCTCAACCCCTAAACCCTAAACCCTAAACCTAACCCCTAAACCCCCTAAACCCCCAAACCCCCTAAACCCCTCAACCCCCTAAACCCCAAACCTCCTAAACCCCTCAACCCCCTAAACCCCAAACCCCCTAAACCCCTCAACCCCCTAAACCCCAAACCCCAAACCCTAAACCCTTAAATTTGGGCTTCAGCGGCCCCGGCGTCCGGCCTCCGGGGCCTCCGACGGCAGGCGAGCGCCCACCCGCAGGGGAGCGGCCCCGAAGAGGAAACGTGGGCCCGGAGATCTTGTTCGTGCCCGGCTTGGCCTCTGGGATCCAAGGGTTTAGGGTTTAGGGTTGAGGGTTTAGGGTTGAGGGTTTAGGGTTTAGGGGTTGCAGGTTTAGGGTTGAGGGTTATGTAAGGTTGAGGGATGGGGGCGGGTTGTTTAAGTCCTCGGCCCAGGCTCCTTTTCAGACTGGTTTTAATGATGTTGGATTTCGGGTTTCGCCCCAAGCCCTCTCTCGGCCTCTGCTGGGATCTGGAGGTCTGCCGGCCGGCTGGACGGCGTTGAACGCTGGGGCCTTGGGCGTCGGGCTTCTGTTAAAGCGCGAGTTGCAATGATTAGAGCATCGGGCTTTGGTTGAGAACGTAACAGCTGCAGCGTTTCAACCTTCACTTCAAGCATCAACCACCATTCCATAAGCCATTTTTAGCCCAAGCGGCTGGGCTGAGAGCAGCTCCTCTCTCTGCTGCGCGTGAAGGCTTTGGGCCTCCGGGGCCTTGGGAGGCTCCGGCTGAGGAGCCCTCGTCGGGAGCCCGGCGCCATGGGCAGCTCGGGCCGGGGTGGGTGGGTTTGGGGCCTCCGGCTTCGCGTCGGCCTGGAGCTTCGCCGAAGGCTCCTCCCAGGCATGAAGGGTCCCGAAGTATGACCCTACAGAGTTTCACATGAGCATCACAGTCATTCACCTCTGTCGCTAGATTATGCTGATCATCAGCATCATCCTCATCATCATCACCACCATCATCATCATCATCATGTGAGTTCTAACTTTCAGACACACAACCTGCTGCTCTCCGGCCGTGCTCAATCCCATTGCAAAAGGACCATGCCGAGACAATGCACACTACAAACACTGTCGCACTAGAGATGTCATTACCCAGTCCTGGCTACAATAAGCATATTCCTCAGTGCTCAACCAAAATCTAAACATCTGCACACCTTCGACCCAAACCCCCGAAACCCGAAAGACCCTATCCCATTCGATCGCGCAGTCCAGTCCTTTCGGGTCCCTGCTGTGGTCCGCAGCGCTGCAGGCTCGTCAGCCTGCTTCCGAACGTCCTGCGACTGCTTTGGATCAACCGACGAGGAGATGTTTCCCTTGAACACAGAAAGAGGGGATGACTTGCGAAGATGACAGGGTATCCACCAAAAGCCCATAGACACAGCAGCAGAAGGAGGCTTTGCTTTTGCGAGCGTATCGTCCGAGAAACCCAAACAGTTCCGGCAGAGTGGTGCCCCTGCTCGCTTGGAAGAGCCGCCCTAAAGGCTTTAGCCCTTTACGGCCCGCACGGTCATGTGCAGCGCACCGTGCTCGAAGAAGCTGTACAACCCCGGGAGCGCAGCTTCGACCTCTTGCGCGAAGGTGGTCAGCTCCCGCAGCAGTGCGTCGATGGCCGCGGTTCCGGACAGCTTGCCGAAGTCCCAGACCAAGGTCGTTCCCGGCGCGGGGTCTCGGTAGTGGGGTTCGCGGTTTCCGTCCCTGGAAGCATGGACCCAGTAGCCCGAATCCAAGGTCTCCGCAAACACGGCCTCGCTGGCTTTCAGCTGCTCTTCTGCTGGCGGCGCCAGGTCCGGCTCCGAGGTCTCGGTGCCAAGCGGCAAAGGCAGCGTGCCGAAGCGCCGCTCCAGGGCACGGTTCTCGTAGGCCACCAAAGAGAGCACGGACACCTGCAGCCGCAAGCTGGCCGCAGCCAGCCGAGCGGAGGCCACGGCACAGAGGCCCTGCAGCTTCTGCAGCTGCTCGGGATCCAGGCGCTTGCCCGCACGCAGGGCTCCCAAGGTGGCCTTGGGAAACTTGCTCCCGGAGCCTTCGGGGCAGAGGCCTCCGAAGCTTCGTTCGATGAGCTCCTTCAAGGCTACCAGCTGCGAAGGGAAGCCCTTGAAGCGCAGAGCAAGGACGCCCGACCAGGCTACCATGAAGCCCAGAGGCTCCACAAAGCAGGGGCGCAGCTGCCGGCAAAGCTCGGGCAGCTCCGCAGTCATGGTGTCTCTTCTAATATAGGCGTGAAAATGAGAACTGAACTTGGTTTTGGAGTATATAATACTGTAATTATAATGAGGAGCCCCTCGGCATCTACTTCTACAAGATGCTATATGGGGCTCAGAACCCTTTGCAGCTCCAGGCTTTCGTTGGGCAGTTTAGGGTCTCAAGGTGCTGAAGGCTTTGTGACCCCAACGAGTCTGATGCAACGGTCTAGCCGAAGCTTCATGCTGAAGCCTTGTGCTTGTCGTGGTGTTGGATGTAGAAGTGTGCGGAGGGGGGTCAAGCACTTACATGGTGATTGCAATCTCAAAGCTCATCGCAGCAAGGGGATGATACTCCAAACAAGGCATCCCCTAGCTTCGACATTTGGGCCAGGCTCTCTTCGGTCACGGACTGCTTTGCCGGGGTCGTATGAGCAGAGCGCCTCAGCTAAGAAGCCCTGGAAGCTAACATTCGTGGCTTTCGAACTTCGGGCTTCTTGAAGAGCTTGCGGATTTAGGGACTGGTACCAAGGATTCAGGTCTGGGGACGAAGCTACGCTACGAGGCGTAGGTCTTTGATTCTGCTTGCACATGTTTGGGGTTCATGGTTAGGCCCACATCTTGAATAGCACAATCCTCCGCCCGCGCATTTGGTGAGGTCTGCGCCGACGTCTTCGGCCGGGCGTCCTCTCGCTGGCTTGGCCGAAGACTCGTTTTCGGGGGGACACAGAGTCTTTGAGCACTGTACCTTGTGGGGGGGATGGCTCACGTCCCTCATGCTGGCTTTTCCACGCAACTTCTCCTCATAATCTACGAAACAACCGAACCAAAACCCATCGCAAAACAGCTGGAACAAATCTTGATCAAAAATTCCGGTCGCAGGCCACTCCTCGGCCAAGAGATCCTCCCGAAGCTGCGCCAGGATCCTGGGCAGCAGTTCATCGATGGCCTTCGCCTGGACGAGGCAGCAAAAGGGTCCAATAAGCTGGAATTTCGGCTCTAGGCTCAAAGTGCAAGATGGCTTAGTCTGGGGCCCTCGTCGGATCTAATCCCTATGGCGACGCCAAAGCAGACCACTATCTCGGATCTGGGTTTTAAGTTTTCAGGCATTCGATGCGGCATTAGATGCATAAGCTGCAACGCCGAAGAGCCTCCCAAGCGGCCTGCTGCAAGCCTGCAGCCCGACCTCTGTCTTAGTGCTGCGATTGAAACCCCCACTTCACGGATATGCAACACACCAGGAAAGCCTGCAAAACACCGGCAAGCGCTGAAAAGTCCCTGAAAACCGAACAATGCCTTGTATCCATCCCACTTCGAACCTCCCTTGCAACAAAAAACCCGGCCTTGATCTTGTCAAAGATCTGTGGCACAAGCCGATCGGCCTTCCCAGACTGCCAGGAAAGAGGTTCCCAGACGGTAGTTTGCAAAGTGCAGACATAGAACCGGCAAGAGGTCCCCCAAGGATCTTCGGGCACCCTTAACCCTAACCCCTAAACCCCTAAATCCTTAAACCCTAAACCCTAAACCCCTGAACCCTTAGACCCCAAACCCCTAAACCCCAAACCCCAAACCCTGAATCTATAAACCCCAAAACCCAAAACCCTTCTCATGCTGCAGCAAAGGGGCCTTCGCCTCAAGCCTCAGGTCGCTGAAGCTCCGCCTCATCTGCTCCTGCGCCTTCTTCTGCTCTGCCTGCTCTGCCTCGAAGCTGACAGGGGGGGCTTTTTGAGTTAGAATAGGGAAGGTTGTGGTACATTTTCCAAGAGTTAGCAAGAAGAACCCCAAGTCTCATGACAAGGAGCCTTATCTCCTACTGCAGGCCATCATGCCAGCATTAGGCCCTCCTCATCCGCCCGAACAACTCTTAACCCGCAAAGAACCCTTATAAGACCCACAAACAGAACCCTTACCTGTCAAACCCTACGTAAGCCCTCAAACCCTTGAAGAGCCTGTCAAACCCCACCTAACCCTCTTGAGCCGGCCGCCTGGAAGTCTTCGAGGCGTCCCCGCAGCTCGTTAACTTGCGCCTCCATCTTGGAGTCCTCCGAATTTAGGGTTTGGGGTTTTAAGTTTTGCTGGTTTAGGATGCTTCAGGGTTTAGGGTTTAGAGTTTTGGATGATCTCGCTCTTCGCGATAAACATAGGAATGACAAAAAAGTAAATGAGCGAGGCAGAAAAACAGGAACACAAGGAGGACTGACGGTGAAAATGACGATGATGACGACGAGGATGATGAGGATGATGATGATGATGATGATGACGATGTTGCTCATGATTATGACGATGGTGGTGACGATGGTGGTGACGCTCACGCTCACGCTGATGGTGATGATCATGGTGGGATATGAGTAATATAGGGAGTTTTCTGAAGAACACTGGGAAACCCAAATCCTTTATCCGGTCCTCTCCCGCGGCCTTCTTCAGGGCCTGGGTCGTCGCCTTCAAACTACCACGGAGCTCCTTCGATATGAGGGTCGGGCTCAGAGTTCAGGGTTTCGACTGACGGGATTGCCTCTAACTTTACGGCCTCAGTGGTTTCGCTTGAGGAATGAGCGGGGCCTTCCAGGCTGAAGCAAAAGCTCTCGAAGGAGACCCTCATGCAGCAGCCTGAGAAAACCTGAAGATTCTTGTCAGGAACCTGATTTAAGCTGCAAAAAAAGAAGATGGAAAAAACTTACCAAATATCATCATAGCAGGTGGAATTTACACAGAACTCCTCAACAAGGACCCTCCTTTATTGATGGCGATGCCCTTGTAACCCTAGCACTGCCCCGCCCTGAGCTCCTCCAGCTCGGCCTTGACATTGGCGAACTCCTGGGGTGTCGGGGTCAAAAGCAAAAGTTAGTATAGGGATATCCCATAAAAAAACCATTGTAATGAAGCCCATCCCAAAACCTCGTTCCTGCTCCCGTGCTAAGGGCTTTTCTTCGGCTGGCAAAGCAAAACAAAAAACTCAACCAGCGAATGCAGCGCAGCGCTGAAAGCTGCTTAGCCCAGCAGCACGCTTGACGAAGTCCAGGTGAGCGAAGGTGTTTGAGTGGAAGATCACCCCCACATGCGAGCCCTCCTGAACCTCCTCATGCAGCTTTGATGCTGGGATTCACAGGGCCCCAAAAAGCACATAAGCAAAAATTAGGATAGGGATATCCCATATAATCCCAGTATAATGAAGCCCATTAAGGTAGGGATATCCCTATAAGTTGTTCATGCTTATGTATGTCCTTTTTGGGTCCTTAAATTCAGTTCGTTCATCCACGTCAGTCCAAAGTCTGGAGCTTCGGATGCGCGCTTTGGGGGAACCACGGTTTAGGATTTAGGGTTTATTGGTTTAGGGTTTAGGGTTTTGGGGGCTTTTCAAGCCGCAAAGGAAATCCTCAGTCCTGCTGTCTTGAGAGGATCCGAAAAGTGGCCTATGCGAGCCCTTGCGCAACCCTCTACTGAGAACCTGCAGAACCCGACCTCGACTCTTGCAAGACCCCACACACAAAAAAACGAACAACAAACCCTAAAACAACTCTCCGGGAGCTCTAAACCCCTCACCAAGAGGCCTCCTCCGGGCTGCCCCGCGCATTGCGAGCAGGGACAACGAGGAAGTCCTCCCCCAGCGGAGTAGGCGCGGTTTTGGGGATGGATTTGGGACTTTAATTTAAGTTCAGGGATTAGGGTTCGGGCTCAGGGGGTCTGCGGTTTAGGGTTGCAGAAGGTTGGTGATTGCAGCAGGATTCTAAGGGCTTCTCTGGGCTTCGGGTTTAAGGAGGTTTAGGGCATGTACTTCTGCTCTGTAGAAACGCAGAAGCGCAGCTATAGCATTGCAAGCCCCCGATCCTCGACTGGCATAGGCGGCTTCCTCACGTTGAACTCCTCACCCAAGAGCTAATATGGAGGCCGAAAACAGTTGCCAGTATTATTCACTAAGGCCCCTACAAAATAAGACAATCAACTGTCTAAGCTTGCGCACAGAGCTTCCGAAGGTAATTTTGGGTTGTAGGGGTTCGGGCTGGGGGTCGCTGTAATATATTGGCCGTAGTTTTTGCATAGTTATAGTTTTGTATGACTAGAATAAGGAACCCTGAGGAACATAAATAATATTGGTCCGGCAATTATAGAGGCTTCCAATTCTGTTACACCGCCCAGTGGCATCTTCTATGAGGTGGCGATGCCCACGGAAGTGGCGGTTGTCGCCAGACTCCAGCTCCCACTCATGATGTCCGTCCACTCGCACCTTCACGTACCTGGCGCTTCTAGGGCTTAGTGTTTAGGGTTTAGGGTTTAGTGTTTAGGGTTTTGGGTCTTGGGTTTAGGGTTTAGGGTTTAGGGTTTTAGGTCATAGGCTCTCAACTGCGAACTTTCAATCCACGCCTCGTGTCTCAAATCCACAAACCCGGACCGGCAAAGTTAACACCACACCCAGAAGCTGCAGGCGCACTTGTAGCGGAACTCCGCACTGGGGAGCAGATTCACCTTCGGACTGCCAGATTGAATAAGAGTGATGGCTTCGCACAGCTTTAAAGGCGTACATAGCCGATGGCACCCGTTCTTGAAGAAGCTCAACAGCAACCCTAGACTCGGATCTTCAATGCCTACAATGGGCGCGCATACCTGTGTATACACACGAACCCATGATAAGTACGTGTATATAACTATCTATCTACCTGTCTATATGTATATATATATATATATATATATATGTGTATATACATAGATATACTTACGTATATAACGTGTGTGTGTGTGTGTGTGTGTGTGTGTGTGTGTGTGTGTGTGTGTGTGTGTGTGTGTGTGTGTGTGTGTGTGTGTGTGTGTGTGTGTGTGTGTGTGTGTGTGTGTGTGTGTGTGTGTGTGTGTGTGTGTGTGTGTGTGTGGGTGTTGTGTGTGTGTGTGTGTGTGTGTGTGTGTGTGTGTGTGTGTGTGTGTGTGTGTGTGTGTGTGTGTGTGTGTGTGTGTGTGTGTGTGTGTGTGTGTGTGTGTGTGTGTGTGTGTGTGTGTGTGTGTGTGTGTGTGTGTGTGTGTGTGTGTGTGTGTGTGTGTGTGTGTGTGTGTGTGTGTGTGTGTGTGTGTGTGTGTGTGTGTGTGTGTGTGTGTGTGTGTGTGTGTGTGTGTGTGTGTGTGTGTGTGTGTGTGTGTGTGTGTGTGTGTGTGTGTGTGTGTGCATGCGTGTGTCCAAGCAAGCAGGCAAGCAAGCAAGCAACTACGTACCTACCCGCCTACATTATTTCTTACCTACCTATCTACCTGGATTTGTATGTGGCAATAGATATCCCTGCCCAGGTTTCCGGGCTTAGGGTGTAGGAGCTCGGGTTTTAGTGGCTGAGGGTCAGGAGGTTCCTAGGCTTCTTCAAGCTGGGGCCGAGGTCTTTGGCTCGAGCAGGTACCGGGAATACAGAGAAGTCTGAGACGAAAACAACGCATAGTTGAAATCTAGAAGGGCTTCAGGTTCCGACAGCGCCTGTTCTTAGGCAAAGGCTTCTTATAGCTGTGTCGGTATGCGAGTATCGACATCCTTGCTTGGGCTTTGCCTCTAGAGGCGCAGAGTATGCACCAAAGTAAGCCGCAACAATAGAAAGGCCATAAGGCTTCACGACTTCTTACATGCCACTTCTGTTGGCTTGTGGAGCTCTCCCTCTCCCTCGCCCCGCCTCAACTGTCCATTTGGGAAAGTTTGTACATTGCATCTCCTGGCGAGGTTGCTTCCCTTTGAGAGCTTCCGGGCATCGTGAAGGCCTTCGTTTACGTCTTAGTGAAAACAATCACTCCCGCAGCAGACTGCAAGCTCGGTCACTAAGACTTCCAGTGCAGAACACTGTGGCAAGCGCACGTTTCTCACCCCAACAACGTGCAGAGCGAGTGCATCCACCGAAAAGCAGCTCGTGCACCGGAAAATGCACACGGGACTGGACTGTGGCGAAAGCAACTTCGCGAGACACAGCGGACTGTGGCTAGCTAGAGCACAACGACACTAAATTTGGCAATCCTCGTGTAGAAAAACATGGAAAAGCACACAAAAAGCCAAGGGGTGCGGCAGCAAGAGCTCGATTACGGACTTTGAAACATTTCCACAACCCTTGTAACGCAAGTGATAGTGAGACCACACTGCGGACAAACCTTGCCACAACTTTAGTCTTTCGAGCAATTCCAAATCCCTAATTCGCGCGACACTGTGGCTGGTCCTCACACACGCATGTGTAGTAACCCACACTGTTGTCACACTGCTTTGCGAAAACGGGATCCTATTGCCAAGTGCTTCCTTCTGCGGTAGAGCTTGGAGTTTGGTGAGCACCGAAGATTGCAGATTCAGGATTTGAGGTGTGAGGCTTGAGGATGCCACACGTCCTGCTGGAACTCATCTTCAGCCCATGGGACTGCTAACTTGAAAAGAAAGCCATCCCAAAACCCGAAGGCATAGAATCGAAAGCAACCCCGCAACAGGAACTCGGAACTCCGAACCCCCTGAAACCCTAAGACATCGAAGAGAGAGAAGTTGAACTCTGCTGCAGATCTGCGAACTCCGATCCCAAAGCCTCACTCCAGATCATGGCACTTCAATGAACCGAAAAGCTCGGAGAATACTATATCAAATGGACCTCTACCTGTCAGGAGTCTAAACCCTAAGCCACTGATATAGGGGCCTTAATCATTAGAATAAAGCTTTGGGCTCCATATTACTACGATTACAATAAGGAACCCCCAATATAGTAGGGGGTACTTATTAAGGCCCCTGCTGCACTAAACCCTAAACTGCCCTAAACCCCACAGTAGCTTCAACTCCAAAGCTTGGAAAAGGGCTGCCTTGCCCAGTGAGACGTCCCATCTGCCGAGTGCTTCGTGATCTGCGGCCGGCTTTACGTTGAAGAACTTGGGTCGGAGGGTATACTTTAGTGTAGATAACAACGAGCCCTAGGGAATAATATCGGGGAATGTATATAAGCTTCGGGCTAAGCGGGCTCTTCGTAAGACAAGTTCCATGTGAAATTGCCGCCCATGCCTGGCTCAGGCCTGCCTTTGCCGGAAAGGCTGCGACTCAACTCCCAAAAACAACGAACTCCCTCAACCTCTGAAACCCCCAAAAAGCTCGTATTTTCCACTCCTGAAAGATTAGGAGGGACAGGTTCTGAAGCGATGCTCTGAAATCGCAGAGTCGCAGCCCGAACTATGCAGAGACTGCCACGCCGAACCCTTCGCATACCCGACAAATCTTGGTTCTGATATAAGTGGAAGACCTTCACAGCAACAACAGCTGCTAAAACGACTGGCAACATTGATTTAAAAAATGCCAGCAGCAGGACTGAAAACCATAGCACTCAAATTCATGCATACATCCTGCATCAATCAGCCAACCTCAGCCCTCAAGGCTATAATTAAGCCCTCTTCGTGCAAGTCGGCCTCCCACAAGCTTGATTGTGTCCCCGGGAGCCGTATTTGCAGAGAGGATGAAGGTGTATTGCCGGAGGTGTTGTTGGCGCGCCATGGCAGGAATAGGCCGTTGGTTTTTCGACATGCGTGAAGCAGGTACTGTAATGGTGCTTTTGTTTCTCTGGCCGAATGGTGCCTTTGGTTCTCTGGCCGAAGAAGGCATACAAGCTGAGGGTGCGTGTGCTGGGAATCTCTTACTTGACATCCGGACCGCTTCAAGGGTGGGGAGCCTTACAAGAGAGAACCGAGACGGCCGCTGTGCAGCAGCCCTTCTGATGGCGAGAACACTCACAAGGACAACGACACCACAAAAACAACGCCACCAGTAATGACAGTGACAGAAGAACACTGAGCCACAGTCCGTGGATCGTGAATCCACAACACGACTCCCGCCGACGAGATGCTCTATGCACGAGTCAAAGAACCGCAAGGCCACCATCGAACAGCAACCAAATGTTCTGTATTGTACTATATATTATGTTTGCCATGTGACCGTCTTTGAAAATACTTTATGTTACGTAGTACTTCATACTATATGATATCCCATTATGTTCTACTCCATCCCATTAAACTCTGTTTTAATCGAGCTACTGTGGTATATCATGATCTATCATACTATGCTGGTACTGTATTATGTATTTTGGGATAACAGTATTAATCGATACCCCTTGAGGTTGTAGGTCCGAAAACAGAAAGCCGGTCCGTGCCCTCGCACATCCCTATGTTAGGGGCCTGAATGATTAGAATAAGGTTTTGGAGCGCATTCTAGTATAGTGATAATAATAATAAGGAACCCTAGGAATCTATATTGCCAATTTTGGGGGCCTCTCGAGTACGCTCAGGTAAGCTGGTTCATTGTATGTTGCAGCGACGTCATGTTCCCAATTCCCGCAGAACTAGGCTTCGGCTTTCCTGGCCAAGGAACCTGTAGACCTAAAGTCTTTAACCCAACATCACACAGCTTCAACGATTCTTATCGCCAGCATCCAGTTATTCAGGGACTGCAGGCAAAAGTTGCTCTCTCTCTCTCTCTCTCTGCAGCATGTTCCTGATCCTAGTCCCCTGATCCTAGTCCATGGTCGCTCATGCTTTTTTCGTCGCTGACGGACCGTGCCCAGAAGACTGAGAGCAGCCGGGGCACGTTTGCGGGTGTAGGGTTTGGGGATGCCTCACATAGCTTACAAGCTCGCGGCTCACGCACTTGGACCGCGAAGGTGGCTGGACTGCCTCGGGTGCATTGTGGGTTCAGGCTTAGGATTGAAGCTGGGCTTACGGCCAATACTTTGTTGCAGGTGTGTGAAGTATTAAAGTGATGTACTCCATCCAGATTGGAAGTCAAGGCTAGGTAGCATGCAAACTTTACAGTACCCGATCAAAAAACACAAGAAACCAGCAAAAAACAACACAAAACGACTCCCAAAAACACCGAGACTCCAGGTCACCTAAGCCCACATGCCCTCAACTCCGAACCCCATACCCCTAAACCCAGAGCCATGAAGCTCTGAAACCCTGAAACGGACCCTTTGGGGCCCTTGGGGTCGCCGCTGCGAGAGCTGCAGCGCGGAGAAGGCAGCCGAGTGCTCAGCGAGCTGCGTGGCCTCCCCAGCTTCCGCACACAGGGCTTAGGATTTAGATTCGTGGAGTCTTAGAGTCTTCGAGCTTAGGGTTCTTTGGGGCTGAGGAGGATTTGGAGTCTTATTAGAGTTTAGGGTTAAGGGGTTTAGGGTTTAGGGGTTTAGGGTTTAGCGTTAAGAAGAATTGGATTGTTTTTGAGCTCCTAGAGTTTAAGCTTTCGGGTCACCCAAAAACATGCAAGTCTCGCGGGCCTGGCTTACCGAACTGCAGGGCTGCATGACGGTAGATCAGTCAGCCTTAACGTACTTGCGTTCGGGCTGGGGATTGGGGTAGCAGGGGAACACACAAAAAACCTTAACATATCAACCTGACACAAACCTAAATAAACCCCTAAACCGTAACACGAGGTACCAGGCCTGACGGTAGCTCGGCAGAGCCTGCAGCGCAATGACTTGGAAAACTCTTGTTGCAGCCACCTCTTGCTCAAACCCGCTTAAACCCCCAGCTCTAAGCAACAGATCATGACTCGCAGCTGACCAGGAGGAAAGAAGATCCAACAACCTCAGAGGGGCGGACTGCAACCTGCTCCCAGAACGATGCGCAGTTCGCATTAAGCCCAAAGCCAGAACGACTGCACAAGTACATTGTCATGTTTTCATGCCCAGAGATCCGAAACCTGAAACTCCCATTTCTCCCAAAGGATCCGAATTCCAATTTCTCCCAAAGGATTCGAAGCTCCCAGTCAATCCTCGAACTCTTGGATCGACGGCCTTCCTGCAAACCTACTTGGACCCCAAAGCCCTGCACCCCAAACCCTTTAGGGCCCCTTTAGAACCTCCCCCTCGCGTTGCCTCGCTGTTGATCTTCTCCGCCAAACTCCGGATGCGTAGGGCCCTCGCCTGGTCTTTGGCAACGGCAAGAAGGGTTTAGGGTAGGGGTGTAGTCCAGAGGTTTGCGGGTTTTTGGGCTTAGACTGTGTGTTTATGCGTTGCGTCTCTAACAGTAAAACGTCGTCATGTGACTACATGCTCCTTCGTGGGCTTGGAAGCTGAAGGCGTGCAACCAAGAGAAATCCAAAGCTCTCGACCCCCGAAGCCCGGAGACCCGGCCTTCTTCTCCTGTGCCTCATGCATGAGCTTGTGAGCCTGGCAAGTCTCGTGAGAGAGGGCTTGGGTTTGCTGTTCTATCTTCAGGTTTGACAAGACCGCCTTCGAATAGGAAGAGGATCCGTCCATCTCGCGATCTCATGTTAGGTTCAGAGTTTACAGCTTCTGAAGTGGTTCAAAGACAGAGTTTTGCGGTTAGCATCCTCTTGTAGATTTCAATCCTGGCAGTAGGGCTCGCAGGCTTCAGAATTGTATGTGGCGGAGGCTCCAAGCGCTTTCGCGTGGCCTTACTGCAAAGTGCTTGCGAAGCATGTGCTTAAAAACTCCTGAAACTCACACAAGAATAAGATAAACACAAAGACAAACATTCACAAAACTCTGACTTTCCCCACCCGAACTACCGCCACCTCGATGAGATGCTTGGATGCCAGGACCGGGCTTCCGGCAGCCTCGGCACCCAGGGGCTCATGCAAGGATTCGAATATTGTAGGGGCTGTGGTTTCATAAGCATTCGGGTTTGTAGGGCGTGTTGTGCAGAAACCTTGAGAATCAGAATAAGACTTGGTGTTATGTTGAGGTCGGCTCAAGGCTCGGGTTGGTTAGGGCCTACGGTCCGAGGGTTTTGTGACTAGGATTGGGGGTCTAGGAATGTCTAGGGTGTAGGGGTTTGAGGCGCTTTGCTCGGAGCTTCCGGCTTTGGATTCTGAGGTTTCGAGCGTTGGGGCAGCAGCAAGGAGTCGGGCAAGGTCTGGGGCTTCAGGTTCTTCGGCTGTCAAGCATGAGGGGATGTTGGATTATTGAACCTGGGGGTCGGGGACGTGTGCGACAAGGATTGCTTGGAGTCTTGGAGGGGTTCAAGTTCAGGGGTTCAGGGTCTAGGGGGTAAGGTTCTTCGCAGCACGAATGACCCAAATCCTCCACTCGAAACCACGACCCTCCCGTCACTCCAGGGCCACACACCATCCTCTAGGGCCAGACACCGTCCAGCCCAGCAGAAACCGAATTCAGCAGTGTTTAATCGCACAGCTCCCGCCTGCTCCTTGACCGCCATATCGGCCAGCTTCTTCGCCTTGTCCACGTACATAACCACCTTAGCCCGGCTTGAGAGGGTTTCCAGGCTTAAGTCTTCGTCGGGCTCAGAGTTACAGACTGTTGTTTTGTAGTTTAACCCTCATCTTCCTAGACCTTCAAACCTCTGTCGAGTCGTCCAGCAGACATCCGGCACCTCGTTTGCGAGCGTCACCGCCAGGCCTGGGCAATGCTTCGCACTGGGCCTTGTGTTTTGTCATGAAAGGGTTCGAGCGGAGCTTTAGGGTTGAGGTTGTGAGGGCTCTGCCTGCGGTCTCGGAAATTCTAGCTTGGAATCCTCTGTAGACAAACTGCACCCCAGCAAGCCGTGGAGACTGCTTTCCTCTTTAGCGCAAGCATCTCATGTTTGAATAGCTGCTGCTGTCAGCCACGTCTCAGGCATGGCATAACTCCAAATCCACTGGCAAAGAGCGTCAAACAAAGCCCATACATGAAGTGGACAAACTTCGTCATGAATACAAAGCCAACGAGGTCAGCCAACCACTCAGGTGTGATGCATCTCCTGATCGCGATTCGCAACGCGATATAAGGAACACAGCATGCTCCCAGACATGTGCACCAAAAACACCAGCAGGCTCTGGCGACTTTGGAAATCAACCCCAGGCAACAGAGTAGCACCACTGACATCACCGGGGATAGTTTAATCTCGGTGGGGCCACGTCCACGGCTGTCCTCTTGGCCGATGTCTTGCTGGTGACCTTGCTGGGTGGCATCCTCATCTTGTTGGAGGCTTTCGTATTGAGCACCATCGTGCCAAATGATCAGTGTAGCACTCTGATCCGGCTCGGAGCTCGCTGCTTCAGGCCCTGCAGAATTATCTATCTCAAACTCGAGCTCCACCCTCTTGATTTCACAGCAGTTAATACAAGTAGCAAACAAACACGCCAGCGCAGCGATTCTTGCGATGATTTGAACTATGTGGTTCGTGGGCAGCTCCCCGAGTGCCCTCTGCGATTGAATATGTTGGCCGGTGATAAACTGAGCCCCCCATACAGCATACATTTGGCAGTTCGTGCCACTGACATCGTACTCGGGAAAATAATGCGCATACTCCCAGGCCACGTCCTCGAACTCACCGAGCGTGACATTGACACCACCTGCTTGTGGTGTCATGGGTTCTAAGCCGCACACGTCAGTCACATCACCCGCATCTGCCTCACCCTCTGTGACCCAGCATGAGATCTTTGCCCTGCCGCTCGTACCGGCGTTCAGGTCCGAGTAAACAGACACGTTTGCAAGAGTGAGTTTGAGTACTACATGGAGCGCAGGGGTCACACCGAAAATTCTGGATTGCATCAACTGGACACGTTCAATCGCACGATCGGCGTACATGCTGCAGGCGTGATGCCAATTCCATTCTGCAGACACGTTTACAGTAAGGTTGCTCCACCCCATCACAAGCCCGCCATCTCCAACAAATTGCCAAAACGAGTAACGCCTTGCAGAACTCAGTTCATCGAACTCAACAGGCCAGTGAAGGACGCAGGGTCGCATCCTCCAATGGCTCGTCGTCGAGGGGGTCGAGCCCATACTCAAACAACGCGCCGAGTCGTTGTGAATCAGCAAAAACCGCTGCTTCGTCTCGCCCACAAAACTAAGGGGAGGTGTCACCGGCGCTACATTCCAAACTGTCGAGCTCTCAGCGCAGCTTGCTAATCCGACGTCCCATTCATCCGCTGCCAAACACTTGTTCGATCCAACCTGCTTAAATGCATACGGCTGCAGGCCAGCTATTCTTGAATGACGACTGATAAGCCTCCAAGAATCGCCTTCGTCCAACAAGCACGACCCAGACTCGTTCAAGTGTAAACTCTGCGCAGTCCGAATTTGGAACCCACCTTGGAAAGGCAAGGGTGTTACGTCTTCGAAGACGTTCTGGTCCCACGTCGCTAAAAAAGCCACCGAAAAGAAAAACAGCATCAACATGCCCAGATATGGCTTTCTGCAACAGCCTCCACGATCACAGGCCGCTCCGAAATCCAGCCATGCTGGCCACCAAGGACATACAGGCTCATATTCAGGAACGTAAAGCAAAGTAAGCCGCTCGGTCTGGGCCATGGAGGCGCCTAGGGCCTCTGGCATGCGGCCGCCATATTTTCTCAGTGCTGCGTGCGTGCGGGCAAATGCTTTCTACGTCGGCACAGGTACAAGCGCGCACATCCACACTGAATCTACACATGTGAGAACATGAGAGGACCATTGAGCACCGAAAGGCAGTCGGTGTGTAATGGGAGTTCTTCTGAGTCTGTGACTGACGTTGAACATCAAAGGAAAGCCTTGGAGATGAGAGGCCTCCCAGCCTCTCCCTGCCGCAATCCTAAAGGCTACCGTAGTTTGCCAGCATCAACAGCAAGAATATGGAGTTTGCTGCTCTTGGATTTTGCTAATGTGCACACCGGGACAGAACATACTCGGTTGAGTCCACAACCGCATCAGATTTCCAAGCCCATTCTGGGAGTCTAGACCCTAAACCCTGTGTCCCAATAACTTCCTCAAGCTGTTCGGTTTCGGATGCTTGGGAAATCTTCCTAGAATCCCTACATCCTACTTATAATCTCTCTTGTAGCCTCTGTCCTCAGCTTCATTGTTTTTTCAGCTTAACCGTCAACCTGACGGTTAGGCCTTGACGGTTAAGGGTTCTGGGGCTTAGAATCGATGTTTTCGTGTTCTTGGTAGGCTTTTTTGGGATGCTTGGGATTCATGGTGCAGCAAGTTGAAGCCTCAACATTGAGCTATTTCGAGCTGTACATGCAAGCACTTTCAGCGGTTTGATTTATTGCAAAGAGGTCACACAAAGCCGTGACTCGATTCCACATCCGGGGTGTAAGCAACGTGGAACACGGTTGCACTACGCAGGCTTGGCCTCCCAACAAGTCACCGCGTCTCCGCAAGCTTCATCCAGCTCATCTTCTTGACTAACCGGCACATAGGGTGCAAAGGCATGCAAAGTTGGACTGTCAGGCTCTTCCTCGCTAGACTCATTGCAATCTGATGACAACAAGACTCTGGAAATCTTCCTCACGCCTGCAGTGCGCTCGTCCAGGTCCAAGATCTTCGCGTCCGGAACATCTTGTCGACGTTGTGAATACAGCAAGGCCCACTGAAGCCTCAAGGCAAATTGGTCATTGTTGTGGCGAAGCCATAGCAAAGGACGGTTGAAGCTCAAGTCATGAAACTTCTTTGATTTCCACTGAAATGGTGGCGACACGTGGTCAATGAGCTTGTAGAGTCCATAGCACCACATGGCGTAGTCCGAGATCAAAGGTTGCAGTGTTGTCCAAAGCAAGTCTCTTCTGGAGAAAACCACAAGATAGAGGCCAAAAGATCCGAAAAGAATCATGGAAATGACTAGCAGCCCCCCAACCATCAGCTTGTAAACGCACGACCTCCTCATGCGCCACGTGAATGCCAAGTAAGTTCCTGCACGGTAGTCTGCAGCACCTTCCCAAAATAGACAGAAGACACTGAGCGTTTGAAACACCACGAACCAAGACACACAGGTCCATGCCAAGTACACCGCCAGGTTGCCAAAGCTTGCCTTGATATAGCCGTGTGTACTGACATAGTCGTGGGATGCTGTTGCGAGCGGATTGATGAAGAGATACTCCAGAGCATCCTGGGAAGCACAAGCTTTTGACTTTTGACGGCTTCAACCCAACGCTGCATTTCCTAACCAGCTAACTTGGACGAGACTGTGCCACAACGTGTCCTCCTCAAGACCTTCGACTACACTGCTGAGCTGGATCTGCCCCGACGCCAACTTCACCAGGTTGCGATCATCTTGCATGGCAAACGAGACCGTGGACCGCTTCAACAACTGGATGGTTGTGTATGGAACGAACCACGCTCCCATGTTTTCTATGAGCACCAAATGCCCAGCAGTCAAGATGCCGCAGCACATGTTATGCAGCATCCTCGGGCAAACACACGGAGGGTCTTTATCTCAACGACCTACTGCAGATTGCACCTTGGAACTCAAGAATCTCTTGTCGTCAACTTGCCTCAGCTATTTACGAACGTCTGGAATCGCGTGCCTGTGCTTATGGTTTCGATGAGCCCTCTTCGGGCAACACAGTACACAGTAGTTGAACGGCAGCTAACTGGCGGAACAAGTCCTGCTGTTGTGGCATTGCATATAGGCTTGAGGGCTTCAGGATTCTGCACTCCATCGAGAAAGCTTTAGGATAACACGGGCTACAGGATGCAGCGCCTAAGTGGTCTAGCACTTCAGGGAAAGATGGGTTCAGTGCCATCGATGGCTTCATGGGTTCACCAGGTTCGGCCCGGGGCACTGCCGTCAGAATTCAACAACACCAACAGCCCTCTAAGTTCAGGGCGTTCCTCGGGATAACACTACGCGTTACATTTTCATCTAAACACCGGATGCCCACTACTTCTGTGGTCTCGGGCCTCAAGAGGACAGGAAGAACTAGCAGGACTGCGGTGAAGGAGCAAAGATGCTGGAGGGGTCTACTGCAAGGGGCTGGGCTGTCAGTAGTGAAGGTCCAGGGAAGTCTTCGCACAGCCAGCGCTCTCAGGCTGAGGCTCCGGGTCTCCTGAAGTCCCCTAGACCCGAGAACCTGAGGAGTAGACTACAACCACAAACACGCTAAAAAGAGCCAAAATCACAACAGCAATCAAGAAATTGAAGCCGGTACGCGTGATAAGGATGCTCTCTAGATCTCTAAAATCTGTTCGAGCTCCGAGCTGTTGTAGGATTCCACCGTCGCTTCCACCTGCGTGTTGCATCTGCAGGACCGAAGAATCGAGGATCCAGGAATTCAAGACTGCTGCCGGGAGGCAGATTTCGGAAAGCTTCTTTGATGTGAGAACAACGTCCAAACCCCTCTGGACCTATGGCTCTCCAAACCGCTTTGGACCTTTCGTAAACCTAGGGGCGCCTGTTTTGAGGGTCCCCATAAAGAATCCACTACTTGGGGTCTAAACACCAAGCAACAGCGCCTGGTACGTGACCGGCGTCTGGTGGCTGAAACATGAAAAGGAAAACGCGCATTCATGATACAAACTAGTGCATCTGTAGGCCCCGAAACCTCGTGACGAGTCAATCGTGTTTCGGAAAATGCGCTCCCGCTGCAGAAAAAACACTTGTTCGAGATCTTGAAACTTTGTCAGCAGCACCATTTGGCCGGTTTGCACGGCATTGCAGAGTTTCATCTGCGTGCATTCGTTTGAGCTGGAACAGTGAAGAAGAAGAAGAAAGTGCGAGAAAAGCTGCTCTTGAGCTCGGTAAGGCGTCGCTGACAAAAGTGCTCCAAAACGTGTTTTTGCTGCAGCGGGAGCACAATTTTCCTAAACACGATACGATGTGGTGCCTTGGCTGTTTGCACAGGAGGGTTTAGGAGCTCGAGGCTTAGTGTCGGCACTTTCCCAAGCAGCCCCCACCCCGACCACCCCCCCCTGTGTCGCTGTAGGGTTTAAAGGCTTTTGGATTTAAAACTCAAGTTTGGGGGTTGAAGGAGCGTGCTTTTGTCACCTCAGCTGTTAGTCTCCCACACCCCTAGTATGCGGACGATCTCCGCGTGACCATTCTCTGACGCAAGGTCAAGTGGTGTCTGGGCACAACCCCGAGTCTTCAAGTTCATGTCTGCACGGGCCTCCAACAGCACCCGCATGACTTCTTCATGGCCATTTTCTGCAGCAAGATGGAGAGCGGTCTTTCCCCAAAAGGTGGTTCTGTGCAAGTCTCCGGCCAGCTCCAACAGCATCATCACAATGCTTACGTTCCCGGAGTCCGCCGCTATGAGAAGAGGGGTCCTCTTAAACGCATCCTCTTCTTCGATGTTGGCCCGGGCATGCAAGAGCAGACCGACAACTTCCAAATGTTCCTGCTTGACTGCAAGCACGAAGGGCGTAAGATGATCATGATTGCCTCTCTGAGCTTTCCTGTTCGCATCTGCAGCATATGACAGCAACTTCCGAACGACCTCCACATGCCCAAGTTCCGATGCTACATGGAGAGCCGTACCCCTCGCTTTCACCATAGCTTGGCTCGCGGCGTTCGCGTCTGCACCATGATAAAGCAACATATCTACGATTTCCAGGTGACCGGCCGCAGCTGCCAGACGCAAGGCAGACTGGCAGTGCTTCAGCTGTATGTCGGGGTCAACTCCATTTTCCAGCAACTCGTTCGCTTCTTTGCTCCGTCCCTCCCTCGCGGCTTCAAGCAGAAGCCGGCCCTCCTCCGAAGAGAAGGGCCGAAAGGGCGGCAGCAGCACGAGCTCAAGATCTGCTGCCGAGTCCATCACCTCATCATCCCTCAGCCTCCGGCCCTCGCGGAGGAGAACCTGACGAGAACCTTGGAACTCCGGCTCCAGCTGCGGCTGAAGGCCTCGCTTCAGGGCCTCAACCGTGCAGGGCTCCTCCTCCCCCAGTGGCAGACTGGCAAGCTGCTTCCCAGAGACTGCGTGGAAGACACGGAGCATCCTATCTCCCGGCTCTACTGTCTAGGGTTTAGGGTTTTAAAGTGCCGGGCTCTGGGTTTAGGGTTTTAGCCTGTAGGTTTGGAGAACATTAACTCGTGCACGTCTTGCCGTCTAGACGAATCGTTGGCTTCAAGAGCACGTTTGTGGCGGGCAGCCTGGGCTGCCGCATGCCAGGGAGCTTTCAAAATTCACGACCCTCGCTTCAACTTGAATCTAGCAGGCACCGGCTGATTCATAGATACTGCCCAAAACGACAGCCACGAGCCAAAGCCTGCGAGACAGGCCCACAAGAGTTTCGATGGCTTCTGGCTCCCTTCAGAAGCTTTGGCCGACAACTTTCAGAAGATTTCACCTCTACTCAAACCAACTCGATATGCAAGTGATAGAAAAATCTTACAGCAATCTGCCTCAACCTCGTGGGGTTCCTTTGGGTTCGGGCTTGAAGGCGACAAACACACCGACTTCAGGACGTGTTTGTAGACTATGAGGATCTGAAAGCATCCCCCACGGCATGCACTGAGCCATGGCCTGATTCTCCGCATCGACGTAGGGCTTCGAGGCAGCTTTGATCGCTTGTGCCTTGCACATGGAACTCGATAATATGGGGGCCTCAATAATTAGAATAGGGTTTTGGGCCCTGTATAATATAACTACAATAAGGAACCCCTAAAATAGTATAGGTAATTATTAAGGCCCCTGTAGTAGCTCATGCTTCCATGCCTTAGCCGCAGCCTCGGAGTCGGAGAGGAGGGTTTCAGGGCTATGAAACCATGCCAACATGTCACTGTGGTGACTGTAAGTGCAGTACAAACAAGGTTCCTGGAAAGGTGGCCTTGATACCGTGAATGCTGCGCGACCGAACCAATACTCGGTCGTATGTTGAAACACATGGGCCCGAGGCTCCGAACTACGAAGAAACGTAGCAACCCACAAACCCGACATACACCGAAGTCTCCCCGTGCAACCACCGATCCCTCAAAGCCCACCTGCGCCGTGCGATCCAACTCGGGGATTTTTGCTTGCCTTTGGGAGTTCGGTGTGTTCTTGGGGGTGTTGGGCTCTGCGTGACGGAACTGACGCCGAGCCATCCCAAAACCCCCGCAACTCCCCTATATCTACCGACATCAAACACTGAGGGCTTGGGATCTGTCGAGCGCTTAGTCTCTAGGGAACCGCAAGTACACAAGGCCAGAGCAGAAGCTACAGATGGCCTCAACTAAACCGAAACCACGGGACCAAAGAACATGTCCGACCGAACACTGGCACCTAGGCCTGCCGAATGCAAACTTAGTTTCAACCCTGTCCCCCACATCCTGAATTAAGGACTGCAGAGCCTGGGGTTGCGAAACCCTAGACCCCACCCTGCGTCTGGGCCCTGCGCTCGAGGTCGTAGGCCTGGGAGAAGCCGGCAGCCTGCCCCACTTGGCATCGTCGTCCGTGTACGAACCCTTAAAAACTCCTGCCACAAAAACAGCTCTGCGAACCGCAGACCCTAACCAAATCACCCCCTTCAAAAAAGAGAACCCGAGCCTTGATACACCCCGATGGCAAAGCTCAACCCTCTGAACCCAATAAAGATCTACACAAGCCCCCGAGCCCTGACAAAGAAACTCCTCCAAGCATTAGAAACCCTGAGACCTGGCCTCAGCCTGGGCCTTTGCAGCCGCCTTGCCGGCTTCGTAGGCCCTGGGCTGCAGGAGCGGGGTTCGAGCTTAGGGTGATCGCTTCTTACAGAGCTGTGAAGCATGTTGACATAATAGAAACCTGAGGATCCTGCGAGCAAGATCAAAGAAGAGTAGAGGGAACTTTTGTACACACACGTTGCCGGCATCCGATAGACTTCGAGGTATTAAAAACTTCAGCTCTGTCCGGTCGTTCATAAGTCGCGCTTCTATTAGCTCACCGACGAGGCTGTTCCTGCATGTGATCCTGCTGGCGAAGCTTGCTTCGGGATGGGCGATGGATGAAAAAAAGAATATCCAAAGCTTCCAGCTTCCTGCGTTCTGAACGGTGCAGCAGAACCGCCTACCCGTGGAACCTCCGGCATTTCTATTGAGATCTGGGGCTCCGGCGCTTGCAGTGCCTTCTTCATGTCCTGAAACACAGCGGGGTGCATGACGTTTGGGAATTTGGGAGTCCTGGAATTGCCAGCTGAAGCCCTTACCACCATAGGCCGTAGTCGTTGCCCTAGTGGCATGAGCAGAGTGGTTTGTAGATCAGCTTCCTGTTGCATCGTCCTTGGCACAACTTAACGAGATGGGGTTTCAAAACTTGCTCGGACAACAAGGCGTGCCAGAGCACGGAGAGGTGCTTCAGACACAAGCGATTGGGCTTGCTATCCGTCTGAACTGGCACTAGTGGCGTCGACGACATTTGCCTTCAAGCACTATGCCTGTTCGACCAACAAGCTTGTGCAAGCCATGGAAGCCCATGCGAAAGTCTGCATGAGGGGTCCTGTACGATAAGGGCCCTTACAAAAACTATCTTAAACATGAGTTCCATTAAGGCCTATTATGTCTGAAACTACATGGGTGGTTGTCAAAATTATATAGGGGTCCGTTTTTCGTTCCCTATTGTAATACGGCACCTTATTTTTAGGGACCATAATTTTGACAACTACCCACATGCATACTGAGCCAGGAACCCACCAGTCTTTCACCCTCGGCTCCTCGGCGCTTGGCACCTCAGCGGGAGCCTGCTGGGGCCTTGGCAAGCAGGATGGAGCGGTAACCAGGAGGCAACGATCCTTAGGGTTTAGGGTTTAGGTTTTTTGGGGGTTTAGGGTTTAGAGTTTAGGGTTTAGGGTTTAGGGTTTAGGGCATCTCAGAGGCAAAAAACCGGAATGGCAATGAAATGAAATAAACCCCAAGTCCGAATTAGACAACGCAACACCGCGAAGAGGCTCAACATCTTGCCACTTTCAACCCCTCCTGTCCCGAAACTCCCTGCTCCGCAAGAGGCGCTGGAAAAAGATGGCACGAGAGCCGGGCACTTGGGCAGCAGCATTTGCGACCTGTGGCTCTTTTTAAACAAGGGAAAGCTTGGAAGGATCTGGGAAATGAGGATGTGGAGAATGATGCTGATAATGAGATGCTGCTGACGATCCTCCCCTCGCCCTCCTCGGAGTCATCGCCATCGTCATTCTCTTACACATCTTGATTCCCACTGCCTCATCACAATCATCCACAGGCCAACAACTCAAGTCGACATCGGCAGTTTCGTCGTCATTCACCATCACCCAGGTGGTACGTCTTCTGATTGGCTCTTTGGCTGAACGATACCGAAGTCCCCAACTTCACAGACACAGACCTCCCATAATCAATGCATGGTTTTTCCAACGACTCCAAGCTGGAGAAGGGTGCATGTGGCAAGCACCCCTGGCGCCCAAATCAGCAACCTGCAGCTGTCAAAACCCCAAAAGCCCATCCGAGTGCATGTGCTCAGAAGCCCCAGCAGCACCGCCCTGGACCCTGCCACACACAGCCATAAGCCAAAGCACCTCCACCCTCACAGAAGGATGCCAACAACTGCAAAACCCTAACCCAACACGAATCATGTCTACGTCTTCCCTCGCCTGAAAAGATCCCCAGGAACAACGGACCCCAAGATACGGGAAGAAACTCTGCAAAGGCCCTAAACAGCCCCACCTGGATCTACAGAACTCCAGCTTACCGGGCCCAACTAACAAAGACCTAAACCCTCAACCCTCAACCCTAAACCCTAAACCGTCAACCCCAAACCCTAAAAATCGGCATCCCAAACTTCAGGCCTCCGGTGTGGGCGCCGAGTTTGCCATGAGCTGCGCCACGCCTGCACAGGGGAAGCTACCCGGCCTAGGAACTCTTGAAGGTTCCTGCAACCTTCAGGGATGCTGTAGGGTTGCGGGCCATGGTTTAGAGCTTTTAGGGCTTTTGGGGGCTTTCAAGGGTCTTGGGTTTGGGGATAAGGGATTCATTCGAGTTGGCGAGCCGGCTGATCGTTAAGGAGCACCCCTAAGTGAATTCTCCCTACTTACAAAACTACATACTCCTGAAATCCTCTGAGTGAAATCTGACCCTCCGAAGCCCCAAAACCCTAAACCCCCAAAGCCCCAAAACCCTAAAACCTAAACCCCCAAACCCCTAAACCTGACCCCAAGGAACCCCCAAACTCCGAAAGCCAAAACCCAAACTCTGAGCCCGGAGGTGGACCCTGCAGATATCCTGACTCGAACCGAAGTCCCAAAAACCATGGCTTCCGGGAAAGGGTTTTAGGGTTTGGGGGTTTAGGGCTCTGGGGTTTTAGGGTCTGGGGGTTTAGGGCTCTAGGGGTTTTAGGGCTCTAGGGCTTTAGGGCTCTAGGGTTTTTGGGTTTTAGGGTTTAGGGAAAGAGCCCTCAAGCGCTGTGCCGGCCGCGGCCTGCAGATCGGGCGGCGGCCTCTGCTGCCTCCCCAGCAGCGTGGGCGGCCTGCTCAGGTGCAAAGCTCCAGCCCTTCAATGGGGTTCGGACACCTCGGCGATCGAGGCGTCCACTCGCCCGAACCGCCCTTAACTTGAAACCCCCAGGTCCAAAACACCAGAAGCGCCAAGAGCCCCACCTCCTGAGCTTGGAACACCGCTTGGCTCATCGAGGCCTGAAGAAACCGCCGGGCTTCGAAGACTTTAAAGGAATTTTGGGCTTGAGGCTGTCTGCATTCGGTCTCGTCTAGTGAGTCTAGTAACTGTCGCTGGCTGGTCCATCCTGCGCCTGCATCGTCAAGGCCTAAACCCCTCAGCTCGAACACCAGCTGATCCATGCGTCGCACTTCGTCTCAATTTGTGGCGCTTGCATCCCGCGTAACCATTGCCCAGAACACAGAAGCTGCAGGCTCCACGCTTTGCAAAAGTACATGCGGTTTTCATAACCCAGCGAATTGTCCCGTTTTAGGGCAATATATTCCTCATGCTGCGTGATGAAACCCAGCCAGTTTGCAAGCTGCAAAATGCTCCTTGTCGTGACAATCATGTCTTAGCAGCCGCATCTGCTTTTTTCTGCGGACCCTGCTCTTCCAGCGCCCTGAAGATTTCAGGCTCGTCTGCTCTAGGGAAGTATGTGCCCTGCCGTCTTCTGCGCAGGCAAGCAGAATTCCAAGCCCAACAATAGACATCAAACTCGAAGATTAGACAATGCGAGTGCAGGCACAACGAATCCAAGGTTACATTGCCTCGGGGGTCTTACAATCGAAGCTACCTTAGTTCTCTGCTGCTTCCGCCGATGTGTTGATGCATGTTGCCTCTCCAGCCCTCAACTGTATAACCTTGGAACGCGTGCACCGCACTTCAACACGCAATGCTTGGGCAGTGCTGTGGCCAAGAAGCTGCGTAGGCACAGGTCACGGCGCCGTGCACTGAGCTGCTTGGAAGCGCTGCGGAACTCTACGAATTCTCGGACTCTCATCGAGCCGTGCTAAGAGGCTCAGTCCATGTACTCCCCGGCCGCTGTGTCCGGAATCGAAGCACCCTCATCTACCGGATGGGCCGTCTCCTTGCCTCGACCACGGACCCCACGACGAGTCTGCAACTTCTGGTGTCCCTTGCTGAGGATGCAGGATGGGCTCGAGAAGACGGCCACAGGCAAGTCCGGCTTGAAGACGATCTTCAGCACGTTGCATTCCATGGGCAGCGTCTCTGCACTGGTGAGCGCAACCGGCTCCCCTGAATCCAGCATCACGAAGTCGCCCATCTTCAGCTTGCCGGCCGGCACGTAAAGAGGGCGTCCCGCATTACCACCTTCGTTCGGGACCTGCACGGGATGGTCCGGGGTCACCCGCAGTGTTGCAGCACCCGCCTTAAGGTCGACTACTTCCCTAGCTCGCGCTTCCTTCGAGATCTCGACCACCTCCAGAACGGTCTCGCCATCACCAGCCAGGACCTGTGACCCCTTCTGGAGGTCACTGCCCTCGCGGAAGACGTCCATGCGGCTCTTGAAGATGGCATCCAGCATGAAGCAGTTCTGCTTCACCGAGCAATCGGAGGATCCACTCAGGACGGAGGCGCGTCCTTCATCCACGAGGCTGTACCCCAGTTGCTCAGCAAGATCCGGCTCCTTATCACCGAAGGCTACGTCACGAAGATTGAAGCTGGGATGATGAGGGGACTCTTGCTTCTTCCTCTCGGCGAGCTGGCGAAGGCGCTCCTTGTACATGCCCCTCTCTTCCCACAGAGCCTCCAGCTGACCACGGGCTTCGGCAAGCTGCTGCTGGAGCTGCTCGCACCGGTCCTGCAAGACTGCCTTGCTGCCCCCCGTCGCCACGTGGACCGCAGCCCGCTGGTAGCCGTCCTGGAAGCTGTGACTTTCCTCATGCTAGGGTTTAGAGGTTTAGGGTTTAGGGGTTTAGGGTTAGCAGTCGCTGCAGCTCCAACTGCTTCTGGGCGGCATCTTTGGTCTTGGCATGCTTGGAAGCTTCTGCCTCTGCCGCTTCCAGGCGATTTGCGAGCTCTTCGCAACGCTCCTGGCACTTGGCATGCTCCTCCTGCAACTGCCGGAGCTCCTTCCTCATCGCCACTACGGCTGACTCCGCAGCAGCAGCGCGCGTTGCGAGCTCTTCGCACCGCTCTTTGAGACCTGCACTCTCGCTTTGCGCAGTTTGGAGCTCCGCATCCTTGCTGGACACCTGCGCCTCCGCCACAGCCAGGCGATTGCTGAGCGCTCGGCCCTCCTCCTGCGATGTTTGCAGCTCCGCTTCGAGGCGCCGGCGCTCGGAGGTCTCCTCCTCGAGCTTCTGCCGCTTCCGTGCCGTCTCCGTGCTCTCCGCAGCCACGAGTCGCTCCGCGAGCTCCCAGCAGCGATCCCGGGTGTGGGACTGCTGCAGGTACCAAGCCGTCAAGCGCTCCCGCTGCGCTGCTGGGAGGAGCTCGAGGTGCCCCGCCTCGGAGAAGCGCCAGCCGCCGCACCAATCGTACTTCCCCCACTCGGCCGCCCCGTGGCGGAGCAGCGCCTCGCAGAGGCGCTCCGGCTTCGTCGCCGTGTTCAGCTCTCCGAAGCGCTGGAGCCAGGCCTCGGCCTCCGCCGGCTGCGCGGCCCAGAGCTCCACCAGCCGCCGGCTCACGGCCTCGCGAGCTCGCTTCGCAGCATCATGACTGTAATGCGCCAAGTTGGCGAAGGCGTCGATGACGGTCGCCAGGGACCAGCCGCCAGGGACTTCGGTCAGGTGTTCGAGGTATTTTGCATCGGACTGCTGGGGCATGGCGGCGTGGCTCGGAACCTTCGAGATGAGCACTCGGGCGGACCGCAAATTTGCCTTTGAGGTTTCTGCCTGAGGCCAAGCACGGAAAGCAAAACCGCGGCGCTCCTGGATCGATCTCTCATGGGCACGTCACCTTGACATGCCACACCTCTCAACCCACTCTACAAACCCTCAGCCCAAGCCCGAAAAAGCTCTGAACCTCAACAAAAATACCCTCACCTCATAGGCACTCAGCAGCTTAGCTCTCAACAGCTCCACTAGGCACGCTTTGCGGGCCTCCGCCGGACCGCGGCCGCCTGAGCAGAGAGCACTCTGCCGGCCACTGTGGGCTCGGGGCTTCGCGTTTCAGGAGGGCTTTCTATCATGGTGTTGTGTATATGTTACCGGGCATTGCATTCAACGCAATGCCTTTTGTAAGACTTTCGCAAGTAGTTGCGTCTAAGAGTCCTACAGGGATATTCCACAATATTTTCACAAGCTACGAGTAATGGGTCGTTTGGGGTTCAAGGCTTCAGGGCGGGAGACGCTTACGGGAGTTCCGGGTGCAGGGTGAATCCAAGCACCCTATAGGCCTCAGCACGCTCTGCCGTCCTGCAAGCCGAACTGCGTAGAAAACCCCACACAACTCAACGCAAAAGCGATGCTTCGAACCCTTCATTGAGTACCCAAAGCCGCACCTAAGCCCAAATCCTAATCAAACCCCAAACCTAGACTTTCCCTACAACCCCTCAACCCCAGACCCTACAACCCCTACACCCTACCCTACAAACCCTGAACCCCAAGCCCTGCTTGGGCCCCCTAGCCAACGACGGCGCCATCGCAGGGCGAGGCGAGGAGCGCCAGAACTACGAGCTGAGAAAGGGCCTCGGAGCTCCGCAGAGTGACACCGGACTTCTTTTTGCCGGAGTTTTCTCGGCCTAGGATTGTAAAGGTTTTGTAAGGTTTTAGGGGCTGTAGGGTTTTAGGGGCTTGAGGGTTTAGGGAGAATCCCGGATTCCAGCGTTCTAGGGGTGGTGGGCTTAGGGTTTGGTCCGGCCTCGAAGGTCTGCGCGTTGTTAGGTCGAAGTTAAGAATTGTGTTTCGGTGTAGGTCGTCGGTGTTTGAGAGAGTTCAGGGTTCAAGGCCCATTTTTAGTCAGGTGTTTTGGGGGAAGCAGGGTTCAGCGCTCCTAGCTTCTTTGGGGAATCCTTCTGGAGAGATGTCTTTAGCGAGAACTGCTAGGAAAAGAGGAGAGGGGGCTTTGAATCAAGAGGCGGTTGTTCCTGAATTCGGCGGAAGTGGCCAGCCAACCCCTTTCGAGGAACTGAGCGAAGAGGAAAGACACAAGTAGTTCTCTGCAAGAGTGCCTCCTGATCCTAAACTGCAACGGGTGACCAAGGAAAACTGGGCTCGGAGTTCAGCTAGACTAAGATAGTAATGATAGTAATAATGATAGTAATAATAATAGTAATAAGAAAACAATAAAAATAATAACAACAAGAATAACAATGTTCGTTATAATAGTAATAAGGATAATAGTTCTTATTGGACTCTGAACCTGAAGCCGGAAACCTTCATCCTCAACGCCCCTAAACACAAAACTGCCACAGCTGGAAGCGAATCTACAACTGAGGCAGTGGCCCTCATGTCTACATTGGCTGACGGATCTTGAGCCGCAGCAAGGCTACGCCGCTTCGATTGTCCGTTTTGGGCTGGAGGTTACGGTGGTGGGTTAAGGGAGACTGAGCTTGGGAGAGCAGAGCTGGTGGCATGAACCCCAAACCCTAAACCCCCAAACCCCTAAACCAGCCAACCACTTCTTGCAGATGTATAAAGACTCGCATGAAACGTTGCATGCAACAGCCCCTAAGCACACAGGACTTGAAGGCAACGGCCCAGCTTACGGTGAAGTGCTGCTACCTTCAGCTTCGAGGTTCACGGTGTTGCGGGCCTTGTAATTCGGGCTTCGAGATGAAGGGTACAAGGAGACTCGGAGCAGTTTTGAGCTTTAGGTGCGCATGAGGCCGAGGAAATACAGACTCAGCCCACAGCCAGCTGTGAAGTGAGGGTGTCCCCGTATAAACTGCTTCTCGAACTGAAACCCTTCCGCCTTTTCTTCGCTGCCGACCATAAACCACACCCCTAAACTCTTGACCCCCCGAACCGTCCTAACCCTAAAGCCTGAACCCCGAAACGCCGCAACCTAAACCGCAAACTCCTCGTCCCGAACAAGAAGAAGCCTGGGAAAAGCCCAAACCATCCTTGGCTCGAAGCCGTGGCATGTTGAGGGTTCAGGGTGTTAAACCCTCACAAGACCCTACAACACCCTTGCAAAAGCATAGAGAATGAGACGGAGGGCCGCTGTTTTGCTGACTGCAAGCGACACGTGCTCTCTCCACAGAGCCGCGAGCTTCACTTCACCAGGGGGGCAAGTGAAAGCTTTTCGGGGCTTCGAGTTCCGGAGTCTTTCCGTAGGCGTTTCTGTTTGTTTTAGGGCTTTCGAGTTTGGGGCTTCGTCTGCTTTGGGCTTTGGGGGTTTGGAGCTTTAAGGGCTTTAGGGCTTTAGGGCTTTACAGGCCAAGCGAAGTAGCTTAAGGGTTTAGGGGTTTAGGGGTTTAGGGTTTAGCTTAAGGGTTGCACACCATACGGCCGACCTCACTGCGCTGCTTCAGCAACCTGGCTCTGGGCCCGAGGCGCTGTCGGAATTGCGGTTCAGGGTTCTTTTTCCTATACATATATACATATACATATACATATACATATACATATACATATACATATACATATATATATATAGATAGATATAGATAGCTATAGATAGATAGATAGATATAGATAGATATAGATAGATATAGATAGGTAGATAGGGTTTGAGCGTTGTTTGTGTGGTGCAGGGTTTGGTGCGGGGGGCGGGGATTTGCGGGTAGTTTGGAGCTTTTGTCTTGCAGTTCAGGGTTTTGAGTTGAGGGCTTACGGCTTCAGGGCTTCAAGGATTTTGAGCTGAGAGTTCGGGCCATGGAGATCCGGAATGCTAGTGATGAAGATGGAGGTGGAAATGGGTAACATTGGAAACAGATGATGATCATCATGATGATGATGATTCCCTTATAGCTATAGATAGGTCCTCGACGTCCTTTTCCCATGGCACATGCTGAAGGCAGTCCAACAGGACGACCTTCAACCGCTTCAACTCGAACCTACACGCTACGCGTCGGCACACCTTACCGGCCCAGCGCAGGGTCAAAGCACTCCAACTTCCTGGGGCTAAGGGCTTCCGGCTACCAGCCAAAACATCTCAGAAGACACCCTTGGAGGTTGTGGACAAGGTCTATTTGGAAGTCTTCCCGTGGAAAAGCCTGATTCTATCGAAATGCTTGCTAGACTACCCTAGCAGCCTTACTTTGGAGTCCTTATGATAAGGATCCTACTATTTAGGGTACTATATTAGGGTCCCCTATTTATGATTGTAGTGTTGACTTTAATAAACCGGATCCTCGGCCGAGAGTTCTTGAACTACCACGACGCCCTTGAAAACGAGGCCGGCAAAGCATGACGGCGAGGGCCTGATGGGAACCTGAACGCTCTGTGGTCCATCGTCCCCTGTCACCTTCAAAGGGCCCTTGAGCCCTTAAACTCCTATAACCGCAGCACCGCAGTGGAAACCAAGAGGCACTCCAGCAACCCGCTGGAAGAGCCAATGGCTAAAAGGTCCAGGGTACCTGTCACCCCCAACACTACAGCTCTAAGAATCCAACCCAAAGTCGTGCTCGAAGTACATATTCTATACCCTAAACCCTAAACCCTAGATGCAGCGTGCTCGCTTTTAACAAACACCCTGAACCCCCAAAAAAGCGAGCGCCGGCGTCCGAAGCATCGCCTTCACTCGGCTTGGACGCCGCGCTGGAAGATCGGAGCTACCAGGAGGCCCGACGTCTACGGTGTAAGCTTCAGGGTTTAGGGTTTAGGGTTTAAGCTTCAGGGTTTAGGGTTTATGGTGTATGGTTCAAGGCTGAGGCTCAGGGTTTCGGGGGCTTTCTTGGCCTTAGGGTCTGTGAAGGAGTGGCTTAGGGTTTCGACTTCAGCACTGGGATCTGGTGTTTCGCGCTATAGTAGTGATCTTGATGGGGACTCAAAACCCATGATCCTGCACCTCACCCTCAGGGTTCAGAGAAGTTGGACGAGCTTGGTTTGGCAATTGTTCAATAATTGTGGGCTTCACGCAGGAAGCATTTAGGCTTTAGGGTTTATCCGCAGTTCTTAGGGTTCAGGTTTTGCTTCAGGGTTGAACAGCTCGGGCTCTTTTTGAACCAAAGGTAAGTCATAGGGTCCGCTTCGCAGCTGAGGGCTTCGTTTGTGGGCTCTCCCTGGCAGCTCCCAAAACTTGGCTGCACCCAGTCCCTTCGGGAAGGATGCGGGGAAGCTCCGGCAGGTCCGGGTCAAGCACCGCCCAAGAGGAAGGCCCTGCGGCCCCAATGATTAGAATAGGGTTCTGGGGCCCATTATACTATGGAAATAATAAGGAATCCTCAACATAGTATAGGCCATCATTTAGGCCCCCATATTACTCCGAACATTGAAGATACCGAAGAGCTCCGGCAAAGCCCTCAAAAGATGACACTGCATGAAGAGCTGGCAGCTCTGAGCTTCAGATGCATTGGGGTCTCTGGCTACTGAGATACAACTAGGAATTGTCAAGACATGCACCAGGCTAAAGCAATTCTCAGGCGCAACACAAAGCAGAATCTTTCTGTTGGGCGGCTGGGGATCGGAACCCCGTCGTCCCGGACTGCGGAACGTCTGGCACTTCAGCTGGCGGGAGGCATCCCGGCCACGGACACGAGGTTGATGCAGTAGCCTCTGCAGGATTTACGTGTCAATGTGAACACCCAGTATTACACACAAACAGACCCATACCCATGAAAGCCACTTCTTGCCGGCCAGCGGCGGTTTCCCTTGGAGTCCGGCAAGTTGTGGCCAAGGTGGGTGCCATCCACACTCACCTTACCACAACGTCTTCGGCTCATATGAGGCATCCTTCGAACTTGGGGTTTGGGGTTCAGGGATGAAGAGTAATAGGGGGATTTGGGTTTAGGGTTCAGTGTTGAGGACCGTTCCGGGCTCAAGGCCCAGGGCTCAAAGTTTGGAGATGGTTCGAGTGAGGTTCAGAAGGCTCTCTTTATGGCTTCTAGCTTCAGGGACTTCGGGTTGCTGTTCTCAACGTTTCGGCATCTTCGGCTCCCTAGAAAGCCTGGGGCCTAGGGCCGTCCGGACTTGTAGTCTTGATGCGAACTGTCGAAACCAGGATTTCGAAGCATGGGGGGTTCAGACAGAGTCTGAAGCCCTGAATGCGCATTCAGTCTGCGCGACATCATACAGGGATCATTGTGCTAGCCCAAAAGGCTCTTTATCTTCTGGTTTCTGCCCACAAAACCCAATGTAGGGGCCTCAATAATTCGAATACGGCTTTGGGCGCTATTAGAGTATACGGCTACACTAAGGAACTCAAAAGGATAGTGTTGATAATTGTTTGGGCTTGTATAGTAAGCTTCCCTGCTGCAGGCTTGTGACGACCTCGCCGTCCGGCAGCACACGGACGTTCTCCTGGACGACTTCCTGCCGGCATCCATCAGGCGGTATAGGTTTTAGGGTGCAGGGTTTACGGTTCAGGGTAGTGGGGCTTCCCGCTGGGCAGAGATACGAGAGGGATCTCAAAAGGAGCCGAAAACTACAACGCTCACTAGGCTGCTGTTGCTGAAAATTGGGATCTACGGTAAAATGCTACGGCTTAACCTAAGCTACATGGGGGTTTCCGAAAATAGGGGACCCTAATATAGTACTTTAAATAGTAGGATCCTTATTATTAACCCTATTTTTCGGAAACCCCCACATTCTTGAGAAAACCCGAGAAGCCCCCCCACCGCTGGCTCCTCATCGCGGAAGGAGGGCCAGCCATGCGCAGTGCTCTCCTCGCAGGGAGGTTGCGAAGACGAGTTGAAAGGCTTCAGCGATTAGGGCTTAAGGTCTAGGGTTTATGGTTTAGGGTTCAGCGTTTGGGTTCAAGAAAGCTGTCTAGGGCTGAGTGTGCGGTTTTGGGCCTTCTGTGGGCAGTTTGATTGCTTGTAACTCTATGTCCCTCTCTAGTGCCTACATGCCTGTGGCGGCTCGGGGGAAGTGAGGTCTTCCCGAGATTCCGAGCCTCAACCACACCGAAGATGCAAGGCAGAACCCCAGGTCCTAGCCCCTGGCTCCTGAAATCCTCTGAGCCCTAAAGAACTGAGTCCTAGAAACTCAAGTTAAAAAGTACGGGGCTGAGGTATGAAGCGGTGGAATGTCGACCCTAAAGTCGAAGACCTAAGCTAGTTTGAACCTCGATGGCTCGCCTTCTTACTGGCATCCTACCGCTATTGAAAGGAAAGCACAAGTTGTACTGCGAGGTAAATCACCACTGCGAACTATAGTCATAGAAGTGATCGCTGCCGCAATTTTCTGCGTCAACACAAGTCGTATGATCGTTGTCGTCTTCACCTTAATCTTTCCACTTTCGTCTGCACATAGCCGTCATCCTCATCTTCCCTGCTATGCCGGCTGTCTCATTTCAACAGCCATCACAGGAAGACCATGCCAACCCCGCCAACATCTCAGAAGCCTACACACGGAAACCCTGAATCGTGAAATCCCCAATAGGAACTGGTGACAAGGACTGCAGAAACTCCGTAACCCCTTGGAAAGCCTAGTAGCAAGCAGCAGAAAACCGAAGACACCCCCTCGCGTCTCCCGGTCGAAGTCGCCCCAATTCCGGCTCTTTGGTGCAATAAACAAGGGCTTGCCTGGCGCCACAACTCTTTCGGCATCCCTAGACCCCAAACCGTAAACCGTAAACCGTTAAAAACCCTAAACCCGAAGCCCTAACGGTTGGGGCTGTGGGTTTTAGGTTTTTCGGCTTCGGTTGCGATTTTGGACGTCTCGGGCGGCTAGTTGGGCCCCCACGAGAGGAACCCAACGGATTGCTTCCGAAAGCTTCGTATAGACCCGAAATGTAACCCCACACCCCAAACCCAAACAGGCCCCAGAATATCCCGAACTCCTAAATCCCAAAACACCCCCTAGACCCCCTTCAGTGCTTTGGTACCAAAGGCTTCGAAGGCCTGACTTGCGATGGAAGCTGAGACAGCAGAGGAAGCTCCAGGGTTTGCTGAACGTCGCATTGAGGTTTGAGGTGTCCAAAGTTTAGGGCTGTATCGATGCAGAGCGTGGAGCTTCAGTTTGATTCGGATGTCAGAGAAGGGAACTTGCCATGCAGGCTTATGCGAGATCTGCTGGGTGGGAGGCGCCTTACATGACCCAAGAGCTCATCTCACATCCTCAGCTAAGCCCAGCATGAAAGGACCAGAATGAGCGGTTCCAAGAGATTCGGCGCTTCAAGATTTGGCCGCCCTGTCTGTTGAACTCCCCGGAATTCGTATGGGAAAATGCTGAAGTCAGTGATTCAAGGGGCCGCAGCTACCAAGAGTGCAACAAAATCTAAACCAAACAAACCCCAATCAGCAAACCCTCAGCCCCAATAAACACCCCTCAACGCCAAAACCCTGAACCCTAAAATCCGAGAAAACAACCTTGTGGCGCCCTTAGATGCACGATAAAATTGAGCATGAACAGATCGCTATAAGACCCTTGTAGAAACCCGGGCCCGCTGCCTGTGATCGAATCATAGAACGTCATCATGTCGCCTGTCTGAAGATGGCAGGACAGGAAATCCTTGCTTGTATGGTTTTGGGGTTCTCAATGCGTGTCTGTAAAGGATAAAGGACACAGAGTCTACACGAGATGCTACCAAGGTTTCCGCCAGGGTCACTGTAAGGGATACCATAAGCGACCCGAAACCTCGCAGCTACAGATACCACAACCCGAAAAATGAGCCTGAACTCCGGCCATCTCCGACCCGAACCCGAACCTCACACCTTGCCTTAGGGTTTCAGGTTTAAGGTTTATCAGGCTTTAGGGGCTTAGGATATAGGGTTTTACAGGTTAGGGATTTGGGGGTTAGGGTCTAGCGAAACCTTCTCTAGCAAAGCACAAAAGAAGGCAGGAAAGATAGGACCCTGCCCTGCCTGCCGCATCCGCGGCCGCCATCGCCTCTGGGAAGCCGGTGTTCTTGTAGGAGCCTCGGGAGCTCTGGAATTTAGGGTTTAAGGCCTCGGGGTTAGTTTAAGTTTAGGGTCGAGGGTTGACAAAGCCAAGACCGCAGAAACATAAGCAAAGAGTGATATCGGAGTAGTAACAGTCATAGTCATAGCCATAGTAGTAATATTATGTGTTAATAGAACGGTGTCATTCGACATGTCGTGTTTTTCAGTGTTGTTCCCGTGTTTCGTGTTTTTTTAGTGGCGTTCGTGGTTTTCGCGGTTCATGCTTTTTGGACTTTTTCGTGTTGCATGCAGACTCCGACTGGGCACGACGCGCAGGCAAAAAGGGGCCTCAGTGATCAGAACAGGGTTAAAGGTTGTCGGGTTCAGGGTTTAGGTTTCTTTTCTTGTTGAACGCTTTTTTCCGTCTGCCAGTAGGTCACTAATGGGGTTTGGGGTTTCAGGGCTTCGGGGTGTTCAGGGGTTTTTGGGTGTTGGGCATCTTGAAATTTAGGGGTACATACTAAACCCTAAACCCTATACCCTGAACCCTAAACGATCCAACATGCACCCCTACAGCTCCCGGCCTGCAAACTCCGCATAGTGGCGGTTGAAGCAGTTGATGCGGTCGGCCTCCGGCCAAAACAACAACGTAATATGGGGGTTTAGGGTTTAGGGATACTGGGAAGGGGGTGATGGGCCACACATTCTAACAGATTTCCACGGGGAATGTAAGGGGAAAGTGTCACACTTTATGCAAGCCCCTCAATATTAGAGCCCCAAAAAAGCACGTAAGCACAAGTAAGGATAGGGCTATCCCATATGAACCCCCCTTATATGAACCCCAATAACATTGGGATATAGATCCCTAACAAAACGCTTATGCTCTACGCTTATGTCCTCTTTGGTGTCTCTAAAATACGGCTCGGCAGTTCGATGGCCTGGGGGGGTCTTGGGGTCCAGGATTGAGTTTGGGCGCGCCGCGTTCCCGGAGGCTTCTTGGCATCGATGCTTCGGGGTAACTTAGGAACCCGTTAAAGGAACCCTTATAGAGCCCTTTAAGAAAGGAAGCCTTCTCGTTCCCGTATAGTATCCCCTTTAAAGGAACCCCTAAGGTAACCTAGGAACCTGATGAAGAAACCCTGGGCCTATAACCCCAAAATAGTAGGATACATCTACGGAACCCTACTAAAGACCCAGGGTTTCTTAATCAGGTTCCTATATTAACGGAGGTCTGGTCGGGGCAGTCTGTACAGCAGGGCTGTAAGTAAGTATCGCAGAAATTCAGCTGCTTGGCGAGATCGTGTAGTTTGTTCTGATCCCACAACCTTGCGCAACACCTCGACTCCCTCGCAGTCCATGCTCAGGCGCATGCTAGCCAATCCCGAAACATCTCTTCCTGGGTAATATCCCACTACAACTATACGTAGGGTTTCGCTGTTTAAGGCTCAGGGTTCAGGGTTCGTGCTTGATGGTTTAGGGTTTAAGGGTTACAGGGTTGAGGGTTCAGGGTTTAAGGTTGAGGGTTGAGGGCTTTTAGGGTTTAGGGTTTACCCACAGGGGCCGAAATAATTGCCAATACTATTTTCGGGCTCCGTCTTAGCACTGCGGTAATATATACCCCCCAAAACCCTATTCTAGTTATTAGCGCCCCGTATTAGCCCCAAAACAACCTTAAGCCCATCCCAAGACCCCACCGTCTCGTAGTCGGCACCCCAACGCAGCGGGTTCTGCGGCGGGCCCACACAGGTGCCGTGGGCCTTCTGAGACATCAGGTCCTTCAAAGGTTTAGGGGTTTAGGGTTTGGGGTTTAAGGTTTAAGATCTAGGGTTTAGGGTTTAGGCCTTAAGGGGTTTAGGGCTTGGGGACTATAACTATCGGGTTTTGCATAAGGTAGGGGCTTTAATAATTACCCATACTATTTCGGTGGTTCCTTATTATAACCATAGTTTCATACATCCCACAACCCTATTCTAAAAGTTAGGCCCCTACAGTCAAGGGATGTCTGGGAAAACTTTCAAACCAGACGATCCCCTCAATTAACATGGAAGGTCGTGACTACTGCCCGAAACAGTGCTTTTCAAAGGGCAGGAGTCTGTAGCAAGAACATGTCTATCAAAGATTTTTGGAGGTGCCTCTAAACCTCAAACTGCGAACCTAGACCTCGTTGAATCACCGAAGACCCTACAGTAAACCCTGAAACTATATCCCAGGGTTCAGAGTTTTGGGTCTAGGCGTGTGCAACTTCGAACTTTTTTCGGTGCTCGGGTTCACGGTTTAGGATTTGGGGGTTGGGGTTTAGATTCCTGCATGCTATTGCCTGACCAACTAAGGAGTGGGGAACTCACAGTACACATTACAATCCTCTTGTTATACAGACACTGCTCAAATCGAGTTTCTCAAGTCAAACCCCGGGTCATGTACGAAATATGACAGCCCACTTTCCACACCATCAGATAGAAAACCACAAGAAAATGAGATAACAACAACAACGGCGACGGCTCCTCAGTGCCCTTGATGCTGTCGGGAGCCGACTCACCGCCGGAGCCCTGGCAGCCCTGGAGGGAACCTTGGCAGCCATGCAGATGGAACCAACGCCTGATACCCAGTGCAGGACTGAAAAAACTCTCAAAAATCCGAAAGTTTAGGGTTTAGGATGTACCTGTAGCCGAAAAGACCTACATTTTCAGGGTTCCTTATTATGGTTTCCATATATAGTTAAGTACCTAAGAAGGTAGGTCTTTGCGGCTACACCTGGGGTGTAGGGTCGAGCGCTTGAGCGCCGTTTAGGGTTTAGCGGTTAGGGCTCTCAGGGGTGCACTCGGATGGGACAGTCGGGAGCGTCGCTGTCGGCTCTCCTCCCTGGACTGGTCTGGGGATTTCAGAGGAACCAGGGCCCCCAATATAGAGCCCTGATGACCGTTGATGAACTAATGGGATCCCGTTATGAAGGCCCCCCAACCCAAAAAAAAAGACTGTTGTAACTAGGAAGACGAATCGAACACTCTTCGTAAGACCTTTTGCGCAAGCCTGAATCGAAACACCGCGAACGGCGCTAGTGTTCACCCCTCTGCTCTCACACGCCACGGAATCGATGGCTTTCTTGGAATCTTACCCCCTAGGCAAAGATTGAAAGACCAAGTGCTCTGATGTAACCCTTGAATACTACAGAGCTGCTGCTCAGTTCATGCGATTGACTCCTCTAACCCGTGCCCGCCCACGAACTGAAAGCGACCCGGCCGCAGACGGCCCAGGCAAGAAGAGCCAGAGCTCCGAGGATACGCGAGCCCATCGTGAGCGCCATGGAAAGCCAAGAACTCCCGAAGCCCGGAACCGCTTTGACGGGAGCCTTGTTTGGCACCGTCTATGGAAAGGATGAGCCAGTGCTAGACGCTGCCCCAAAGCGCTGGCATGACGGCACGAGCTGGGGACCCTTACAGTAGAAGCCAGAAAGTTGGAATATCATTATCGTAACCCCTTTAAGGTAAATTATAGGGGATCCTACCATTAATCCATATTCCAACTTTCTGGAGTTCCCTATACGCAATGGGTGAGGAGGCCAGGGCTCACTTGCAAGTCTGGCCACTGCCTGTGAAGCACAAGCTTTTTCCAGCATTCTTTCACGCGACACCTTTGGTGCCTCCGGCACTTCCAGTCGATGCATCTCAATTCTAGACTGGCTGATAAAGCGCAGTGCTCTTAGCGTGAGCACGTACCTGTGCGTTCTGCCTGCAATTGGCCGAAGAGACAAAGTCAGGCAACAACATGCTGTGGTGCCAGTGGCTCGGGGTTCAGGGTCTGGTTTTCGACTTTCATGCCTGGCCATCATGATGACAGACAGCATATCTTAAGTTCCAGCGCGCCTTATCTGGCCATGACAAGCTTGTTTCATGCGTTCCCTTTATCAACATCGCCATGCAGGCAGAAGCGCTCCGTTGCCCAAATGTTACAGGTGCGATGAACCTGATTGAAATGACCAGCTGAAGCATGGCTTGCGGAGGATTCTGTTGGGCTCGGCCTGGGGGGTAGGACTGTTGAAGAGCTCTTAATTCACACCGTACTTGTGTACAGCAGAGCACAGAGCATGGCTCTGCACTAGCAAGCCACATCATCCTCTTGCGTGATTCGATGTTGTCGAAGCCTGCTCAGCAGATCGTTTCGGAGAGACTTATTTAGATGCGGCAGCAAGGTCCAATCATGTCTCAAGACTTGATGAAACCCTCATCATGGTCGTCATCATCACCGTCGTAATCACAATCATCTTGCTAATCATATTCCAAATCAACATGCTCATGTTTCTTAATGCTAATAATGGAAGAACACTAATTGATAATGCAACACGGAAACATAACTAATCATACTTAGCTTACCAATATTACTACGAATACTGAGCATACTCAGAATACCAACAACTCTAGTAGACAGCACTGATCACAATGATGATGAAAACAAACACAGGCTGAAGAAGGAGAAGACTACAGATCCTAAATCCGCCAGACCGAAATGGCAAACCCGGAACCCCAAAGGGGGCGACCCCGCTGCGCGCAAAGGAAAAGGAAGCGCGGGAAGGACAGAAACTCCCCTCCGCGCGAAAAGCCGGAACAAGAGAAAGAACGTTTGACGATAGGAATAAGGAAAAGGCTGCGGTTTGGCTTCTTCTCCCAGCCAAGCGTTTGAGTAGTAATGCTGTTTTGCACAATGCGCAAGGGTGCTCTGACTTCGACAAGAGAGTTTAAAGCCAAAGCCACAGCCACGATCACTCTGCACACTCAATCGTGCAGATACTTGCCTTCTGCTATCCATCCACGGGTACAAGTATTCAGGGCACAGCTGCTTAGGGTGTTTGTTGGGATTAGAGCACTCTGACAGCACCGCAAACCTGCAAACAAAGTCCCAGCGAAGCTCCCAGAACCTTCAAAACAACAAAGGACTGTTTAGTTAGCGTGGCTTGGTTTGAAGCCGATGGGAGTCTGGTTTGCTATGTGGTTGTGGCCAGTATCTCACCGCCATCACCTACTATGTCTTGGGCTGATACCGACTGGCCATCGTTTTTGATCCGAAACCCCTTGGCCTAGCAACAAGAGGGAGCCGATCTCAGCTTGTCTCAATCACTTCTGGAGACAGGGGGTGCGGCTCACTTGTAACCCCTCACATGAGGGTTCAAGCGGCATTGAACTATCGGGACTTCTCAGGTCGCGAACCAATTTTCGGGACCTGCTTTTGAAAATCTAAGAACGAATCATAAATGCTCGCAAACTCTCAAAAGAGAATGCGCCATTGGCTTCCATGCCCAACCCTGGTGCTTCTTCCCCTCCACCGTCGCTTCTGTCGGGAAAACCATCGGTGGAGGCTCTTCATCTCATGCCTTCTTGCAAACCAGTCACCCTGAACAGTACATCATAAATGCTACACGCAGACTCTCCTCCAACCCTAGTGCCCTTTAATTAGTAACCTTCATGTGCAGAGTTTAGGGTTTAAGGTTTAAGGTTAGGGTAATTCGTAACATTATACCATAACCTGCTTCGGCTTCCGAGTTGGTCTGAGGTCGTCAGACGTCAAAAAGCCGGATGCATGGTAATGTAGGGGCCTCAGTACTTGAAACAAGCTTTCGGAGGTACACTATACTGCTTCTCGTCCCTGTAGAAACCTAGTATCACCTCTACTATGTGTACACATGGGACTCAAGAGGATACAAGTTACTAGGACGAAGTACTCAGGCCCCTACATTATTCCTTCACCTCTCCCTCATCGGCGAGCAGTCCCCGAATCGAGAGACCACTGACACCATCTGCGTCGACGGGACCCTGATCTCGCGTGCGGCGCCTCTCCTGGGCTCAGATTAGGGTTTAGGGCTTTAGGGTTTAGGGTTTTAGGGTTTAGAGCTTAGGGTTCAACTTAGGCTACCATAATAAAGAAACCTTATGATTTACTGTAGATCCCCAGTATGGTAACTTAAAACCAAATTCCATAACAAGAAACCCCAAACCGTATTACATACTATAGATCCATACTATGGCAACTTAACCTAAATTCCCTCACAAGAACCCGAAACCATATTCATTATTGTAGACCCCTCTTATGGTAACTCGATTTCTTTATTGTGGTAACTTAGATTAAGTTCCTTGAACTCTAGAGTTTACTATATACAGAGCCCTATTACGGTACCTTAAACTAAGTTCCTTAACAAGAAGAGGCCAGTCTCAATTGCCTTTACGAAGGCCTCGGGCTTGCGACTCACGGCATCCAGGTAGAGGTTCAGCTGCGCCATGCGGAGCTGATGGAATGCGCGGTCGGGCTCAGCTGGCCTGGGCTTCTCGCTACGGAGTGTAATTTCAAGTCACCAAAAAAGGGATCTATAGCCAACAGTAGGGTTTCTTCATTATGGTTCAGGAATGAAATTTAAGTTACCAGATAAGGAGTGTAACTTTAAGTCACCAAAAAAGGAATCTATAGCCAATTGCAGGGTTTCTGTATTATGGCTCAGGAACTAAATGTAGGTTACCATAATAGGGATCTATAGTAAATAACATGGTTTTGGGTTCTTGTTAAGGAGTTTAGCTTAAGCTACCAAAATAGGGACCTACGGTGAATAATATGGTTTCATTATTCTGGGAACTTAAATTAAGTTCATTAACAAGAGCCCAGTGGCAGCACTCCGTGCGGGTGAACCTTTGTAGATGAGGCAAGCACGCAACTGCCGCCGCAGCCCATGAGGTCGCAGTCTCTGAAAAGCCACAGGCCTCTAGACTGCACATCGAGCCCTCAGTGGCGCGGCACTCGCTGTTGCATGACCCATGGCTAGGCCATCCAAGATCCCGGAATCCCAAGTGCCCAGCCGAGTCTCACCACCATGCATGGAGTTTAAGCAAGGTGCTTCGTGTGGACACATCCCGATAGGCTCGCATTGCGAGCATTTTCAGACAAGCTCGTCACACCCACAACAACCCGAAAGCCCCCCATTATCAACAGGCCGCAGACAGTGCTCAGACATACGAGGCGTGGCGTTGGATGAGTGTGGCAACATGTGAGAACCCACTGCTCAGTAGTGGTGACGGTAATATACATGCGAGGCTTCCGATGGCTCGTCACTAGGTTTGTTCTTTGGGCTTTCACTGGATGGATTCAACTTTCTGGGATTGCTTGTTACTGTCTGCTGTTCCTTCCAGGAACCCGCATGCAAGCCCAAAACCCAATATCGACAAGAAGCCATGACCCCCGGCAAAAGCAAGGACTCTCCACCTCTTGCCGCTGCCGGTGGCACCGTAGGCCGCCTCTCCAAGACTGGTTGGCTCGGGATTTTGGGTTATGGGGCCTGGGGCTTAGGGTTTAAGTTTAAGGTTCAGGGTTTAGGGTTTAGGGGCCTGGGGCTTAGGGTTTAAGGTTTAGAGTGTAGTGTTGGTGGTTCCAGATTTAGTATTTGGGACCATGGGCCAGCATCGAGGCAGCTCCAGCGCAGTCTCTGCTTTGAGATTTCTGGCTGCGGCATCTAGGAAATTCAAGGTTGACATGAGAACTTGTAGCAGTAGTGCGTATTCAAGGATTGCTGGTTTGTCATGAGAAAAGCGAAGCTCGGACACGTTCAGGATCAGGTTTGTAAGGGTTTCGGCTTGAGGGCGAAGGGTTTTCTAAGCTGAGAAGCTCGCATCCTTCTCTCCCTCCGGCATCGCCCATGCGATCCCCACAGCACCTGCACTTGTCTGATCTGCTCTGCACTTTATGTCGACCTTCGTCGCTCTATAACCCTAACTTCCTGCAAGGTGGTGATTAGGTTGATGATATAAATCCTGCATGACCCATATTAAGGAATATACCATAATTCCCATAGTTTAGGGTCATCAACCGTTGGGGCTTAGCACTGGCTCGGAGCTTCGTGCTTGGGCAAGGAAGGCAGAACGTCAAGTGGTTTTCCTGGCTACGCCATTGTTGCCTGCCTTGTAAACTCACGAATCCTTCGAGGTCTACCTGCGATCTTCTGTGCAGGATAAGCAAAACTGCGAGCCACACAGCGCTGGAAGATTCATGCAAAGCCTTCGTGCCGGCACTGCCCGTCACCCTGCTGCTATACTGCTAGCACCCATATATACGTCGCAAAGAGCCAACTGGATAATGCTCCAGCATCAGACTGAATCACGACCCGACTCGAGACACGGAAGAAGATACCGGTGAACCTGGGACCGCGTGCACCGCACTCTGGCGACTCCGGCGACAACTCAAGCAGCGAAAGGCACTGGCGATTAAGGGCCCCGTGCACTGAACGCCTTGACAACATCACCGGAGAATCGTCAATTTGATGGCTGCGATAGGCCCAGAACTCTACATTATCTTCTTAATCTTGACATGCCCTTCAACAGTATCTCAGTCGATGTTCCAGCCGTGTTCGGCATGGAGACTCTTCCTTCATCTGCATTCTCCTCGGCCGTCAAACCCTGCCGTCGGCGCTGCCCCATCTTTGCACGGCGGATTGCCGGCTTGCTGTTGGCGCCCTTGCTGAGGATGCAAGGAGGGCACGAAAACACGGCCACGGACCGGTTCGGCTTGAATGCGAGCTTCAGCACCTCAAAGTCGCCAGTTTCTGATGCTACGCCCGTGAGGGCCGCGGGCTCCCCGGAATCGAGCATGACCAAGGCACCCGGCTTCAGGCTTCCTGCCTGGACGTAGCGGCCGCTACCTGCGCCCTGCCCGTCTTCCATCCCACCGTCAGCTGCTGGGACCTGCACCGGGTGGTCTGCCGTGACCCTCAGTGTCGCAGCACCGGCCTGCAGACGAATGACCTTTTTGGCTTGGCACAAAACGGGAGCCTCGCAGACCTCCAAAATGGTCTCATCGTCGCCGGCCACCACCTGCGACCCTTTCCGTAGATCCCGGCCCATCAGGAAGAAGTCGACGCCGGAGCTGCGGGTCTTGAAGATAGCATCTGCCATGAAGCAGTCGGGCTTCACGGAAAACCAAGAGGAGTGGCTCAAGACGGAGGAGGAGGAGGAGGCCAAGGTTATGCCGTCGTCCACCAGAATGTACTCGGTCAGATCTGACTCCGCGCTGGAAGCCGCATCGTCGCTGGATGCTTGGCCTTGGCAGGTGAGCGTGGCCTGGACGGGAGGGCTAACGGCGGCTGGTGGTGGCTTCGCCTCGGCCAGCTGGCGCTCCAGCTGGCGGCAACGCTCCTTGTAAGTGGCCTTCTCTTCCCACAAGACCTGCATCTGACCCAACTTTCCTTCTGCTTTGGCGAGCTGCTGACGGAGCTGCTCGCACCGCTCCAACAGCACAGCCTTCTCAAGCTGCAGCTCCATCTTGCTTTTCGCCTCTTGTGACGACATACATTCCGGGTAGCCGCGACTCTCCTCTTGGAGCCGCTGCACCTCCAACTGCTTCTCGGCGGCATGGGACTGGGCCTGCGCCAGAAGCTCCTTGGTCTGGGCATGCTTGGAAGCGTCTGCCTCCGCCGCTTCCAAGCGATTCGCAAGCTCCTCGCAATGCTCCTGGCACTTGCCATGCTCGCCCTGCAACTGCTGGAGCTCCTGCCGCATCTCTGCCACGGCTGACTCCGCAACTGCAGCACGAGTTGCGAGCTCTTTGCATTGCTCTTTGAGACCTGCACTGTCGCTCTGCGCGGCTTGGAGCTCCGCGTCCTTGCTGGACACCTCCGCCTCCGCCACAGCCAGGCGATTCTGCGATGTTTGGAGCTCCTCTTCGAGGCGCCGGCGCTCGGAAGGCTCCTCCTCGAGCTTCTGCCGCTTCCGCGCCGTCTCCGAGCTCTCCGCCGCCACGAGCCGCTCCGCGAGCTCCCGGCAGCGATCGCGGATGGAGGGCGCCTGCAGGTACACAGCCGTCAAGTGTTCCCGCTGCGCTGCTGAGCGGAGCTCTCCTCGAAGGAGCCCCGCCTCGGAGAAGCGCCAGGGGCCGTATGGGTACTTCCCCCACTCGGCCGCCCCGTGCCGGAGCAGCGCCTCGCAGAGGCGCTCCTGCCTCGGCGCCGTGTTCAGCAGCTCACCGAAGCGCTCGAGCCAGGCCTCGGCCTCCTCCGGCTGCTCGGCCCAGAGCTCCACCAGCCGACGGCTCAGCGCCTCGCGAGCTCGGTCCGTCTCAGCTAGACCACGAGCCAAGTCGAGGAAGGCGTCGATGACGGTCGCCAGAGGCCAGGCGGCAGGGACTTCGGTCAGCTCTCTGAGAAGCTTTGCTTCGGACTGCTGCGGCATGAGGAACTGCAGGCTGCGGAGGTTGGGTGCTGGATCTTTTCTCTGAGCCTAAAGGCGCAGCCACAGCAAACCACGGCACTGAGTTCTTCAGCTCCCCAGCCCTTCTTCCTAATACAAAATCTCCACGTGAACTACGGATGTCACGGTCGGGCTTTGTGCATGTCTGTGCGACACGGATTCATTCAATTTCTGCAGATGGGTTCCTGACACCAAGTAGGAACGCGATCGTCATCATTCGCACTGATCGCAGCGAAACAACACAACAAAAGAACATAGATGCTGATAATGATCACGATGATGCTGCTGATGATGATGACGATGAAGATGAAAATGATGATGGTGATGATCATCATCATCATCATGACGACGATGACGATAACGAAGAGAATACCATGCAGATGAGGATCAGGATGTGGATGAGGATTGTGACGGTGATGGTCATGCTGGCGATGGCGATGATGATGATGATGATGATGATGATGATGACGATGACGATGACGATGATGATGATGATGATGGTGATGCCGATGATGGGATAATGATGATGATGATGATTGTGATGGTGATAGTGATGCTGATCGTGATGCCGATGATGGCGGTGATGATGATGGTGACGATGATGGTGATTGTGCTTACGATGACGATCTTCTTCATCATCAGCAACATCAGAATCATGATCTCCATCACCATTGTCATCATCATAGCAACCATCCTCAGAAGCATCATCATCATCACCATCATCATCGTCGTCATCTTCATGAATGCAGGCCCGCACCGGCCTGGCGCATCTTCCGTCGCAGCCCGCGGTCGGGCTCCAGAGTTTTGGTGATGAAGGGGTCATCGGCACCGTCTGGTTCCTTGCAGAACAGAGACGCGGTGGGAGGCCATGTTTCGGGTCCGGATCCGAGTCTTCGAAACACCGAGCCGGGAGAATGAGAATGTTACGTGAGAGGCGCCAGTGACTATTTTACGCCATGGGCTTCACCCGTTCGGAGCGACTTGGGACTCCAGGCCTCCATGCTGAAGAATCTGATCTGAGGTTCTTCTCGAGGTAAGCAAGGCTCAGGTTTTAAGGCTCGGGGTGCACGGGCCTCGTTACAAGCGTACCGACAGGACACCCCAAGTACACAAGCACCGACACTCCCAAGGAGCCCGACCTACGCTTCAAAAGGAGAGGAGAGGAGCTTCATGCTTGTGTTGCTAAGACACCCTCTCTGGGTAGTTGGGGAACTGTCGGGGCTCAGGGACACCCTCTCTTCGGTGTGCATGTAATGCCTGGTTCCCCAGGGAGCTGAGGGAAGGACGGTAAAGTCCGTGCCATTGCCAGAAGGAGGTGACACTGGCCTCAGGCACCCCTCTAGGTGGCCCTTGTGTGGGACGTACGTTGACAAGCAATAACTAGAGCGTGTTTGCGTGAAGGTGGCATGAGGTGCTCAGGAACCTAGATGAAGCTAGCATAGTAGGCATCTGCCTAGGTGAGCTCCCAAAACGACGCAGTCTCACAGACTCAAGGTGCTCTTGGCTTCGACCCTCTAGAGCAGCAGACAGTCATGTCGACCCTCAGTGATTCGTTCAACCTGGAGGGCACTATCAAAGGAGCAGTAGACACAGCCCCACGTATTGGAGAAGACCCCAAGCCTGTCGGAATTTCGGGGACGCGTGCACAGCTTCTCAGCACTCGGCAGTAGCCACAGAATCATCCAGTCTCCGAGAACAGCACGGATCTGGCAGGAGCGGGCTTTCTGCTGATGGTGCCGGTGTGGGGGTTTGGTGTGGCAGAGTGCTGCTGAATCAGCTGATCTCAGATCCTGGGTAATTCGAGTCGGGCTTTAGGGAGTGTTATACTTTAACTGGCTCCAAAATAGCCTTGCCATTCTGCCAGGCTCCTACATTGGTGGTCGCAGTGCCAGGCGAGTTGGGCGGGGTCGCAGCTTGGGAAAAAAGTTGGTGGTGCTTTGAGATGGCCAAGGCTTGGAGCTGAGGTGCACTTGGGATCTCCTGCCCAAAACCTTACAAAGTTGAACTTCCAGCAGTGAAAAACCTACCGGCAAGAAAGACGGCCATTCCACCCCAGCTGGCAAGCCCCAAAACTCCAAGCTTTAAGCCCGCAGCCCTGAAGGGGCGCGGAAGTCTCCGAAATCGCCCTTCAGATCCGAAGCTCAGGACCCAAAACAAGAAGAGCTTCGGAAAAGTGGCTCCAAACCTCTTTGGATTAGTTAGGCTTTAGGATTTTGGCTGCTTCTGAAATACCATTAAACCCTCAGAAATGGGTAAACAGGTCCGTGAGACGTTGCCGTTGATGCCACGGTCGTGCACAGAGGCGCTAAAGCCTCAGCATGCTGCCGATGGGCTATGACTTCTGCTGCACGAGGAGTTCAGAACTTCGGCTTTTGGGTTTGGGGATTTTGGTTTAAGGGCAGTGTCGGCTTCAACCGGTTTCCGAGGAGCCAATACAAGACCATAGGGGCTCCGAGCACTGTCTGAGAAGCCACTGTGCCCTGTGCTTCTTGTGGTGAGGACCTAGGGGAGTGCGCCCGGTTTAGGAAGCAAGGCTCAAGCTGAAAGATGCAAGCAACCTTCTCACGGCCCTGTCTGAAAGTCACTCTCGATAGGCTCGACACGGATACCCTCTTATGCTGCCATTCTATGCCATGCTGACCTCAAAACGAGCCAGCGTTCAGAGTTCAGGGTGTGGGGTCTATGGCAAGGCTCAAGTTCTCTACGACGTCTTTTCCAATCGGTTGGCTCCACGGAAATCCGAAGCACGCACTGCGCATCCCCGTGTCGACACCTGAAAACAGAGCAACAGCACAAACGCTCAGCGTCCGTCTCTGATCTTTGCTACTCTTCTCGCAGAACTCGATGGTGGTCATGGCCTGCTGTCTCCCCACTGCAGAAGCAGTGGAAGGCTTTTGGGGCTTTGGGGGCTTAGGTATCGCATACTGAGAATTGAGGAGTTTAAGTTTAGGTTGTGGTTGACGGTTGACGGTCGAAGCTGCGGGCTTCGAGCTTCTCTGCGCCGTACGCTGCACCAACTCCCATCCGGCAGACAACTACGTGGAATTTATGTGGAACCTACAATGCACCTGAGAAGACTGCAAAGCGACAGATCCCACAGCAGCCCGCAGAAAGGCTGGAAATCCCAACCCGGCTGCTGTCCAAAGGAGCGAAAAAGACCTACAAGCTTGGCCCGATGCAAAGGCGTGTCCACGATAGGCTCGGTCCACCAGGCGCCGGCAGTCATGTGGGTGGTTGTCAACATTAGGGTTCCTTTTTGGGTCCTTATTATAATACGGCACCTAATATTTAGGGTACCCAAAAAGGGACCTTAATTTTGACAACCACCCATGTCGGTCTCGGACCCAAGACACCTAAACCAGGAAAAGGCACCTGCAGCATCAGCCAGACATGGAAAAGGAAGAAGAGGCTGATCCTGGGCTGCAGAGCGGCTTTGGCGGCGAATGTTACATTCAAGGTTTGGGGTTTGGGGCTTGTCGCTTCAACGGTTGGGGATGAGGGATTAGGGATTGTATAGGTCTTCGGTTGCAGGGTCTGAGGTATAAGGTGAGCGTTCAGGATTCGGGGCTTAGGGTTTCGGGTTTGTGGGCTCGGGGAACTGCTGACCCGACAAACCTTCCCGGTTTTCGGAAACTGCAAAGATTGATGAACCGCTCGTAAACGCAGCCGAAATACCCTGGAATCCTAGAGACGGTTGTATGTCCGGCCTCATTGCACCCTAGTCCCTAACACTGTCTACTTGGTCAACCTGAAGCCATTAACCTAAAACGAATCGTAACGTAAAACCCGAAGCCCGAAATCCTAGAATCCCTGCGCCCAAGGCACTGACCCCAAAGCCCTTTCATCCTAACCTAGAACCTTAACTCAACCCCAATTCAACCCTAAACCCAAACCCTAAACCACCCTAAACCCCAAACCCTTAACCCTAAAACCCCCAGAGAGCCCGGAGTTCTGCTCTTAAAGCCCAGGAACAGGATCCCTAAGAACGCGGAGAGCGTCTCCGCGAAGAGCACGAGGAACCTGGGCGCTTTGCAGCTTCCGGGCTCCGCTCCAGGGCTTTTGTTTTTGGCTTCATCCACGCCAGGGTTCTTTTGGGCTTCAGGGCTCTGATTTGATGGTTTTGGGGCCTAAAAGGGCTCCACTTTAGGGTTTTGTTCTGGGCTTCAGGGCTCCAATTTCATGATTGTTAAGCCTTACTTTAGGGCTTTTGTGGCGGTTGTGGAGGTTTAGGGTGGAGGGTTCTTGGCTTTGAGTCTGGGGCTTGGAGTTGGGGGTTTGGGTTTAGGATGGTTTAGGGTTTGAGATTTGGGGTTTGAAGCTGTCGGTCTCGGGTTCGTTTTCGAGGGTTGCTTTGGACTTTGTGTGGAACATTTGGTGGGAACGGTTTTGTGAAGGAGGGGGTCAGACACGAAGGCCGGAGCTTTAGAGCGTAGGATTGAAGGCTTCGTAGATCCCGCCGCCTGGTTATCGGGTTAGACTACGGGTTTTGGGGTTCAAGGCTTGCAAGATTTAACCATCATCCTGACTGTGTGGCAAGACACGGAATCCCTACCGGATATGAGCTGCTCTGAATATTGGGCGTTGAGCATCCCTACAATCCCTAGAAGTCATAGGCCCACACTCCAACAGCTTCCACAAAAAGGTTGTTGGAGATGCTCTAACCCACCTTTTCTTGCGTCCCGGAAGAGCGTGAAAGGTTCAAGGCTTAGGATATCGGATTTTGTCTTTCGGGTCTAGGCGATACAAAGCTTGTAGTCATGCGATTCTACAGCACACACTACTTTGAATTGCATAACCGTCATTACACGTGAAGCCCTACAACGCCTTAAAGCCGCAAATGTCCCACGCCCCGAACGCCTGAACCCTATGCATGTTAATAGATCCGGAATTTAAACTCCGAGTGCCCAAACACAAAATCTCCCGCCCTTCTGAGCCCAGCGCATCTGCGCGAAGGCAGAGTTCTGCTCCACGGCAGATTCTACAGTCCTCAGAGAAGCGAACCGAGCCTCCATCTGCTCAACCGGGAGGTCTCTTTAGGGTTTAGGGTTGGGGTTACGATTTGGTTTGTCAGGTCTTTACAGAACGCGGTACGGGGACTTTGTGGGGTCGAAGGTTCTACTTGGACGATGGTGGGACTGAGTAAGTAAGTCAGTTGTATGTGTACCCATGAGCCTCTACACAGCATCATCGTGGTTTGATGCAGACCAGTCGTGGCAGACTACACAAGAATCAAGGCTCAAATTGTCGCTTTGCTTCCGACAGCAACCGTTTCACGATTAATCCGAGGGTCTGAATAAAAAAAGGTCTCACATGTAAAGAAGTATTTTCGGTTCCGCAGTGGCTTCGAAGAGGTGTTTCCATTACGTGAGTATCCGGGTGGATTTCGTTTGGGAGAAATACCCCACATTTAAAAAAAAATTGGGTCCCAAATGTTTGTAGGGTGCAAAGCTCTGCAGTGGCTCTTCATTTCTGCAACTGGAGCTGCTCGCCGATCTCCAGTCTGCTGGTGCAGCTAACTTGAGCAGAGGCTGCCCTCCGAGGCCAAGCTTTTTCCAAAAGTTCAGGGATTTCAGAAAGCTAGCTTTCCTTATTGATTCGCTTATCCGGGGAAGCAATTTTTCATTCTCTCCTGAGCTACCCCTGACGGGGCCTGCCCGGAGGCACATCGACTCACATTTATAAAAGGGGTCACATTTGTGGGAAGCCGGCCGGTCCCGGCCCATCTGTGCCTGCAGTCTTTGCCATTGCTTGCTTGCTTCTTTAATACACAAGCAAAACTTCTGTGGGAACCGGCCCTTTCCTTTGAGCAGAGGCTGCCCTCCGAGGCCAAGCTTTTTCCAAAAGTTCAGGGATTTCAGAAAGCTAGTTTTCCTTATTGATTCGCTTATCCGGGGAAGCAATTTTTCATTCTCTCCTGAGCTACCCCTTACGGGGCCTGCCCGGAGGCACATCGACTCACATTTTAAAAGGGGTCACATTTGTAGGAAGCCTTTTTGAATGGCTTTCTAATAGAGATTCAATACATTGCTATGGTTTTTAATAGAGCCCAAAGAGCCCCAGTGGAGTTTTTCTCCAGGCATCCAGCCTTTTTGAATGGCTTTCTAATAGAGATTCAATACATTGCTATGGTGTTAATAGGGCCCAAAGAGCCCCAGTGGAGGTTTTCTCCATGCATCCAGCCTTTTTGAATGGCTTTCTAATAGAGATTCAATACATTGCTATGGTTTTTAATAGAGCCCAAAGAGCCCCAGTGGAGGTTTTCTCCATGCATCCAGCGGCTTTCTAATAGAGATTTAATACATTGCTATGGTTTTTAATAGAGCCCAAAGAGCCCCAGTGGAGGTTTTCTCCATGCATCCAGCCTTTTTGAATGGCTTTCTAATAGAGATTCAATACATTGCTATGGTTTTTAATAGAGCCCAAAGAGCCCCAGCAACCCAGGGATGATTTTCCATTAATGCGGGTCCCGCAAATTTAATTCTGTTAAATTTTGGCGGGGGGGGGGGGGCCTACTAATAAGACCCTCGGATTACAGATTACCGATGTAAGAGCAGGTGGCAGTTTATTTTCAAGATCAACAAAACAGGAAACCGAAGCCCAGCCCCGAGGTCGAAGAGTCGAAGTCTTGAGCAATTGTGCACAGCGTTCTATCGAGCTGAGTCTCTGAGCTCATGCCAAGTCCCTAGGCCCTAGATTTAAGCAGTCAGGGAATCCATCTGCAAACAGGCACAGCTTCCTGACTGTGGGGCCAGAAGCCCAAGCCCAAATGCCGAAGTCTCGGAACCCTGAACTAGGTGTCCCCGCGGGATCATGGTGACCGTGATGAAGTTGCAGGCAGCCGCAGAGTACAGTAGCAGCAGGAAGAAGTACTTGTGATTCCTGCGAGACTCGATCCCTCCCGGCTCTCGCCTTGAGTGAAGAGGGGGAGAAGCCAAACAAAACCGTGGAGAGGTTCTGAGAGCTACTGCCCTCAACCACGTGCGAATCCAGGCATGCTAAACCGAAAGCCAACATCCACAGCAGCTCAAACATCTTACAGGGACCCTGCAGCTGGCAACCCTGCCATTCAACCCTTCACACAAACTCCACTACCGCAAGCTGCACCCCGAGAAGCCTAAGGACCTGAACCGACAGAGTTTTGAACCCCAAACAAGCAGTTTCATTGCCGACTTTGGGGCTTCAGGGGCGGGCTCAGAATCCGAAACAGCCTTCATGCGCGATTCTTCGTTTAACTCCTGCCCGAGGGTTCGAAATCGGAACACCCTGTCGAACAGTTGAACCCGATATTGAACCCCTATCCCTGCACCCTAAACCCAAATTCAAAACTCGGACCTGAGAGTAGACCCTCTGCATGACTCCCCAAACCCAAAGCCCTGAGCCGCCAGTTGGCAGCCGCTGCCTAAAGCCCACGCAGTTGTAGATCCAGGGACAATGGTGGTCCATCTTGAGGATACACTTCTTGCCTGAAGGTCCAGCTTGATTGGCTTCGGCGTTTGCGGATCTACGGTTTAGGACTCAGGTCTCTGCCAGGGCCTGAATACTGCAAGCTAAACAAGGGCTGAAGAAGATGTCTCCAAGTCGTCAGAGCGGATCAAGGCGGTTTGAAACTTGAGGCTAATGCAACAGTGAACCCGCCGCTGAAATTAGAAGCACGATCAGAAAGTCAAACCTCAAAGCCCAAACTCTTTCGAGCTGAATCCTGGGACGACAAGAACCTCAGCATCTGTGCAACCAGCATCCTGCTTCGAATCTCACAGGAGCAAGCAGAGAATAAGAGGGTTCTTCTTTTGGGATATCCGCAGTTAGGGTAGTTAGAACCGGACCGGGATGAATTCAGGGCTCAGGCTTAGGATCATGGGGGCATTTCTTCAGGTTGGGACATCGCGAAGACCGACTGACTCAATGAATCCTGAAACCCTGAAACACTGACGTCATGGCATCATCGCCGAAGATATCAAAGGCAACTCGGGTCCCAGCACACGCGGCAATGGTGAGTTCTGTCGGGCTTGTACCTGTCAGACAAACGGGCACCCGATACCCCCCATCCGGCTTCCCAAATCCGAGATGCACATAAACCCAAAACTTTTTCTTCGGCAGCATTGGGAGTCCCGTGCTAAGCATGCAGGCCGAAAACAGCAAAGCTGCAGTCAACGAGTTCGAGACTAGGCACAACGGGGCAAGGGAGAAAGAGCGTCGAAGACCCGCTAACCGCCTGGTGAACTTCGGCCGGTGCGAAGGACAGAGAGAGGGGAATAAACCCCAAACCTTAATCTTGAATCCCAAACCCGAGACCCAAACCTAAAAGCTGACACGTTAAATCCGTTAAATCGTTAAATGCTGAATCCGAAACCGTTATTGAGCACGGGCGGTGCACTTCGCACACCATTTGCAGTGTCGACGCTCGCCGGTCTTCTTCGTCTCCTGCGCGGTTAGTTCGGTTTTCGGGCTTCTTGCGGTGTTGTGGTCCGGGAGCTTCAAGATACATAATTGGGGCTTCTGAAAGTCACAAGGAGGTTGGGGCTTGGTGGGTTGTAGAGCTTCGGGCTTAGTTTGGAGGTATGCGGGTTCAGGGAATGAAGGCAGCCAGGACTTGGGCGTAGGGGTCTGGTGTTTCGGGTTTCCTGGTTTCAGCTTTGGGGCTCTAGCGAGCGAACACTTAAGTTTACGGCTTTGAACAGAGGGCTTCGGAGGTCAGAGCATCAGAGCTAAGCGCTTACGCATTTAGTCATGGGTTCTTGGGACGTAGACCTCCTGGGTTATTGTTCAGGAACTTAACTTAAGTTGCCATAATGGGGATCTATAACAAATCATGGAGTGCAGCTCCCGTATGTTGGTGACATTTAAAAATGTAAAATACTAAACTTCGACCCCTAGCAAAATTTCAGTCGCTTTTATCTGTTTCTTAATGATTCTAGGAACCAAACATTAAACATTATGTCTAAGTACCCGTACCCCTAAGTAACTTCCTGAAAGAAGAACTCAGCCTCGAAAGTGCGGAGTCTCCCGTCCTTTGTCTCGGGCTGCTGCACGGTCTGGTCTGGCACATACTCCCAGCGAGGGTCTTCCTGCAACTTGGGGGTTTAGGGTTTAGGATTTAGGGTTGAGGATTTACGGTTTAAGGGGTTTTTAGGGTTTCTATGGCTTCTGGTTTCGGATTTGAGGTTTAGGGGCTTTTAAGGTTTAGGGTTTAGGGTTTCGGCGAGGCTCGCAGAATTTGATCTGGTTTGAGTGGTTCCTTAAACATTGCAGTTCGTGTCCTTCTGTCACTAGTCTACCGTTTATGGTCGAAAGTTCTGAAACTTAAGTCTTCACGATTGCCATACCCTTGTCTTACGAGTACTTTGTGGACACCAACTGCATCGGCATCGCTCCAACATGCTCCAACGACTTCATGCCTCCATGGACCCGCTGCCCATCTATCAGACCATGATTGCTGAACCGTCCCTGCGTCGCGAAAGTCTGCAACTGCTTCCCCAAGCGTCTTTCGGGCGGGAGCCTGAAAGAGCCGCCGCTTCGGGCCACAGGAGCCCCAAACAGTACTTTAAGAACAAAAGCTGCCCCAGAGCCCCTCCCCCCCCCAACCCTCCGCCAGCCGCCCGCCTCCTTAGAAGGAATATTCCCTGGGTTTGTGGCGACCTCGGCCCCCAAGGCAGGCGGCCGGAAAAACTAAAAAGCAGCCTCATTCTAAGGGGGGCCTTGATACTTAGGACAGGGTTCCTTTAAAGGGCTCCTTTAGGGGTTCCTTGAGGACGTACTGCAAGACTTTGGTTTTGCTCGTGACAATTGGAATCATAGTCTACTGCTTACTAGCTGTTCAGTACCCGGTATCAGGGACAGCGACGGCGTTGTGGTCCAGGGTGTAGTACGAACCCCATGTATGAATGCCTAGCCTCCCAGAGCCTCAAACGAAACTCCGAAATCTGCATTAAGACACTAGTACCTGCAACCCTAAACCCCGCCAGAACCCTAGACCCTGAAGCCATTTCGCAGCCCAAACAACATCTTGTTACGTAGCTGCATCTAGGACCACTCGCTATTGTGGCTAGTGGGAGCAAGTTCTAGTGCCTGGCCCCTACCCTGGAAGATATGCCTCCAGGTTGCCGCGGAGCTACAAACTTGCTGGAATTCCCGTATCTGGGCCTCTCTCTCTCCTCACACATGGGGCGTTTCCGAAAATAGGGGACCCTAGTATAGTACCCTAAATAGTAGGATCCTTATTATAAGGACCCCAAAAAAGGACCCCCAATGTTCGGAAACTCCCACACTCCAAAGCCCTCACCCTGAAGCCTCGCTCCAAAAGTCGCTCTGGGGCCAGGGCGGCCCGCAGGTAGCAAACCATAAGCATGAAGGAGATCTGAGCGAAGCAGATGGTGGCTTCAGCCGGAGCATCTCAACCGATGAGTTCGGGCTCAGATGCTCGAAAGACTCTGGGCTCAATCGAAAAAGTGCTTTTGGATGAACAAATTTGACAGACATGCACTGGAGGTCCAGAATTTCACTGGCACTCGGCAGGCGTCTTGGCCCACGTCGGCCAATCCCAGCCGACAGGCGGAGAGAGGAGCTTAAGCTCAGGTCTGTCGCAGTGCTCCCGGGGCTTTGGTGCTGTGACGGTTGTGTAATTCGTTCGTTGTTCTTCGGCCCTCAACCGGAGACTCCAAGGCCAGAAGCAGCCACATTCCGCAGACCTTGAAGCCCTAGAGACCCCAAACAGTCAAATCTCTTTGAGACCAATCTCAACTCCAAACTCAAAAATTTTAATTCCCCTCCAAAAGATGACGGTTTGGGGTTTTAAGGTTTAAGGCAAACAATGACCAAATCAGAAGTTCGTTTAATCCCGACTCCGGTGCCTAACCCCCGGAATTTCCCCCAAGCTCGGCGGCGACTAAGCTTCCGAGCACCGTTGAAGACAGCGGTCTGGATGATGCCCGTGTGATATCTGCCACACGATGGATTGCAAGACTCTGGGGTTCTTGGAGTGTTTTGGCATAGTCTGCGAAGTGTAGTTTTTTCTTTAAGCTTCAGGTTTGGGTCATGCATGTCGATGCAATGGCCATGTCCAAAACTTCTTGCCAACTCCCGAAAAAGGCCCCCCTCGATGAAGTATGTTCCAGTCAAAAGCTCGCGGTCTGAAAAGGACCTGATGAAAAGCCATGAAGAGCCTGCAGAAAGGGCAGGACGTCAGGATCGACATGAGTTCAAAGGTTTGAGGATTCGGGTTTTGACAAGGGCTTTTAGGGTTTATGGGGGTATGGAAGCCGGCCTGTTTTCATCCGAGCTCTGGAGCATCGGAACAAGGTGGAAGTAGCTGTAAATCAGGTACAAGCTGACTATGTTCACCACCACGAAGACAACCTGAGAGGTGAGGGCAGACGCTGTGGCCGTGGTGAAGAGGCGGGAACGATAGAAAGAAAACACTCAGCACCAGCATGCGTGACTAGACATCGGAGCACCGACAGAAACACTGGAAGGTCTCCAAATGTTGCTACAAGTAGAAGACTGACTCCAAGTGCAAAGCTGCCCCTGCTGCAAAGCACTTCCAGATTGAAAGAATGCACAGCAAAGGTCCGCATCCACGGATCAGCTGCTTGAGGATTTTGGATGCAAGAGTTTGTTTTGTTTGTAACTGCTGTTGATGATCGGGCGGCTCCTCTGCCGAGCACTCTAGAGCGAAGAGGTGTGAAGCATTATGGCGAAACGGCGGAACAAAGAAGGCTGAGCCAACTCCTGGAAACTCTGGGGCACCAGCTGGGAGTACCTGCAGCGATCAGATTAGTGAACGGCTGGCCGTCAACGGCAAAGCACTCTATCCCAGCGCAAGTTGATGCTTCAATGCCAATTCGCTCTGCAAAGTGTGCATGTGTGCGCGCACGTATGTTGCACACAAACACACATGCCCGTGCCTGATGCGCATCGTTGTCTGATTGTCTGTTTGACCGTCTCTGTGCATTCTTGCCCTGTACGCAGGCCACACACGTAAATGCGAGAATGCACGTGTTTGCTGAACAAAATCTCGTCAGCACAGTCTGGTAGGGCGCACCCTCGCGGCATCCATGCAGCTTCGTGTGTCGGGCATCCTTTGTCGAAGAGGAGTGACGACGCCTGGCACGAGGCTTGCTTGCCACACCCTCCAACAACCCAAGCTAATCATGATAGTCATAAGTCTAGAACTGCTAATAATCCAATAAAAGTACGAATAAGAAGAATACTGAAACTAGTACCAATAATGATACTAAGCCCTCCAACCCCAAGAGCAAGATCAAAGAAGCCAAGCCCCCCCCCCCCCGCCCCCAACAATCCGGAGCTCCCAGCCTGGTTATCTCCACAAGGTTTTGGAGGCGTCACAAAGCATGAATTAGCTACCGGGAAAGATATTTCAGTTCCACTATCCGTGCCTCGAGCCGAGAGAAAAGGCGGAAAAAAAACGGCAGGGAATGGCAAGGCACGGAGCGCAGGAAACCCTAACACTGAGTAAGTCTGTCTTTAGACAGGAGAAGGCTGGCAGCACCAGGAGGAGGGGCGCGGATCTTTTTGGGAAAGCCTTTTTGCATGCCGCCTTGAAGAAGAAAGCTTCTTTTGGGCTCATAGAGTCATAGCTGCCTTGCAGCTCGGCGCTCGAAGGCCCAGGCCCTCCCTTGCTCCGACTTTGTCTTCGGGAGGCCTCCGAGGACCTGGCACTCGGACGGAGCTTCCTTCGATCTAAAGCGCCTCAAACGAAGGCACGACCTACGCAGGAGAGCTTGGGATCATGTGAAATCATTCAAGGTTCGAAGAGAGCGTGGCATCATGTCAAAAAGAGCTCATGGGTCTAAATCCTGGCCCTTCAAAGGCGCAGAGTCTTTGAAATTGCAGGCGCGTTCAACCTCCTCTTCGAGAAGGTTCAGGAGGGCCGTCCTCAACGAGCAGCAAAACAACCGACTGTCTCCGGCGGGCGATTTGGCAGTTTTCAACATATAGGACCCTGATCGTACTCAAGATTCTGCGAAGTTCATAGAGGCGAACAGAGACCCCCAACAAAAAAAACGCCACCAAGCCCCAAGAAGCAGTCCTCGGGCTTCCTCTGCGCCCCTCTGGATCGGCTCTGAATCCCAGCCGCTGGTGGTGGAGATGTCCTGCGCGGTGTTGCTGCTTTCTGGCTGTTTGGGGTTACGGGTTTCGCGTGTAAGGCTTAGGACGTTTGGGGCATAGAGTTTGCCAGGGTAGAATGGCTCGGGAGGGGCTGGAAGCTTTGTGCTTGGGGGGGGGGGGGGAAAAACAACATGGAGTGGCCGTGCCCTGGTGCTAAAGATTGGGGCTTGCGATGATCTCCGAGGCAGCAGGGTGGGCTTTGTTTTCCACGTCGTCAACTCGCGAATCCTTCGAGGTCTACCTGCGATCTTCTGCGCATAGTAAGCAAAACTGCGAGCCACACATAGTCGGAAGATGAATGCAAAGCCTTTGTGCTGGCACTGCCCGTCACCGTGCTACTTGCACCTACATAAACCTGAAAGAGACTGCTGTATCGTGACTTAAGGCATGCTACAGAGGCAATTACAACCCAAAGATCAAACCTGGGACCGCGTGCACTGCACTCCGGCCACTCCGGCGACAAATAAAGCAGCGAAAGGCACTGGCGATGAAAGGGCCCCGTGCTCTGAACGCCTTGACAACATCACCGGAGAATTGCGAATTTGGTGCCTCCGAACGGCTCAGGACTTCACACACGTATCTTCTCCATCACTACATGCCCCTCAGCAGTATCTCCGTCGATGTTCCAGCCGTGTTCGGCATGGAGGCTCTTCCTTCATCTGCATTCTCCTCGGCCGTCGAACCCTGACCTCGGCGCTGCCCCATCTTTGCACGGCGGATTGCCGGCTTGCTGTTGGCGCCCTTGCTGAGGATGCTTGGAGGGCACGAAAACACGGCCACGGACCGGTTCGGCTTGAATGCGAGTTTCAGCACCTCAAAGTCGCCAGTTTCTGACGCGACGCCCGTGAGGGCCGCGGGCTCCCCGGAATCGAGCATGACCAAGGCACCCGGCTTCAGGCTTCCTGCTGGGGCATAGCGGCAGCTGCCTCCACCCTCTCCACCTTTTTTTGGACCCTCCTCTGGTGGGATCTGCACAGGATGGTCTGCCGTGACCCTCAGCGTCGCACCACCGGCCTGCAAGCGGACGATCTCCTTGGCTTGGCACAGAACGGGGGCCTCGCAGACCTCCATAATGGTCTCGTCGTCCCCGGCCACCACCTGCGACCCTTTCCGGAGATCCCGGCCCATCAGGTAGAAGTCGACGCTGGAGCTGCGGGTCTTGAAGATGGCATCGGACATGAAGCAGTCGGGCTTCACGGAAAACCAAGAGGAGTGGCTCAAGACGGAGGAGGAGGAGGAGGCCAAGGTTATGCCGTCGTCCACCAGAATGTACTCGGTCAGATCTGACTCCGCGCTGGAAGCCGCATCGTCGCTGGGTGCTTGGCCTTGGCGGGTGAGTGTGGCCTGGACGGGAGGGCTAACGGCGGCTGGTGGTGGTTTCGCCTCGGCCAGCTGGCGCTCCAGCTGGCGGCAACGCTCCTTGTAAGTGGCCTTCTCTTCCCACAAGACCTGCATCTGACCCAACTTTCCTTCTGCTTTGGCGAGCTGCTGACGGAGCTGCTCGCACCGCTCCAACAGCACCGCCTTCTCAAGCTGCAGCTCCATCTTGCTTTTGGCCTCTTCTGACGACATACATTCCGGGTAGCCGCGACTCTCCTCTTGCAGCCGCTGCACCTCCAACTGCTTCTCGGCGGCATGGGACTGGAGCTTCGCCAGAAGCTCCTTGGTCTGGGCATGCTTGGAAGCGTCTGCCTCCGCCGCTTCCAAGCGATTCGCAAGCTCCTGGCAATGCTCCTGGCACTTGCTATGTTCCTCCTGCAACTGCCGGAGCTCCTGCCGAATCTCTGCCACGGCTGACTCCGCAACTGCAGCACGAGTTGCGAGCTCTTTGCATTGCTCTTTGAGACCTGCACTGTCGCTCTGCGCGGCTTGGAGCTCCGCGTCCTTGCTGGACACCTCCGCCTCCGCCACAGCCAGGCGATTCTGCGATGTTTGGAGCTCCTCTTCGAGGCGCCGGCGCTCGGAAGGCTCCTCCTCGAGCTTCTGACGCTTCCGCGCCGTCTCCGAGCTCTCCGCCGCCACGAGCCGCTCCGCGAGCTCCCGGCAGCGAGCGCGGGGGAGTTGATGCTGCAGGTAAAAAGCCGCGTTTTGCTCCCGCTCCGCTGCTGAGCGGAGCTCGCCTCGAAGGAGCCCCGCCTCGGAGAAGCGCCAGTCGCTGCCCCAGTACTTCCCCCACTCGGCCGCCACGTGCCGGAGCAGCGCCTCGCAGAGCCTCTCCTGCCTCGTCGCCGTCTTCAGCTCTCCGAAGTGCTCGAGCCAGGCCTCGGCCTCCGCCGGCTGCGCGGCCCAGAGCTCCACGAGCCGACGGCCCACCACCTCGCGAGCTCGGGCCGGCTCAGCTAGACCACGAGCCAAGTCGAGGAAGGCGTCGATGACGGTCGCCAGAGGCCAGGCGGCAGGGACTTCGGTCAGCTCTCTGAGAAGCTTTGCTTCGGACTGCTGCGGCATGAGGAACTGCAGGCTGTGGACTGGTGCTGGAATTTTTCTCTGAGCCTAAAGGCACAGACAAGGCACCACATTCTGCATAAAACATCTCCCAAAACTCGGCAGCTCCTCCAGATACGAATGCTCGCCGACCCGTGGAGGCATACCCTTGCTCCGGCAGGCCATGCTTAAACCATCCTAAACCCTGTAGAACCTCAGAACACCCCAATCCCAAAATCACACGATGCGAAGTCCCCGAAGCCCTCATCTCAAAAAATGCAAAGCCTGCGCTCTCACCATCTCTCGCCTCCAACGCGTGGCGCCGAGCTGCGGCGTTGAGATGATCGCGCCTCTGGAGCTCCCTGAGAGCCCGCCTAGGGGTTGAATTTTTTGGTTTGGGAAGGGCGCAGGAAGATGCAGGAAGCTATAAGGCTTCAGACGTGGTGGGCTTCGGGGTTTTGGGGGTTTGGAGCTTTCGGAGCGTTTCGAGCAGAAGGCTTGGCAACCCGGGTCCACAAAGGGAGGACGTCGGGCCTCGATGATTTTCTCATGGCTGAACTTGAACCTTGAAGCCGATACCATCAAAAAACCCTCAAGGCCCCACCGATGCTCCTGCGAGTTGAGCTCCAAAAGCCCTTTCCTTTGTAACCGTGGCTTTCCCAAGCTCTGGAGCGCCTACAAGAGAAATCCTCAGTAAAGGGATGTTGGGGTCATCCCAAGCTCGAGCTCAAACGCTCTAGGCCACCGGATTTTTGCACCGGCCCGTACATAGAAAAGGCAGGAAACAGGCGTTTAAAGAAGTTCGGACAGGCTTGGAAAACGCACGCAAGACCAGGAGCTGTGTGGGAACCGCAGGCGGTCGTCCAGATTCCGAAGGGCCCAGCCCTGTTCCAGGCTTCTCCTGCTCTTGGAGGCTCAGGACTCTCTGGAGCCCTGAGCCTCCAAAACTCATCCCTTTCTCTGAATATGGCTATCATGTTGACGCTGCAGGCTACGGTTTAGGGTTCGAGTCGTTTCGTGTCCTTTCTCTGGACTTCCGACTGACTGCATGGTTAGGCCGCACAGCGCAGAAGATTCGCAACCTCTCAGGAACGCCCAAATCCCAAGCTCCAAGTCTTGGAAACCTGTCAACCCTTGTAGAGGGTAAGCATTGCTTCCATTAAACCCTCACACCTCGTCAGCCTGCCGGAGACTTCCTGAGACGCCCTGAGAAGACCGCCTGGCCGAAGGGGGCTTGGCATTTGGGTTTCAACGCATGGGTTTCGGGGTTTGATGTTTGCGAGCCCGGTTCTAGTTGGAAAAACTTCTCGGAGAATGCTGGCGAATCGAGAGCTTTGGGCCTAGGGCTCAAGGTGTAGAGTCTTGAAGATAGGGGACCTCGAATGTACGGACCATTTAGCTTCGTCAATGGGCCGTCCTAATTGCACCGAGGCTAAAGTATTAAACCCTTGGTTCTAGATCCCGAAAACACATGCAATGAGCTCCATGTTAAGACCTCAACGAAGAACACTGGATCTCTGGAGAGCATCTGGGAGTTGCTGCAAGCTTCAAGGGCAATACTGGGCCTCATTGTCCAAAGGCCTCTCGACATTCGTGGGTTGCCATGGACCAGCCGTGGGACTTCCGTCAAGTCGGTCAGTGGTTTTGCTTCGGCTGCCGTGGGATAAGGAACTGCTGGCTGCGGAGGCGGGGTGCTAGATTCGTCTCTGAGGCTAAAGGCACAGCCACTCCACCACCCTTGAAAACTCGACATCTTCTCCAGATGCAAATGTTTGCTGGAATCCTAGATCACTCCAATCCCAAAAGCACACGAGGCAAGGTCCCCCAAGCCCTCATCTCAAAACATGCAGAACCCTCACTCCCAACCTGCGGAGCCCAGCCGCAGCATGGAGGTGATTCAGTGGCTCGGCCAGCTCCACACAGCCCGCCTACGGGTTGACTTTTCGGGTTTGGGAAGGGGACAGGAAGCTAGAAGGCTTCAGGTAGGGGATGTTGATGGCCTTGGGGGCTTCAGGGCTTCGGGGCGTGGAGCTTTGGGAGCAAGAAGGCTCGGCATCCTGAGTCCACAACCTCGATGGTGACCCTCGGCTGAACTTGAACCTTGAAGCCCAACAAACCTCAAAAAGCCTTCCAAAGCCCCAAACCTCCTGGGGCGTTGAGCTCCAAAAGCCTTCGAGTTCGTTCCCTTTGCTTCCCAAGCTTCGGAGCCTCGACATGAGAAGCATCCCTAGCTGAGGGATGTTGGCGTCAACCGAGGCTGGAAAACACTTGGAGCTTACGCCTTGGGGCTAGTTTTGATGCAGGGCTAGGCTTTGGTATTCGTCTTTCGCAACTGGAAGAATCGAACCCTCTCTGCACATCACAGTGACGGCCAAACCCAAAACCCCAAATTTCGGAAGCCTGTCAACCCTGAAAGAGCAAAGTTCGGAATCTATCCATGCTTCAAGATATGATACCCTCCAACCCTACAGAACCCTTGAACCTCGTCAGCCAAACCTCCGTTCGGCGGCATCGGGGTTGGGTGGGCTCTGTCCTTACCTTCGGTTAGTAGGGAATGGAAGAATGGTCGTCATGGTGGCTAAAATTGTACCCCATTCCTCCCTTCCCTACTACCCTAAACCCTAAACCCTACTACCCTAAACCCTAAACCCTACTACCCTAAACCCTAAACCCCATTCCTCCCTTCCCTACAAACCAAAGGTAAGCCCGTCTCGGGCTTCGAGAAGCCTCCGGCCTCGCGCCGGCAGCTCTGGGACCCCGGAGCCGAAGGCCAGGGCACAAGGCTCCTCAACGAAAGAACCGAAAGGGGTTTAGGGTTTAGGGCTCAAGGTTTTGGGTTTAGGGTTTAGGGTTCAAGGTTTGGGGCTTTTGGGAGAGAACTGAAAGGGGTTTCGGGTTTAGGGTTCAAGGTTTGGGGCTTTTGGGAGAGAACTGAAAGGGGTTTAGGGTTTGGGGTTCAAGGTTTGGGGCTTTTGGGAGAGAACTGAAAGGGGTTTAGGGTTTAGGGTTCAAGGTTTTGGTGTTTTTTGGGTAGTTTTTGGTGTTTTGGATTGAGGGTTGAAGGTTTTACTAAAGCTAGGGTTTGGGGTTTTAGGGCTAGTTTCTATTATGGGGGTCCTCGAATTGACGGACCCTACAGCTCCAAAACAGGGGCTGCCCACAGAGCACGACTAGCTGATGCAGAAAACGACGCGCATGCTCCGCAACATACTGCCGAAACAAACACATAGACAAACATGCTGCTAGGGAGACTGCACAGAGACGCCTCGCCTGTACACATGCAACATGCCTGCAACAGATGGGCCTCACCCAAGCAATACCGCCATCGTCAAATCCACGGGCATCGTCTAGGCTAGGCCCTGCGGCGTTGGAAGCGGAGTTGCGAGCAGAATTCCCCATGCAGGAAACTCTTGCTTCTAAATCGCAAAACACATGTGATGAGATCCGTGTGAACAATGCGGCCTTTTCGCAAGAGCGAGATGTTACCCAGAACAGGAGCCCCAACTCACTAAGATGCTTCCCCTGTGCTTCATTATGCTTGTGCCCCGCTACAGGTTGAAGCAGACTGACCCCGAAAGTGTCGATAAAAAGCCTCTAGGGCAGTCCTCGGAGGGCAATCCTCATCTGCCGAAGAAGGCCTCCCGGCACTCCAGCATCGCCGTCTGCGCCGTGTCGGGGTCGGCTCCGAAACCCAGCAGCCGGTAGTGGAAAGGCAGCAGGGGCCCTTCGGCGATGTCCTGGGCGGTGGCGGGCGCTGCTTCTGATTGCTTAAGGTTGTAGACGTTCATTGTTGAGAAAACAGAACATGGACTGGCCGTGGAAGTGCTCGGAAAACAGAAGCATGAAGTGGCCGTGGAGGTGTTCAGATCGGGGCTTGCTTTCAAGACGGATTGCAGGTTGTTTGTCGCATCTCCAACGCAGCAGGGCATACGCTATTTTCCGCCTCGGCAACTCGCGAATCCTTCGAGATCTACCTGCAAGCTTCTGCGCAGGACCAAAACTGCGAGCCACACTTCGCTGGAAGATTCATGCAAGGCCTTCGTGCCGGCACTGCCCGTACCCTGCTGCTGTACTGCTTAGCACCTATATAAGTTGTAAATTATACATGTCTGCAGTTGAAAAAAATGCTCGAGAGCATCAGAAAGAATCACAACCAAGCTGGATGCTCATGAAGCTGGGACCGCGTGCACTGCACTCCGGCGACTCCGGCGACAACTCAAGCAACGAAAGGCACTGGCGATCAAAGGGCCCCGTGCTCTGAACGCCTTGACAACACCACCGGAGAACTGCGAATTTGGTGCCTCCGAACGGCTCAGGACTCCACACACGTATCTTCTCAATCATGACATGCCCCTCAGCAGTATCTCCGTCGATGTTCCAGCCGTGTTTGGCATGGAGGCTCTTCCGTCATCTGCGTTCTCCTCGGCCGTCGCACTCTGCCCTCGGCGCTGCCCCATCTTTGCACGGCGGATTGCCGGCTTGCTGTTGGCGCCCTTGCTGAGAATGCAGGGTGGGCATGAGAACACGGCCACGGACCGGTTCGGTTTGAATGCGAGCTTCAGCACCTCATGGTCACCGGTTTCTGATACAACATTGGTGAGGGCCGCGTGCTCCCCGGAATCGAGCATGACCAAGGCACCCGGCTTCAGGCTTCCTGCTGGGACGTAGCGGCCGCTACCTGCGCCCCCTCCACCTTCTTCCGTTGCTGGGACATGCACCGGGTGGTCTGCCGTGACCCTCAGTGTCGCAGCACCGGCCTGCAAGCGGACGATCTCCTTTGCCTGGCACAGAACGGGGGCCTCGCACACCTCCAAAATGGTCTCGTCGTCCCCGGCCACCACCTGCGACCCTTTCCGGAGATCCCGGCCCATCAGGTAGAAGTCGACGCCGGAGCTGCGGGTCTTGAAGATGGCATCGGACATGAAGCAGTCGGGCTTCACGCAAAACCAAGAGGAGTGGCTCAAGACGGAGGAGGAGGCCACGCCGTCGTCCACCAGAATGTACTCGATCAAATCTGACTCCGCGCTTGAAGCCGCGTCGGATGCTTGGCCTTGGCGGGTGAGTGTGGCCTGGACGGAAGGGCTAACGGCGGCTGGTGGCGGCTTCGCCTCGGCGAGCTGGCGCTCCAGCTGCCGGCAACGCTGCTTTAATGCACCCTTCTCTTCACACAAGACCTGCATCTGACCCAACTTTCCTTCTGCTTTGGCCAGCTGCTGACGGAGCTGCTCGCACCGCTCCAGTAGCACCGCCTTCTCGAGCTGCAGCTCCATCTTGCTTTTGGCCTCCTCTCGCGACACACATTCCGGGTAGCCGCGATTCTCCTCCTGCAGCCGCTGCACCTCCAACTGCTTCTCGGCGGCATGGGACTGGGCCTGCGCCAGAAGCTCCTCCTCGAGCTTCTGCCGCTTCCGCGCCGTCTCCCGGCTCTCTGCCGACACGAGCCGCTGCGCGAGCTCCCGGCAGCGGTCGTGGGCGCGGGACGACTGCAGGTACCAGGAGTACGCATAGTGCCCATACTCGGTCGCCCCGTGGTGCCTCGTCGCCTCGGCTGCCAGCGGCTGCGTCGCGAAGCGCTCCAGGCACCGCTGGAGCCAGGCCTCTCCGCCGGCTGCGAGACCCAGAGCTCCACCAGGCGCCCACTCAGCGCCTCGCGAACTCGGTTCGCATCAAAAGTAGTTGGATGATAAGCAGCCAAGTAGTGGAGGAAGGCGTCGATGACGGTCGCCAGGGGCCAGCCGACAGGGACTTCGGTCAGCTCTTCGAGAAGCTTTGCTTCGGACTGCTGCGGCATGAGGAACTGCAGGCTGCGCAGGTTGGGTGCTGGATGTTTTTCTCTGAGCCTAGAGGCCTGAAGGTGCACACCACAGTCTCCGAAAAACAGAACGCAAACTCTGTATCTTCTTCTCACCACATCTCACCATCTTCTCTAAATATGCAAATGCGTGCTGACCCCTGGAAGGATGCCCTGCCCTTCCCGGAAGGCCATCCCAAGGCCTTGCATGCGCCAACATCCCCACAACCCGAAACTACCGAAATCCCCCCCCCGAAACGCCCGGCACCCATGGTGTTAACAAGTTAGGAGCCGAGCCGCGGGGTAGAGGTGATGCAGCGGGTGCGAGGGGCTCTCGAGCTCCCTGGGGTGGACGCCCACCAGCTCCGCGAGCTCCTCGGCCATCTCCACGTAGCCTCGGAAGTGTTGAGGGCTTAGAATTTAGAGTCTTGGGTTTAGGATTTAGGGTTTAGAGTCTTGGCTTTGGGGTTTATATGGGGTTTAGAGTTTAGGGTTTTGGGGGTTGTTGGAGGGTAGAGTGCAGGGGGCTTGATGAGGTGTTGATGCTCCTGAGGGCCCCGGCTCTAGGAACCTTGAACCCACAACCTCCAACCCTCCAAAGACTCGCGAGTTGAGAGTTTTCAAAATCCTAAAACCTCTGATATAGTTGCAAAAGTCTTCAGCCTGCCGAGTTCCTAGCAAAAGATCTGGGATGCCGGAGCCATCGCCGTCCCAAACTCAACCTAAAATTCCCTGCAACCCCCCAAAACCGATGATGAATTTCTGGAATCGCCCTAGAAGCCAGCTATATGCAAAAATCTGCAGGGTCTTCTCGCACATGAGCCCAGGGGCTGTGAGGGAACTGGGGGCGGTCGCCCAGGTTCCGAAGGGCCCAGGCCTGCTGAAGGCTGCTCCTGCACTTGGAGGCTTAAAGGGCTTTTGTTTGCGCCATCTTTGAAAAGGTCAACCTGAAGCCTAAAGGTCCATAAATCCCCCAAAAATCCCAAAACCTCCTGCATCCCCCAAACACCCGCTCTGAGTGAGCTTCGGCTTTAGGGCCGAGACTTCGGGACTCAGGGTTTGGGGTTCCAATTCAGTTCGGCTTCGGGACTCATAGGATTCCACCATTGGAGGATTGCGGTTTTGGGAAACTGAGGGTTTAGGCCTAGGCATGTTTCTCTGCGGGCAACCAGTCTCACTGCTGGTTCTGGGTTTGGCGGCTTAGGGTTCGCCCTTCGTCCTTCTCATTCTGCAGGGCTGGGGCGTAAGACCTCAAGCCTCAAATCCTGAAACCTCTCAACCCTCAAGGAGTGACGCTCGAATTGCTAGCATTCTCCACATAAACAGTAAACTCTAATAAAGTATATACATATATATATATATAACTACAGCACAACATATGATTCCCTACAACCTCAAACCCTCGCTGGGCTGCACCCGCGCCTCCTGGAGTCCTCGCCAGGCGCCTGGAGGCGCCCTGAGAAGACACCGCAGACCCAGCGAGCCTGACTGAAGGGAGCTTAGATTCATATAAGGTTTAGGACTTTAGGAGTTTAGGAGTTAAGGTTTAGATGTGTATAAGGTTTAGGGTTTTAGGAGTTTAGGAGTTAAGGTTTAGATTTAGGTTTGAAGCTTTAGGGCTTTGGGTGCATAGGGCGCGAGGTCTAGGTCTGTGTTTCCTGGGTGTTTTGGCAGCAACAACTTCGTTTTCGCACCTGTAGCTCGAGGACAGCAAAGTAGGGGCCGCGGTAGAGGCCCACGAACGCCAGGTCGGAAAACTCCTCCGAAGCCCGCAAGCCAGACCCAAAGAAAGAAGGCAGGATCGGGAGCATCATCCATATCACCATCATCACCACCAGCATCCGCGTCATCATCGCCATGATCGTTATTATCGACACCGTTATCATCATCCTCATAATCCTCACCACAGCTACGCCTCCGAACAAACTCCAAGAGATAAACCCTCAACAAGCCCCAAGAAGCCGCGGAAGCTTCTTTTGAGCTGAGCAATCCTCTGGAGGCCACACAGCATGGCTGAGAATCACTGGCTGCAGCTGGTCTTGTGCCAGATGGATGGCCTCCTTCACCTCCGGGCGTGGATTTTGAGTTCTGGGCTTTGGGAGTGAAAGCCGTTTCTTCCTGGAGCTGAGCATGTGCTCTCGGACTCAAGCAGACGACCAAGATCGCACCTTTTCACATTGCGTTCTAGTATATTCTGATGTATTATAACATCTCACCTCCGGAGCCAGGAATGGCAAGTCCAAGTCGTAGCCCGTCGCGACCAAGATGACCTGGAAGTCCTCGGGGCTTTCTGTGAAAGGCTCGGCTTTCGTCCCCAGATCCCGGGCCAGCACTACCATAGCAGTAACAACTCGAGCTTCAAATCTCAGCGGTCCCGGTCCTCCGACGAGCCGTCGGAGAAGTGAACGGTCGACCCGGTGACCTGTCTGACCTTCTCCGCCACCGACAGCTTACCTTTGGTTAGTGGGGAATGGAAGAATGGTAGTAATATAATTATAGCAATTATCATTGTACCCCATTCCTCCATTCCCTACTAACCAAAGGTAAGACAGGGCACCCGCCCGGACCGCCTCGGGGAAGTGGTCGCTGATGCAAACGAAGGGCGGCCGGCTCCAGTCGCTGGGAGCTCGCAGGGCTGTGGGCATCTCTGCAACCTGAGACAGAAACTGGTGCCTCTGACGATAGCTCTCCTCAGCCGACTGCTTGGGCTTAGGCTTCCGGTTGTAGAACGCCAGGTCCGCAGGGATGCCATTCAGGTAGCGTGGGATGTACCACATCGGCTGGCCACAGGCTATGGTGACGGAAGCACTGCCAGAGAGGTCCACCGCTATATCGGCCCCGCTGAAAGCAGCCCCAACAACCAGCACTTTCCTTGGCAGAACACTTCTTCGGTGACAATATACGTGCGACAAGATCCCACAAGTGTAGCACACTAGAGTATACTACACCTGACAATGATGTATGCGCTCTGCTCACAACATCCTCGATCGCGGCCAGCCCAAAACGTTCTTCGAAGGCTCTTCCCGGCGAAGTCCTCGGGCTTCCGGTAGTCGGCCGCATGACACCTGGGCTCTTAAACACGGAATGCACAAGATTCACTCTGCAACGGTATGGCTGATCGATCACTCAGCTCCTTACATTCTTGTGCAACCCCATGACATCCAGAAAACCGCTTGTTGTTCATCGATCCTAAACCCTAAATCCTACACCCTAAACCCAAAACCCTAAACCCTAAACCCTAAACCCAAAACCCTAAACCCAAAACCCTAAACCCGAAACCCTAAACCCAAAACCCGAAACCCAAAACCCGAAACCCTAAACTCTAAACCCCAAACCCAAAACCCTAAACCCAAACCAAGACACACAAGCCCAGGGAAGCTGTCCAGGCCCAGAAGGTCGAGGTGAGCCTTCTCGAAGATGCCTTGGCTCTGGAGGGACATTCAGAGTCTAGGGAAGTGTTCATCAGAGTTTCGGGCTTTGGGGCTTTAGGGTGAGGATTAAACTTGCAGTAAAATGGGTGAAAGTAGCCTGTATATCGGAACCAAGAATGGCAGTAACTATAAGAATCATCCTCGTGATCATAGCAACAATAAACACTGGCGGCAGTATTGGATTAGGAAATAATCGAAAGCCGAAATGCAAACAATGTGGAAGAAACTTCTGCAATCTCGACATCTCCCCTGGTATGCGAACCTAAGTTAAAGCTCCTCGACAAAAGCCCAGATGCCGCTGGCCACCACCACATGTTTGAAGAGCTTCTGCTTCATCTCACCGGCCTCCCTCCAAGTCAGCTGCCATCCGCAGTTCGCCTCATCCTTTGTCACTGCGGTGACCTCGCAGGAAAGGTGGAGATGCGGCCGGAGGGATTCGGCGAAGTGCTCCAGGTATCGGCAGACCTCCGCGGCCTTTGGGAAGGTCTCGGCCTCCTTGGGCCAGGGGAAGTCCGAGAAGGCGCAGGTGTATTTGGACAAGTTCGTCCGCAGGGACTCCCAGACCTTGCCCTCCAGAGGCCGCCAGAGGCCACCCACATCTGCACTCTTCTCGAAGATGCTGGGCCTCTATGCATCAGAAAAGTAAGAAGCACAGAACACTGGTGGCGCCCTGCTGTTTGACATCAACTATATCTAGCCTAGCTCTTCTTTTGGACTCGAACAGCCTCAGGCCCTCCTCCAGCGCCGCCTTGCAGGCGGCCAATCCTGAGGGGCCGGCGCCGACGATGGCCACTCCTTGCGCCTCCATGGGCGCCGGAGCTGAGGCGATGGTGCGCCCGAGCCGAAGAAGCCGGAGCCCCGGGGCTCCGGGTCTCATGGCGCAGGGGACTCGGAGTTGAGCCAAGAAGGAGTCCTGCCGTCTTGCAGCCTTCATCCAGTGTGCATCCGGCTGCAGGAGTCGCTTGAGGCTTCCTGTTGGGGTTGCGGGCTTCGGGAATTTAAGAGATTTTGTCTTTCGAGCTGCGAAGCCGCTCAGCGCTTAAGGTTGAACATTCGAAGTTGATGTCAATGTGCAGACGTGGGCAGCCAAGACAAGGCTCAGACACAAGGATGCTCCTGTGCATTCAGCTTGGGTTAGTGCCGATGCACACATTCGACTCGCCAGTGCAAGTGCTTTTTCCACCGCGGGACACGAGCTCGGCTCTTCAGACAGGTCGAAGCAAGGCAACTCGTGTCTTCACTTCGCAAAGCGCGTGTGCGGCAGCACTGGAAAATCTCGATAAGGTTCAGATCTATGCATCTGCAGCTGCTAAGTGTCGGAAAACGAAAAACTCCGTGAGCCATTCGTTTCGTCGTGAGGGTGGTGACTTTTGATCTGGACTGTCCTATCACTCCGCATCTGGACAAACATTGTAGTCATTTGGAATGAGTTGGTGTTTAACATGGAGGAGGCCACAACTGGCCAAGAGGGAACACTGTGTTACTGCATGAAGGCCCAGGAGTGAGCCGCCACCATGATGCAAACTGCCAAGGGCATGATCTGCTTCTGAGTACGTTCCATGTTCCTCAGCAGCTGCAAATCGTCGAAGAGATTTACTTGTGGAAAGACAAAGGAGCTAGGTCTGCTACTCGGGGAGACTTACCCAAACTAGTATAGAAACCTACTTTCTACTAAGTAGGACCTCAGGGCCCTTTGGGGAAAGGCTGCGAAATCTCTGATATGGGAAGGAACATGGAAAACGTCCGCCGATTCTTAGCAAGCTTGGTGCTTGGAGGTAGAAGCCTGTCTTAATCTGGGCCTGAAAATCCAGCATCTAGAAAGGCAGGCCGAAAGACATGTGAGCCCTTGGTGGAGCCAAGCTGCTGTTTGATGGGAGCAGCCATTTCAGCAGGGATGGCGCGCCAACCTTTTCCGTCTGGATTCCAGGTCGGCGAATCCGCCGTACACCGTCCTTGTCAACAGAGGCTTATCCGGTGTAAGATTTTGCGTGGGGCTCGTGGGTCAATGGGATGATCTCGATATTAACACGCCGATGCCTCATTGTCCGTAGTAGCCGGTGATCAGCCACATCGCGCCGGTGAAAGCCACCGCAGCCACGCCAAAGAAGGTGAGGATGGCATGGATGAAGGAAGACGATGTGCCCTTTCGAACGGCAGCAAAGTGAATGGCTGCGTAGGAGTCCACGAGACCTTTCGAGACGCGCACCGCCCGATTGGCCCAGGAGGTCGCCACCATCGTGGATTTCGCTGACATAATCTGGCGCTGCTCATCGATGGTGCCTTCTGCGGAGGTGGTGGTCAGGCCAGCTAAGGCCAACATCAATCCTATGCCAAATCCTGTCGCGGTGGGTGCCGATGAGAAGGACGTGAGGATCAAGGGCAAGTTCGTCACCTGCAGAAACACGGCAGCTGTGAGGCACTCGTTCGCCATGGCGACGATCTGGAGGTCTTACCCACTGAAGATAAAGATGCCCTGCTCCCCTCTAGAAAGCGCGGTGCGCCAGCATACATGTTTGGATTGTCTGTGCAAGTGCAAGTGCCCTTGCACGGAATACTACGACTTCATGCTTCGAAGTTCGAGCCGTTAAAAGAAACTTTGGATGGCTTGCACCCTCCATGCCGTGATGCTTCAGCAGCAGGCACGCCCCCACAAATATGGAAATGGCCGGAAAATCGGGAACAAAAACACATCCGAAAAGCCCATGGCGAAACAGTAGCCAAGTGGCACCGCACTCATGTTCGGAGACGATACCACGAACAGTTGTCACTGCGGCGAATAGACGTATATAGGGTGAACTTCAACCGAAGTTCGATTGAGCGAGTGTGTCAAAAAGCAGAAAGTATGTTCATGTCTGTTTTTATTGAAAAGCATTATTCTCATATTGAAGAATATTCGTATATTTAGTTCTTCTCTGTCTTTCTGATTCCGCTTTTATAGTTGTTGTTATTATTATTACGATTTGGTCTTGGAAAATTATGAGATATTTGTATCTAATTTCAAAGACAACAACAACTATGTATAAATATCTCGAGGATGTCATAGTAAGCGTATGATGATATTATTATGTAAACCGCTAGATAATTTTACTGTTCTTTCATCTTATTATTCGTCCTTTTTGCACGAACAAGCACAAGTGCCTTGAACCTGAAGCTTCATTTTTCATAAAGCGTAGAATCTGCACACACACACACACATACACACGCACACACACTCTCCATTGAAGCATTGAGGCGCATATCCTCCTCCAAAGCAATGCCTCCTTGCAGCAGCTTCTGCAAAAAAAATCGTGGAACACTGCAGTTTCTGTGCAAATCATTTCTCAAGCTCCGCACAGTGCTGCGGAAATGGCCGCCAGTTTCTTCCCTAATAGCATCCGAAACGTGAAGCAATGCTGCATCCACTTCCTACAAGTTCGTGCTGGCAGAAGATGATGAATCAAATGATCAAAGCCTGGATGTTTCAATGAAAAGACAAAAACCAGCTGGCAACTTTGCTTGGGCAAGGTCTCTGTTGCGCCAAACCTGAAATCCGCCGCAAAGCTCCAAGTCCTAGAACCTGCAGTAAGAACAAAAACAAAACTCGTCATTTTGTCTTGAAACACTTTTTTCGTCTGAATTTGCAGAACAGCTGCCAAAATATATCTTGTCTAGATTGCAATCATGACTCTGGATTACACTGCTAGTTTAAACTTCACTGTTGACCATCGTAGCTGTCATGCTGCCACTGGCTCCCCATCCTTGTCAATATGCCGAAATTCTCATCGTGCGAAAAACACATCGCGTGATGTCCATGTTGAAACGAACGTCCTACTTTTCAACAACACCATTTCCAAACAATCTACAAACAGAACGTGTTGAAATGCATGCCATGCATCTTCTAAGATCTTGGTACATCCAGTCCGATACCCCAGAGAACAGAGGCAGCCCACATGTTCTAATCTCTGAACTGCTCAAGGACTGAAAACACAGCGCTGCACCCTGCATGTGCTCTGAGCTTCGTTTTGCCGTTCCATCTCAGCTCAGCTGGCTTGGACTCCATCTTACAGCCTGTGGTGACAAGGCGCATGCTACATCAACACCATCGACAGTCGATGACAGGAAGCTCTGTGAATGAAGGCAGGTATCGAACGGGATTCCCAACAGTCATTCAACAGTCCAACACAACAAGTAACAGCGGGCAGTGCCGCGTGCATGTGCTTCAATTTGGCCCGTCTTCACGCATGCGATCGCAATCGCCTGTTCATCCACCAAAGATGACCTCCATTAAGGAGAGAAGCGCTGCGTCGGTCCAGACGACACGCAACAACTGATTCCCCAAACGTGGAATTATGCCAGCTGATGCTGTGAAGGACCATGGCGTTGCTTGCCAGCTCTTCGATACACGTGGAGAACCGTTGTGTTGCTGTCGATGCTGCCTCCGCAGATTTCCGCTTCCCCTCATAAGAAGCAAGAAGCGAACAAAGTAACGAATGTACGAAGTAAAACAAAATGACTGTCAAAACAAGATTGAAACCCAACCCAGGTTTGAAACCCATTTGGAACCCGGATTTCAAAACCTGGGTTTAAACCCAGATTATAACCCAGTTTGAACCCAGGTTTGCCCAGGTTCCAACCCAGGTGTGGAACCCAAGTTTGAAGCACCCAGGTTAAAACCCAGGTTAAAACCAGGTTCAAACCCAGGGTCAAAGCCAGAAGGGCTTCAAGGCAGGCCTAGGATTAGTTTGAAGAAAGGCTTCCTGAGGAAGAGACCCGAAGGAGGACCTTCTTCGACACGAAATCGCTTAAGGGTGGGCCACTGAGACGTTGAATTGCTGCAACCAAACCAGTGAATGATCTGATTTACTTAAAACGTCGCATGAGGTACGAGGTCACAGCAACTGCTACACCACACCCCACTGTGATTTTGTATAGTGGACTTTTGGACGTTTTTTTTCGGCGTGGCGGGTCTCAAAGACAGCAGTTGCTGCACCCAGCAAGAACTACAATAAAGTCAATAAACCAAACAACTGTACATGACGTAGACTCGCAGAAAGGTGAGACAGGCTGCGACTGGCAGACTTCGGCAGACGTCGTTCAGCCAAAACATCCGGCACCCAGCAGACGCGCCCGCTCAGGCTCAGAATGCTACCCAGTTCGCCTGGTCGCGCAATGGCTGGCACGCATGTCGACAAGTTTCACATTGGGTCGTACGGAACGACAGAGCCGAACATTCCGCAGCCGCTTCCAAAAAAAAAATGTTGCGATGGCAAGCGAAAGCCATGATGGCAGAAGGAAGGTCAACGGCGCATGCCATCGCAGGTGCGCATCGAAAGGCCAGACAGTTTCCGTGAGCATACAACGCCAAGTTCAATTGCCCAGCTCAGTCTTGCAAGAGCAAAAGAGGAATGACAAAAACGGTGGAACACGATGACCATCCGTAAAGTGGCAATGTGATCCAAAATTCAATCCCAGTGCGCAACCACAATGAGGTCCCGTGCCCAGCTTCCCTCACTGTATGCAATTTTGCAGCGGCGAGGTTGGCGGGTGCAGCTCTGGACATGTATTTCTCACTTTTTTTTTCCGATTTCGTGGCATCTGTTTTTGTGTTGCCTTCTTTTTGTTAATTTTTGCGCGGTTTGGGTTTGGAGTGTTTGCGGTGGCGGCTTCAAAAGCGGAGTTTTTTTCAATTCGCAAAAAGCGGAGCAGCTTGGCTGAACGCTTTTATGCGGGTTTGTGTCGCTTTTAGCATGGTTTAAACCGCACGTTTGCCGTTATCCGACGGCTCTCCGCATTTTGAGGTGCTCTTGCCCGTAGAAGCTCAACAAACAA